GATCTTAGTCTATGTTGATGATTTGATCATTTCGGGTAATTCTCCTGCGGCAATCAAGTCTTTCAAGGACTACTTATCTCTTTGATTCCATATGAAAGACTTGGGGTTTCTAAAATATTTTTTGGGATTAGAAGTAGCTCGAGCTCCTGCGGAAATATGCTACGGAAATTGTGACTGAAGCCGGCCTTCTCGGATGTCGACCTGCGGGCTCTCCCATTGACCAGAATCATCGGCTTGATATTATTGCGGGTCTGGAGCTTGCTGACCCTCAAACGTATCGCCGTCTCGTTGGTCGTTTAATCTACCTAGTTGCTACCCTACCAGACCTTACTTATGCTGTCCATGTTTTATCTCAGTTTATGCGAAATCCAAGAGAAGAACATTGGCTTGCTGCTTTGAAAGTGGTCCGTTATCTCAAAGGAACACTCGGCCAAGGTGTCCTTCTTCAAGCTGATTCTCCTTTCTTATTAACAGGCTGGTGTGATTCCGACTTCTCAGGTTGCAAATTGACCCGACGCTCGCTTACGGGATGGTTTGTTCAGCTTGGCTCATCTCCTATCTCATGGAAAACAAAGAAGCAAGACGTCGTTTCTCAGTCATCAGCTGAGGCTGAATATCGAGCCATGAATGCGGTTACAAGAGAGTTGAAATGGCTCAAAGAACTACTTCAAGATCTTGGTTTTGATCATAAAGAACCAATGATTATTCGATGTGATAGTAAGCCAGCTATTCACATTAGTTCCAATCCAGTTTTTCACGAACGCACCAAACACATTGAACAAGATTGCCACTTTGTTCGTGATGAGATCGTCAAGGGTGTTGTCAATCCTTATCATGTTCCTACGGAAGACCAACTGGTGGATATTCTCACTAAAGCCGTAGGACGAAAAGAATTTGATGCATTTCTCCTTAAGTTGGGCATTCAAAATCTCCATGCTCCAACTTGAAGGGGGGGGGTATTGACATGGGCGGAGGCGGTGTATTATTATGGGGGTCAGTTGACCCCTATGAATTTTGAAAATTCTAATACATTTTATTAAGAGTAATTATAATGACCCCAATGCATTATAGTTTTTGACCCCATATCAAACTAATTTAACTACATGGAATAAAAATTGTCATTAAAACAACAAAAGAGCCAAATAAGTTTGGTTCATTAGAATTTTAAACCAAATTCTAATGTAATAAAATTAAAAATTCTTGACTTATTTAAAATAAAGTTCAACTAATGATCTAATATTATAATTATTTATAAAAAAAAACCCACAATTTTTTTTTGCTTTTGTTAATCTTTGTGGACCATAACAAAAAATTTTAAATATTAATTTGATTGATTTTCAGATTTTTTTTTTCCTTAAGTATAGATTATTTCTAGACAAAACTAATAGTAAATTTTATATAATATATTATTTTCTATTAAAAAAATTTGACTCCTATAACAAAATTTTCTAGCTCCGCCACTGGGTATTGAGGATATTTTCCTAATCCCCTAGATATTACCAAATCTCCAATATGTATATTTGCCTTTATCTCTTTGTGTATTAGGGCTACATGTTTTCTAGGTTGTATAAATACATGACCTTAAGGTACAAGGAATACAAGCTGATTTTATCTCTCTATACTCGTTTTAACACATTCTTCTCATACTCATAGGTGTTTCGTTGTTTTACGGTTGCAAAAGAGCCACTACCACTCGCAATAAATATAACAACATTTTGTCATTTCCAGACCTACTCAGCCTCGTGGTCCTCACTCGTCCCTTAGTTTAAGCGACGTGTCTAAAAGAAAACAATCCTTGATCGTCTTAATCATATAATTAATATCATAGTTACGTATATCATATTTTGTGTAGAATCGCGTTTGTTATATTGGAGTCAGACCATGTAAAACAAATGCATAATTCAATTAATATAGCAGCTCGAATTGATACCAACTTAATAAAATAGTTAATTAGACAAACTTTTTCTTGCAATATCAATTGGATTAATAGTTTTTTTTTTTCTTTTTTTTTTTTTGCAAAAAAATTGGATTAATACATATCTTTATCTAATAAATCACAAGTAAATTTTCAAGTAACTGCAACATCCTCCATATGACACCTGGCTTAAATTCCAATTTTTTATCTTTCAGATTTTAAAACAATTAAATTTTAATTATCCTTAAATAAAACAAAAAATAAATGTCGAGAAAACCTTTCTCCCACAACCGCATCCCCTTTTTCTCCCACGATTTCAAAATCGATCTCCACTTCTCAACAATGGAACTACAAAAAGGTTTCAGATCTCTCAAAATCAATATTCCTTTCATACTACTTCTCACCCTTATTCCCCGATTTCTGAGATAAAAAAACCAATGATTTCTCAATTTCTCAATCAATTGAACGGTGTTATTCATTAGAACGGTGTATTTCTCAATTTCTCCCTATCTCTACTGAGCTTCCGTCGTTTGATTTGAATCAAAGGTAAGCTTTTCAACTATTTTAGATTATGAACCAAAAACCATCACTCTAATCTTCTCCAACCTCATCTCAATCAAAGTATACTCCGCTGGAGAAGTTTGGGCTATCATACAAAAAGCTTTCAGATCTCTTCCTTTTCTGATTCGTGTTTCCTCCAGCTCTAATCGGGTAAAATTTTTTAATTTCTTACATGTTCTGATTTTAGGGTTCATCAATAGAATCTCTCTTCTAACTGCAAGCACTACTTCTATATCAAAATCTTTCAATATACAAATTCTATGTTCGAATTTCTCAATTTTGGTTTACTTTGTCATCATCGTTTTTAATGCCCATCCAATTTTCTATTTCATGTGTTGTTGTGTTCTTATCACTTGTACAAACTCTCATGTAAATTTTAATGTATTCACAGTCTTTACTAATTTTATAACAACTCTGTTACAAGTTTTACGTTTAGTTTTGAAACAGGGAAGAATTATTGAGCCGTCTCTCTTGAAATTTCCAGCATTGGACGAATATAAAACAATAACCTCAAATCTCTCTGGTTTGTTTTCTCTTCTCTGCATGTCTTAGATGAGTGGGTATCTGATTTTGTGTGCATGAAACCTTTCTTTTACTTTTCACAAAACCTTTGTTTTCCTTACTTTTACTCATCTTCCGTTCTCAGTTTCACTATAACTTGAAGATATATGGTTGTGTCAGGATGGCAAAAACATTGAAGGTGACGGTTTAGCGTCAGCCTTCGTGGTGCCTGTGTGAGGGAGTTCACCAATATGACGTTAACTTCCCATGTGACGGATCTTTACCCGCTAAGTTTGGTCCACCTAAACGCCGGTATGATATCATCAAATCTTTGGCTATGCTTTGGTGAATTTAGAAGACGAGAGTTTGGAGAATGAAGTTTGGAATATAATTTCGTATAGAAGCAACACAAAAATGAAGTTTTGAAGTCTTGCAATTCAAAAGAAAAGAAAAAAAAAACAATCTGAAAGATGGGTGCATGATGTGGAATCATCTTCCACGGTGAAGTGTGAAGAATTTAAACGTGCAATCATCTAATATATATGTTCAAGATCCTTTTGAGTAAGATATACAATATACAAAGGTAAAGGGCTTTTGTTTGTTCGATCGCTCATTTATGTCTTACAATACGTTTGCGTATTTATGTAAGACCCTTGGCAATTTCATAATGCAATGAATGTTTCCTCAAATTTTGTCGCTCATATGTGACGATTTGGTAATATTATGATACAGCTTTGGATGTAACGATTTAATCCTACTGTTTCACTTTCTCAATCAAACCAAAAATATCATTTATATCTAATTTAATTTCATTCACTTAAAGTTATGAATTAAACAAACTTACGTACAAATTAAGTTTAATAAAACTAAAATGTATTTTTGATATTGGTCATTGGTGTTATACTTACACATTTTGAATGAATAAAATCTACAAATTGGTGGTGTTCTCCCCATGCAACGCACGGGCTATAACTAGTAGTTTTATCAATTAATAGTACAAAAGGTGTTACACCTTGAAATCTCTCGAAGAGCTGGTGCTGCGGGAATAGTAAGACGGATCAGCGCTTGATGGATTCAGTGCAAACGAAGCCTTCCCAAGTTGATGGGTGATCATCATTACGTATGAATAATTCTTCCAGCACAGGGCAGTGGTCAATCAGCGAACTTGAACCCATAAAAAAAACTGTCCGTACAGACACGCCCAATGATGGACCATTAGCAGCTCTAATATTCGTTTCTTCCGATGCCAAAGGCTGCTGTAAGAAGTACGAGTGTTTTGTCGAAGCAGTGGAAGTTTCTTTAGATGCGGGTGCAAAAACTTGAGTACGACGACATTAGCATTTATAAGTTGACACTATTTCAACGACTCTGATCAGAAGAAATATCAGAATATGATTTTATAACGTTTTAAAAAAGATTTTGATCTTTGTTCACAAAAAAAAAAAAAAAAAAGATTTTGATCTATTCTCCATGCTGTTATTTATACCTCTACAATTAATTAAGTAACAAATATCAAATTTCCAAACATCTCCAATCATTTTCTACTTTTGAAGCTATTGTTTATTAGAAATTTCCATTTGGGACTTAATGAGTGGTACAGAGTACAGACCATATTTTTCTATATCTTTAGTAATAAATTTTAGTTAAATCAAATTTGGTTGTACAGAATTCAGGTTTAGTTTTAATGATTTGGTATATCATTCGAGTTATAGAAACCTATCACTGGGCTAAATTAGTCGATAGACCAATATACACCACAGTCCATTAAAATAAATTTTCTTATGCTTTAGGCCCCTTAATAATCTCTCGGCCCATTTAATTACCGATCATGAAATGATAGACGAGCAAGGAACAGATAAGCTATAACTACTCTTTATAGTCAAAACGACTGAGCAATCAATACTAACAACATATGTCCAGAAAACGTGTTTATGGACATTGGAGATTGGACATAGCGGCGATGCACTTAGGAAGGGACTGCTTCAAGCGTGACCACTCGCTGTCTAAGTTTGACTCTATGCCATAAGCAAGAAAAAATATTCAATCTTATTGAGCGAGATGGACAGAGCCTAAAAATTGTTAAACCTTATGTTCCAAACAAATTCCAAGACCTGTCCCTACTACGGAGTATTAAATATCAAAAACACAGAACACAAAAAATTAAGAAGAGTGGACAGTAGAAAAAAAAATGTGTTTCTTTTGGGATGAAAGCATCTTAAAACTTTCTTTGCTGATTTAGTTAGATTCAAGATGCTTCTTGACAATGTTTAGTGCAGTAGTCTCCTCACCGTAATCCTGTGACAACCAACACAGAACAGCAGAAATTAATCAACAGGACACAAGTCAAAGACTTTATATATCTACAGGTTCCAAAGATTCATGGATTAAGAGAAAGTAAAAAGAATCATTACCTTGACCACAAGACATGAGCATCCAACAACCTTCCTCGCATTGCCCTCTGAATCAAGCTTGCAAAGCTGCAGCCACATTCAAGATTAAGGGTAGAACGAGAGGAACCAAACATTCTTTTAAGAGAGAATTAACCAAGATTACTTACACCAGCCCATTCACCGAGTGTTTTGGCACTGGGAACCGTAAGCAAATTGATGTTGTGGTCAGTGCAAAGAGCTGTAACCAGCTTGACATAATCAGGTTGGTTGCAATCTTCAGCCAAGACACAGAGCTGAGCAACACGCTTCTCAATAAGCTTAGTGCTTTCATGGAGACCACGAACAACACCACCATAAGCACAAGATTTCCTAATTGTCAACTCCGCTGCAGTCATTAAATCCATGTCCTCTGGGATCACTGCTGCCTCAACAACCGGAGCAACAACAGCCGCATCACTAAGAAGATGAAAAAGTATAAGACTTTACCAGTTCTTGAATTATACTTAAATCATAACAATAAGCATTAAGAATTTCAAAGCACAATATCAAACAATCTGCATTTTTATGTAATAAATGCCCAACTAGAAAAGTTTAAAGACATAAAATAAATCCAAATCCAAGCATAACATCTATCTATCAAAAACAAAAACTCATACACCCTAACGTATCAACTATATTTTGTCACTGATTCAGTAGATTAAAGAATGTAGTAAACTCCAAGAAAGCTGCATCGTAAGAGAAACTTACCCAGACATATTAATTCTTTGAATTGGCTTTACGAACGAAGAGAAGCAAAAGTCTGCCAAGAAAATTAAGCAAATCAGCCTCAATAAGCACATAAATCAAAATTATAGGGCAGGATTTGTAACAACGCAGCGAAATCGAGGGGGGGAAGAATTAAAGTTCGACAATCGCATACATAACACAGATCGATTTCAATTGACTAACCTTAGAGAGAGAGGCTGCAACGAAGAGTAAAAGACGATAGCAAAATTTGAGTGGTGAATTTATATAGGTGGGCTATATTAGGGTTTTACTACGAACCTCGGATTCGCCACTGAATACGATTTTACAGATTTGTGATCAACCTGGGCTTATTTAATGGGCCATATCTTCTTTTCCACATTGTGTGTGATATTGTTGTATTAGGTTTTGCAAAGAGTAGAAAATGTAAAAATAGGAATCCCTTATTAGCCCACATAAACCTTTGATAATTATTAATATTTTAATACATGATGAAGAAGGGCGTATATTCTGAAACTAATAGTTTTCATATAAATTTTCTATTTTTTTTTTTTCATTAATTGAGTGATGTAATCTGTAATCAAAAAAGAGAGCTCAATACCAAAACGGCAAAACCAAATTTCATATAAGCACATAAATAACATAAACTGTTTAAAACTTTGAACTATAAATTTGTAATATACTGTAAATTTTATTACTGAACAAACTGACCATTTCTCAACACCGTACCTAATCCATACAGAACATTTCTTCATTGAACCAATAATTGCTATGATGTTGCTAAAATAAAATATTAAAAAATATGAGGAAAGATTCGTGTGTTCTAAAAACAATAAAAAAATATTCGTTTATTGACGGTTGAAAAATCAGTTGAGAAAGCTCCACTTCCGGTGACACATTTGCTAGAAGATTAAGAATTTACATAGAAGTTTGACTTCACCGAATATATATAACAGTTCTTTTACTGTAATCGAGAAAGTCGATCCTTGGACCTTGGCAAAAAGAATGTAGAGCATTCTTGATCTCACTAATCATTAATGGATGTACATGGCTAATGGGCTAATCTCCACTGCTAAAGCAAGGCCAAGTGGGTTTATTTTTAAGGATCAACACAACTTAATTGGCCTACGTATTGGTTCCTATTATATATTTAGGCGTATAGATTGCGACCTCTATGTAGGATGGAGAAGAGAGGTTGTATATTTAAGGTAATTCTTAAAATTATTTCGAACACAGTTTGTGGAACAGTACACAAAGCGACTGTAACAAATTTCTTCACTCATTGTTATTCAAAGAGGGGGCAAATGATAGTATATTCAATGAGAATCGTCCAACACTGAATATGAAAATGAAAAGCAAACTATTTGATGACTTCCGATGAAACAAATATAAAGATGATACATAAACTTACCAGTCGGTACTATAAAGAGAGCTTCTCTCTCTCATCACTTAAACTTGTCCAAGCCATGCAAGTGCATATATTTTAATTTAATGCATAATTTAGTTATACTTACAATCGGAGGCGGGCCGATCAAACACTTGATATTCAGTCTCTGGTTCGGCAACTTTGATGGGATATATACCCAATAAAAGATCAAAATTTGTAAGCCATCTAAGAATCCACTCTGCTCTGTTTTACTATGCTTTTGTTACATCCTTTCTTTGTCTCTGTAAATAATAAGAAAAACTAGTTTTTTTTCTTGCAATGTAGTATTAACCATTGGTTAATCAAAAATATGTGACAGCTCTCGAAACTTCTTTCTCTCTCTAGGCGATTTCCAGATTCCTCTTCACCGACTCTTTCAAATCGGCGATTTGCTTTCCGTCGACGGCGGATCAGTCTTCCGATTCATCGGATCTTCTCGTTCCTTTGCTATGGCAGATAAGGATCTCTGGATTTCACTCCAAAACCTCAACCTTGGACTAGAGCGAAGCCCTCTAAAGCTCTCAATAACAAGAGCTTTGTCTGTGGACAGAATCCCAACATACCATTATCCCTCCTAGGCTGCAGCCTAAGCAAATTAATAACTCAGCGCCGAAAACATTTCAGGAGGTACAGATGCCTCTTGGATAAATCAAGATAGTAAAATTGGCGTTGGGTGGACGTTGCATGACTCGCTTGGCCGATATCTACTCAAAGGAAGTGCCTCTTTAGAGCCTACTCAATCAGTCCTTGAAGCAGAAGCTCTTGCGCTAAGGGAAGCCTTGATTCATCTGAAGCGGCTCAACTATCAGAATGTCACATTTTGTGGTGACTCTCACTCTTTATATGGATATTTGGAAGGCATTTGGCACAAGAAGCTTCAGACCAGGGGATCAAACGAGATTCAAACTTATCTACAAGATATCTCAAAATTGGCTCATGACTCTTACCAATTCCGATACATCAATAGAGCAGCCAATGTTTTAGCTGACACCTTAGCCAGAGAAGCACGCGACAATGACTCTCCATATGTTATCTCATGGGTTCTATAGTTGTAAGTCATGAATTGTACTTTATAGCTGTGTAACCTCTGTTTCTTTAATGAAATATAAGGTTGACGACAAAAAAAAAAATATCTAAAATATGTAATTGATCACCAGGATAAAAAAAAAAAATGAACAAAGTGATTGGTTTTTGAATATTCATGTTTCAACTTTGGATAAAATATAAAACCTAAAGAAGAAGCGGAAGAAACTCTCTTATGTGTTTTTCAGTTGTTTTTGAAAGAAACTTGAAAACTAAGTTAAGGAAAGAATTGAGAGAGAGAAAGAGAGATTGCATAAAGTACATGACACGAGATGTATCGAGTTCACCCCCATAACCGGGCAAAGCTACATCTCGGGATAATCATCTCGGAATCCACATCTTTGAGTTTATGGAGATTGATCTTAATGTTTATACAAAGCTATGTTTAACAATAAGAACTACGAAAAGAAAACAAGTTTGGTTCATCAGACCCGAACCAAATGATCTCATTATGCACATTATAAATCTAGCCAACCCCATGTTCTCTCATCCTACATTGGAGATCCAAACTGACATCTATTAACCGAAAACCAAGAATAACCTCCTGCTCAAGTAGGCTTTTCCGTAAGAGTTTTGGTCCCTGAACTTGATGACGGCGCTGCATATCATCTCCGCAGCATGTAGCTGCACATACATACAAGTCGTGTCCAGTTTCAATACTTAATTTGATGGCATTATAAACTGTTTTGACCTACATGAAACTTGGGTAAGCTGGGCGTTTGGAGAGACCAAGCCGAACTTCCATGTCGTGGTGGTGGAAGTCAACTGGTTTGAGCATCTTAATACAGCTTTCTTCACCGATCGATCAATCAACACTTCAATTCTAAAGTTAACCAAAACAACGTTCATGAAACGCAGCTTCGATCATCATCTCTAGGTCTCTAGATGAGAACCTAACAAAAGAAGAGATTCAAGGAGAAGATAACAAACTTTTACAATTTTCATCAATGAATCTGTAACTTGATCTTCAGCTTCCTTTAAACGCAACAACTTCTGATAATTCATCTCAGCCGTTGTTTCTTCTCTAATCTTCACCGTCCACGTGTTTCTTCTTCTTTAACCTTCTTATTCCTGTATCAAATCCTTCCCCTTCGAAGAACCTTGACCTCAAGGTTAGAATGCAGGCAACTTCGTCTAGTTTTGATTCCTCCTCACTTTGTGGACTGATTCTTCTAGTTTTGAAGTTCCTCTGTTGTTTATACTTAAAACTCCAAGTTTTGGAAAATTTTCTCTGCTTCATTGTGATTCCTATCAATGCTCGCCCGACGCAGCTTTGAACCTCAAGAGCATATTCAAACAAGAAATCTGAATGATTATTTTCTGGAGGCCGTGGCGCTGACCCATAAAGAAAAACAAGCAAGGTGTTGTGGAAACCCACAACTCTTAACTTCACGAAATGTTCCAATATGTGTGCCTGGTGTATAGGGTGTTCTGTCTCCACTCCTAGCCTTCTGTTAAAAACGCCCATGCCAACAAAGAACATGAACATTTCATCCAAATATACTAGAGGCCTCAGCTTTGTATTCACTTTGCTATGCCAACTCTCTGATTCTTGTATTTCTTTCTTGGATCCTGCCATGCCCAGAGACTGATTGGTGCCTTGCATTTTATCGTTCCTCTCAACTAGAACAATACAAGTACTCCGCTGTGTAAAGGCCAAACTCTTGTTTTTAAAAGCACAACAACTTGGGAACAAGGCATGACTCCTCTGCAATTTTTTGCCTACAACTAGCAGCTCAACAAAAAACATTTCAAACAGATAACAACATTTCAGAACTCTATCACATTTGTAGTAGTTCTCTAACCATGTCCAGTAAACCTGTGTAGCTAGTAATCTCCCACGTTCCCATACACGATTAGGTCGTATAACCAGCAACAACATCTGCTTCTTATACTCGTAACCATATATGTCGAATCCATGCTTCCATTCTTTTAGACCAACACTAGAGTTTATAGTTAAACTACCAAGTTCCCTTTTCCAAGTCTGGGAGTCTGTTAATGGTGAATAAAGCATCTTTGTACTTAAGTTTGTCCCATAGAGCCTCTGTGATATCTTCACAATTATACCACACGTGTGAACATGACTAAGCCAATCCCACTGATCTTGTATACACGTTACCCCACCTGGCTTCCACACATAGTTTGCTTGAGAAAAACTACGGATAAAATCACAGATTATTAAACTTGTCGGAGGTAACCTAGTCATTTCATTGTCATGAACAAGCATCTTAGGGAGAATCAACATATCAACACCATGACCGAGTCTTGACTCAAATAAGTTTGTACCAGCATGTGACTGCAACCTATTGTTCATTATGTGGTCCGAGTCAGAAACCGGTACCTGAGGATACATAAACCTTCCACTTCGATGTGACACTTGCTCTGGTCTCGAGTCCATAACTTCACTCATCATATCCTCCTCTATTTGTGGCATGAGTTTTTGCAAATTTCGGTTCATGATTTTGAATTTCCAGAACTTGAATCTGATAAGTGGCCATATGGGAAGTGTTTCATGATACACTTGATCATTTTCCCTGAAACAATCATCTTTGAGAATGGACCAAGTTTTGGAAAACTCTTTCTTCTTCATCAAAGCAACTTTAGCACTTGAACAAATATATTTGTACATGACATCCTCTCTGTAAATCAATTTATGTGCAGTTGGATGCCGGTCACTCCTTGGTTTCCTTTGTTTGAATTTGAACCTCCAAGATTTAAACCATTTAGTTTTCTTCTTTATTCCAAGTCTTTCTTTATGTTGAGACATTTTACCAAACACCTGGTGTGCATAGCAAATTTTCTCGATACTTAGCACTTTCGGACTCCTCTCAACATCACCTTCAACCTCAAATATCTGATCAATGTTCTTTTGCACCCATTCTTGCTCCAGATTCTCGTCCATCACCACATATTCTCGATTTTGCACTACTTGCTTTACTTCCCTAAGTTCAATATTCTTTAAAATCTCAGAATTATCAATTGATACCTGAAACTGTGGAGTTGATTCTTCCTCCAAGATTGCTCCATGTACTAAGCCCATCGATTCCATCTCAACCTCAATTACTTCTTCTTCCTTATCCTCCTCAGCTTTCAGTTCACTATCCCTCTTAAGTGGAAGGATCCCAACGTTATCAATGTTGCTTCTAGGATGTGCATACTCATAAAATTTTCCAATTAAGAAACATTGCTGAATCGTTTGAGGCTGAAACATTTGAACATTCACTTGAGTATCAATTTGTAGACCATCCAAATAGACTCTAACCAAGTAATCTTCTGGCAGATTCACTCTTGTGCTAAGCAGCTCAAAATTTTTGTGATATTCAACAATACCGTTCGTCTCTTTTAACTGCTTTAGCTCAGCAATTGGATCATCTAAAACTTTCTCAAATCTATTTAATCGAATCGCTTCTAGCATCTCTGAAAACTTTCGATCAATTTCCTGATTTTGTTTCGTCATCAAATCTTCGAACGCTTGAATCCTTGATACAAACGTGTCTTCCGTTTTTCTAACCACCACTTCCTTCAATAACGATTGCGATCGAGTCTCCGCCATGGTTTCACGAACCACCGTTTCCTTGAATAACATCTAAGATCGTGTCTCCGCCATTGATACGAATCCGAGGATGACACAGCTCTGATACCTTTAATACAGCTTTCTTCACCGATCGATCAATCAACACTTCAATTCTAAAGTTAACCAAAACAACGTTCATGAAACGCAGCTTCGATCATCATCTCTAGGTCTCTAGATGAGAACCTAACAAAAGAAGAGATTCAAGGAGAAGATAACAAACTTTTACAATTTTCATCAATGAATCTGTAACTTGATCTTCAGCTTCCTTTAAACGCAACAACTTCTGATAATTCATCTCAGCCGTTGTTTCTTCTCTAATCTTCACCGTCCACGTGTTTCTTCTTCTTTAACCTTCTTATTCCTGTATCACATCTCGGTCTTTAGCAGCTCAAAAAGAACCGTAATGGCTGTGAATAAGAGAAGTTAAGAACATGAAATATCATAAGAATTATTTGATGTTCATTCATCACTTCTATCTGACAAGACAGCTCGTATTCATCTTCTATAATCTTCATACCCAGTGACGTTAACTATGGCTGCATTGCATTGTTCACGAATTCAAAAATTCTTCTAGAGTTTTTGGTAGCTGAACAAGGAGATCTCGCCGTGGATCATCTGCTGAGCTTGCGGCTGCACAAACATACAAGTACTGTCCAGTTCCAGTACTTGAAATCTTAAGTCCTTCAACGAATTGCTCATATGTACAATCGTTTGAGCCATGGGAACACCTAAAGTAAAACCAAAGATTTGTCAACAATCAAACAAAGATTTCTCAGCAATCAAACCAAAGATGCAATTATGTATTATTAGAGGCACTGCCTTGTACAAAACATAGGTTTTATAACAATTCCTATAATCAACCCTTAGCCAAAACAAGAAAAAAATATTCAGACAGAAAAAAAGAAAGAAAGAAACTGACCTGCATAATACTTTAGTAATACGAGAAGAGTCTTTTCCATTAGCTATTCTCTGAAGTATAACAGAGCAATTTAAACTCCATGGATTGTCCTTTGAGCCTTTCATGTACACATAACACCTCGTCTTGTCATTAGCAGCTCCAATGGGGAAGCTTAATGGCTAATAAGGGAAGTCGAAAACATGAAACATCATACGAAAATTCATTCAAGAACATAAAAACCTTGAATCACCAAAACTGCAGTTAATGTTTGTTATCAAAAGAGACTCAGACATCGAAAATTCAGCCATTGAAAATCAAATCAAAACCTCAGTTACTTGTGTTTGTTGAGAAATTGATCGTAAATCAAATTCAGAACACTCAATGCTATATTGGTCAGGTCACAAACCCATTAACATAAAAACCAGTGGAATCATTTATCCAGTAATCTGAATGATCATATGAGCAAAGAATTATGTGTGTTATACTTGTGTCAAGAGAAAAAAGTTGGCTCAAGGAAAAGGAGAAAACCGGGTCTGTGGGGAGTTCAAAATCAAATCATGTGCTCAAGTGAGCTGAGATATGGAATCTCGAATATTCGAGTAAGCGGTGCTAGAGAACAATTATTAAAGTTTACAATATTTTGTTATGATTAGATTTCCTGGAGTTTAGGTATATGAATGATGAATGTTAGCTTACTTGTAACTTTTATGTTGTGATTTGGTTAGACATGTGCCCTATATAATGAAGAGTTTTAGCATGGAATAAGAGTTTAGCAGTAGGGACTTGGTTACCTCGAAATAACGAAGTTGGAGACTCCCAAAACATGAGAAATCTTCTTGAAGGTTTGGATCAACTCTAGTTTGCACCCAAACAGAGAAATAAGTATCAGTCACACAAGACATCCGAATATAAACATATCTATTGCCCATAGTTAACATGAGAGCATAAGGACTGAACCGAGAAGAAGTAATGAGTAGAAAAGTAAAATAAAAATCTGATTCAGCTCAAAGACATCGCATATCGAGTCCAATCTCTGATCATGCAACATATTAGTGACCGCGCCAAAGGTTGAAGCATCTCCAGCAAACCTGCAACTCCTCGTTTCTTTGATGAGTTGAGCTGATGCCCATCAAAATAATCCTGAAAAAAAGTTTCTTGAGCCATAACAGAATTGCCCACTTGAGAAAACCCTTGGATAAGGGTATTGTAACTTGTAAGTGACTATATATGTCGCCAACCAATCCTCCTCTTTGAGACATCTAGCGGAAGAGTTCCATACCTTGGTCTACTCTCTTAGCCTTACAAAATACATGTATAAAGGTACTATAAGTTAAACTACGATTGGGAGACAGTCCTTCCTAATCATCAACTCAAACATATGCTTAGCCTCAACGCAAATCAAAACTCTAATTTGTCAATAAATTTGACACTCGTAAGGTGATTCCAGAACAATAGTCCAGTTATAGCGAGATATCTCGTTCTTGACAAGACAGGATGACTCTCTGGAAGCAAGCAAGTAGCACATAAAAGGAAACTCCATGATAAGTTGTAAAGCAAAACTAGACGGACCTGTGCTGACATATTCATGGAAACAGCATTATGCTTCTACAAGGCATATTCATTCATTGCGTAGTACCTGTGCAAGAGACCATTTTTTCAAGTATATGTGAGCGCATATATATATCGCCTCTTTTCCTCGTCGTATGATCTGTAGAAGCTGGGTCAATGCATCATCACTAAAGACATCAACCAACGATTATTAGCTACACGAAAGGAAACAAAATTGAAAATGTCAAACAGCATAAATCTGGTTTGGAAATCCCAAAAACCAAACTAGTAACAATGATCGATTGTGGTAATCTGCATCGATGGAGACAATTGAAGCACATCTAACCCCAATCGAATCAATGGAGGAGTATATGAAGTACATGAAGACCCTTCATCATTCATTCATATACTGCAGATACTTCTCCAATCTCCGATTTCAATTCAACCTATCCTCAAGTACGATTCTGAATACCACTCTAGAGACTCACCGAGAGACTTGGGATGAGAACAACCTTTCCGCATTCTCTGAAATCACTAAACCCAGTAATAGACTGATAACCGGGTTAAATTGGTTTTGGGTATGAAAATGGAAAATCACATGTACTAGAGTAGACAAGGGAAATTTGGTTTTCGCAACAATTCGTCAAATCCAATTCCCGGTTTACGTGAAAAAATATCGGGATTTCGTCTACGTGTCTGTTTAGTTTATCACGAGGGAAGCACTAAAATTCAATAACGAACTCAGTCACCTAAAGCTTGGTTATCATGAGAAAATTTGATTTGTCACTAGAAAATTCTTGCGAAATTCCAACACCGGTTAGATTGGGTTTTGTTTATTAAAAAAGCAAATCACATGTAAACAAGGGAATTTGGCTTTCTCAACATTTCTTCACTCAATTTCCCGGTCTTTCATACAATTCAATTCAATTCACTATGGAAGGGAGTGATTATGGAGCATTGATTTAGGTATAGCAATCCTCAAAAAGGTCTAGATACCCATGTAAGACATTTCTTTCTTTTCACTATATATACATGCAGTCATGCACTAACAAAAATGAGGAAGCAAAACTCTTGTTGGATTTTCATTTGAATGTAGATATACATATCAACACCTTTATACCCAGAAATGGGTTTTTAACTTTCTCCTTACATTATATCAATTAAGAAAAAAATAAATGTATAGTGCTGATTATCATCAATTATGGCTCAGTTTCAAAGACAATATACATCAGAGAACAAATATTTCAAGACACTAACAAACAGATATTTCGTGAAACACATAACACCTCTCATGGTCATTAGCAGCTCAAAAAGGAACCGTAATGGCTGTGAATAAGAGAACTTAAGAACATGAAATATCATAAGAAGATACATGGCTGTTCCAATGCCACAATCAAACTTTCCTCTGCAAGTTGTAAACAGGCTAAGAACTTCACTTTCCTAGGCATTTTCGTCTTAAATGGAATCCACAATCAACAATAATGCAACAAATGATGCTGTTCTCACAAGAACTTGCCCATCAAAGGCAAAAAAGATCTAAAAAAGTGACTGACAATGAACATTTTCAAGCGTTAACATTTCCTTTTATTCCTCATTAAAGAAGAAAAGACTTTCGTATAGCATATATATATATACTAGGGGAGGTCCCCGCGCCCAGCGCGGGGTTGTATGTTGATTAAGACCAGAATTAATAATTAATATTTAGGGTTATCAAGTTAGGGATATTTATTGAATTAATTTTGTCAAGAGTCTAATTTTTATAACGACATTAATATAGAATTATGGTAAAACGCTATAACTTTTGATATATATTATTAGTAATCAACAATTAATAGTGTTTTTGAATCACAAACAATTATTAGTGTTTATATCTTGATATATATAATAGAATTAAATATAAAAAATCTATATATTTAAACCAACAATATATTAGCAACGCCCCGACCGCCACTGTCCATGGGTTCCCACGTCCAGTCTCGGTCTTTAGGCCCATCTTCTTTGTTTTGTCGTACTCTTGATTTTATGACATATTCATGCTTACTCGTTTCTTTCATATTAGCAACGCCCCGATCGCCACTGTCCGTGGGCTCCCCACGTCCAGTTTCGGTCTTTAGGCCCATCTTCTTTGTTTTGTCGTACTCTTGATTTTATGACATATTCATGCTTACTCGTTTGTTTCATATTTGTAATGCCACGACCGCCACTGTCTGTGGGTTCCCACGTCCAGTTTCGTTCTTTGAGCACATCTTCTTGGTTTTGTAGTACTCTTGGTTTTATGACATATTCACGCTTCCTCGTTTCTTTCATATTTGTAACGCTCCGACCGCCACTGTCTGTGGGTTCCCCACGTCCAGTTTCGGACTTTAATTTGGGCCCATCTTCCTGGTTTTTGTTGTATTCTTGATTTTATGACATATTCATGCTTTTAGATTGTATGTCACTAGAGTTTTTCGTAGTTGGAAACAAATAATTGAAAAATATAATCTCTTACCATATCTCTTACCTATCAAGTAAGTCATCTTGCTCTTTGAAGTAGTTATGTACGTAAAATTTCAATGGTATAGAAACAGGCATCTCTTTTGTATATATCGTGTCATATTTATCGTCCCTATTGTAGTATCTTTGTCTCTACCTTCGCCATTGGTCGCTGCGTAACCCTTCAGTTGATCTCTTGTTTATAAAACCCATATAAAAAGTTGTAAGAGAAATATCATTTTCTTAACTGTATCGTATATGTATTTGTAGTATATTGATCTGAGATTGCAAAGATGTATGCCTATCAAGAAGCTCTTAGCAAAGTAAACACTGAAGATAGGTACTAAAAATGAGAGGATTACAGAGAGCAAGTATCTATCCCTTAGAAACCACTATGTGCAACTGAGAATAATTCATATATGTACATACATACACATGTATACAACGTATTGAAGCTTTTAAATTTAAATATCGAATGCTACAAAACTGGAAAATTGCTTGTGGAAAAAGCAATATGAACATGGCCACATATATAACAAATAACCGATTATGCTTGTCGTAGATCATTCTCTTTCAAACCAAAAGTTTTACCTAAACAACATATCAAGTGACTCACAAGAGATACATAAGAGCCATATCCTAAAAATATCCGGCAAAGCAAAAACGCTCCAGGTTCGAGAAGGAAGTCATTGGAAAATTTGAGTATATACCAAACTGGAGAGTAATTCGGCTACAAAGAGAGATGTGTTAGCTTTGAAGAAAAAGCTATGTGATGTTCTACCTTTTATTTATGAATTTTATGCTATGAATATATGTTTTTGTTAGGGTTCAACTTCAGTCTCCGGATTAGAGACTTATATTCATCCGACAAACAATTCGATGTCACAATCAACGCTACAAAATTGGTGGGTTCTCTCTATTAACAAACAAAAAAAAATTCTGGGATATATATATTTTTTTTGTTTTGTTAGATCCATACGACGAAGAACATGACGAAGAACACCAAAAATTCTCATCAATCCGGTACGTTTGATCTTATTTTTATTAGTTTAACAATTACGGTTATGTCCAAATCTGAAATAACCATGGCTCCAGACTCCTTCACACCATGGCCACATATCACCGGAGTGGAGACGATTTCAAATTCGGAGCTTCTCTTCGCATATAAAATCATACATATGGTCTCTTTGTTTTGGGTTCCCTCTACAATAATTAGTACATATTTCAAAACTGAGCTACAAAAGAGCACATTGGATTTTGGTAAACATCAAGATTGCTTCCTACCTTCCAAGAAACATGATAGACTAATTCACATCCAAGACCAAACATTAGCCACATAAAGCCTGAATCAAATTAAACGATCTTAGGATGCTCTTCATAATCCGTAAGTTAAAGAGACTTGCATTAATATTGCAAATTAGACTCTAGAGGTGCACAATGGTTAATCAGAGTGTATCAAAGACGACGAATAAAGCATGAATTAGAATATCAGCAGAGGAAGCACACAAATATTCAATAAACGTAATCAATCACTGAGAATAGCATGGACCCAACTTTTGAAAGATTCATAAAAAAGGAAGATTTTTCCTATGCAACAATATTCAAACAATGAGAAGATCAATGATTGATGACTAACCATACAACCGAAGCAAAGCCATAAACAGAAACGAAAGTACTAAAGAGCCACAACAGCAGTGATACGACATTTGTTTCCTCGCACTGGGAACAATGACGTGCTTCCATAAATCCAATCTAGTTTTTATGGAAAACAAACCTGCATTCATAATAAACACTACTATTAATTATTATTTTTTATGCAAAAATTAAATGGCAGTATAAAAAATTCAATAGTTAGTGCCGAAAAAAAAAGCAAGGATTAGTTATGATATCAAATCAAAATTAAATATCAAGCAAGGTATTTACATAAAATTAAGGCAGTGGAGGATCCAAGAATTTTTTATATGACAATATCTACAACTAAACAAAGAAAATTTATATATTTTTAAAACAGAATCATTATTTGTTTTTTGGTAAGATTAAAACCGAATCATTATCATATTAGTAAAATTATCATTTATTTATTATTATCCACGTTAATTTAAAAGTTTAAGAGAATATCTGCTTTTTTCTCATAAAAGGATGGGATAATAACATAACTCTTTTAGATTTATAACTATATTTGACATTATCATATTAAATCTATTAAGATAAATATATTTCTTTTTGAAAAATATAAATAAAATGATAATATAATTATTATAGATTTACAATTATATTATTATCCATGTCAAAATTTTAAAACATTTTACTTTTTTCTCACATAGGAAGATAGAACAATAACGTAACAGTTTAAGATTTACAACATAAAAATAATATCAGAATTGGAACGCCAAATCATAATCAACACAATTAACACAACTCTAATGGGAAATTAGAGTTATATTGTGATTAAAATACTAAACAAACAAAACTAACCGAAACAAAACAAAAGTCTTCCTTTCAAAATCATTAACGTGACGGATTGCTGACTGATTAAGTTGAAGTTTTAGGCATTTAAAGATCTAGAAAGATGATTAAGGTTAAAAATTTTTATTTATTTTAAACAACGTTTGAATGTTGACAAAAAAAGAAGAAGAGAGTGTTGGGACCATCGGGAGAGACAACGTTGAGCAGCTGCGAAAGAAGCCAACGTTGTCTATTATGTTCCTCACAGTGTTTGATTTGACTTTTGATGACATTACACTCCTGTCCACTTGTTGTCTCGAAAGTTCATGCAATGGAAAATTATTAAACAAAACAATTTACTTTTATGTATAAATCCTAGGGAAGAACCGATCAAGCTAAGATCAATGGTTGTGGTTTTAGTACCGTATACTTCTCAAATATACCCGTTGAATAACGGAAATCCGCAAGACGGGGAGGAGACGAAGTCAACCTAGCTGGCAAAGGAGCTAACCCAGCTCCTTTGGTCTTATTTATGGTCATATGTATTTAGCAAAATATGGTATACAAATCGAACTAATCAACAACAAAACCTGGTTTTAAATTGTTGTATATTTCTCAAAAGTCAAAACCCATAATAACCAATGGAACAGAAGAAGCTAATGCAGAGCATACTTACGCTTGGAGTAAAGAGTGATGCAAGCTTCCATTGGCACACCCGAAAACGCATCAGAGCATGGAAAGAAACCTAAAAACCAATAAATTAAACAATAATTAAATCTTAGTGCATGGAAAACGAATCCTATACATACCAAAGTCCGAATCTCAGTGCCTTAGAATGACCTCGATACCAAAAACTTTAAGTTACTACTTCAATATATGTAATATTTTAGTTTGGGGAGAGAGATTGGCAACGAAGAGTAATTCCTGAATTTAACAGCCAAGTTTGTTATCCCTAATCTAAAGAGAGGAATACTTAAATTGTATTAACGACAAAAATTAGCCTCCTCTGAAGATTCATCCCTGAAATAAGTCATCTTTCTGACTTTGTGGCAACTGTGTTATCAAAAGTTGAGTGTTTCTTCTGAGAAAAGACATATTTGAAAATAATAAGAACATGTACCTCAACAAAATCGGGAGGTACCTCATCTTTTTACAACAAAAAGAAACATACCAAACCATCGATGATTACCTTCTCAAAAGTTGAAACCAAACTTTTTGATTATAAAAATTGATTAGTGGTGAAAATAGTGAAACCATAAATACAAAAAAAAAAAAAAAATCAAATTTGTACATATAAACTATAAGATCACCTGTTTATTCATTGAATTAGGTCCAAATTTTCTATACACCAGTTCACATCGTCCCCTCCATACATCCACCCTACAATAAAAAGAAAAAGAAAAATTAGGTAGAAGCAAAAAAAAGTTTGAAAAAAAAAGAACAAAAAAACAAGGGTTAGTTATGATCTGAAATTGAATACCATGAGCAAGGTATTTATATTGAATAGGAGGCGGTGCATGATTTAGAGTTTCTAAATTTTTCGACGATAAATACAAAAAAAGAAAAGAAAGACATGCATGGTATCCATATGCGTCATGTCACGCTGATCCATATTTTTTTCCAAAACTCGATCTAATTGCTATTATGTGCAAAAATCACCGCCGTTCACGTTCATGTTCACGTTAGCACTCCATACCTAATTCACATGTAAACCTCTCTGCCTATCTCTGACTTCAGCTCTCTCATCTTCGAGTCTCCCCAAGAAAGTTTTGACACCACACCAACATTTCATTCGTCAAAATTAAATCGAGTTTGCACAAGGTTACAACCGATTAATAGGTGGTCTTCTACCTTCTATTTACGATTTTATGCTATGAATATATGTTTTTGTCAGGGTTCAAGTCAATCTCCAGATTAGAGACTTATAATCATCCGACGAACAATACGATGGCGTGATAACCGTTTCTAAATTGGTGGGTTCTCTTTCATTGATCTACATATTATTTTTTTTGACGACAAACACGACGATCATACCAAAAATTTCATCTATTCCGGTACGTTTGATCTTTATTTTAATTAGTTTAACAATTAATTGCCGTTTACGATTAATTTCGGTTATCTAAATCTTATTAATTTGAGTAAGGTTAGAATAGTATTCTTTTATGTTTATATTAATGCTCCGATTAATAATTTTCGGATATTTGACATTATCATCTTAAATATATCAATATTATAATAAATATTTTCCTTTTCCGATTTTTTTTTTGGTATAATTCCTTTTCCGATAAATTATGAAACAGATCTGTTTCCCCAAAAGGTAAAAAAGAAAAAAAAAAAAAAAAAAAAAAAAAAAAAAAAAAAAAACCATCAACCGTCTCCATTCACACGTTTCTTCATTATGATCACGAATTCACGTTCATGGAAGCTTCATCATACATTAACACTTACAAGTTTCTTCGTCGAGTTTTTATCCAAGGTTTCTTCGTCAACTCTGTATCCAAGGTAATAAATATTTGTTCTTTTCATTGGTTAGAATTATAGGGTGCAGGATAGTATTGACGTCTTAAAGACATAACATGGGCAAGATACTATGAGAAGCTTGACTATTCTGCTTCGACAGATCAACAAGTGAAATTCTATCACTAAATTATTAGATCTCTGTTATTGCTATGAATATATGCTTTATGTTAGGATTTCAAGTTTTGCCTTCGTTTAGAAGAATTATATTCACACGACGAAGAACACGATGAATTCAATTAAAGCTTCCTAACTGGTACTTCGTTGTTCCTTTTTTTTTTTGGTTAATTATCATGTTTATTGTTTCCAAAATTATTTTTCCTGGTTAATTCCGAAATTCAATTTAATTTTTCCAAAATTAATTAGATTTCATTAAGGGTAATTAAGTAATTACGTAAAATCAATGACTCAACAAGAGCCGAGAGTCCGACACGTCAGCAAAAACACTTCTCAAATATTATTATATATAGATATATATCAAGACACTTTAACCACTGAACTCATCAGGTTATCAACTTGCCTTCCATCCAAAAAGAACTTGGCAGCTTTACAGGATGCTGTTTTCGACTCCTCCACACGAGCCGTCCTTTTCCTTTTTTCCTGATTATCAGTCATATTATCAATGGCTACTTTGCTGAGCTCTATAAATTCTTTTAGAGCATGGGTAAATCCAGTCAACTCCGCAGACAACTCATCCTGGAGTTGACGCTCGGATGATGCTTCAACTTCAGAAGACGGCTGAGATTGAGATGAACCCTCAGAAGATACGTTCACAACAGTCGCGTCCTTAGTAGCAGATGTAGTAGTAGATGCAGATGCGTTCACAGTAGTAAATGCACCCTCGACAGATGGGTTCTCAACAGATGGGTTCTTAACAACAGATGCAGATGCGTTCTCAGAAGTAGATGCACCCTCAACAACAGATGCAAATGCACCCTCAGCAGGTGCGTCCTTAGTAGCAGATGCAGATGCGTTCACAGCAGCAGATGCAGATGCGGTCTCAGGAGCAGATGTAGATGCGTTCTCAGCAGCATATGCAGATCCGGAAGCAAATCCCCGTTTAGATGCTTGTTTACTGCTTCTCTTCTCTCCGGTATAGTGGCTGTGAAAGATCTTGATACATGGAGATTCAGGAATTTGCGACCAATCTAATTTTTCCAGCTTTACAATTGCATTGGGCTGAACTATCTTTTTTCCCTGCTTGACCTTTGCAGCTGCTTCAGAAGACGGCTGAGATTGAGATGCACCCTCAACAGATGGGTTCTCAACAGATGGGTTCTCAGTAGTAGATGCGTTCTCAGTAGTAGATGCACCCTCAACTCGTGCGTCCTCAGTAGCTGATGCAGACGCAGATGCGTTCTCAGTAGTAGATGCACGCTCAGCTGGTGTGTCCTCAGTAGTAGATGCACGCTCAGCTGGTGTGTCCTCAGTAGTAGATGCACGCTCAGCTGGTGCGTCCTCAGTAGCAGATGCAGACGCAGATGCGTTCTCAGTAGTAGATGCACGCTCAGCTGGTGTGTCCTCAGTAGTAGATGCACGCTCAGCTGGTGTGTCCTCAGTAGTAGATGCACGCTCAGCTGGTGTGTCCTCAGTAGTAGATGCACGCTCAGCTGGTGTGTCCTCAGTAGTAGATGCACGCTCAGCTGGTGTGTCCTCAGTAGTAGATGCACGCTCAGCTGGTGTGTCCTCAGTAGCAGATGCAGATGTGTCCTCAGTAGCAGATGCAGATGCGTTCTCAGTAGTAGATGCACCCTCAGCTGGTGCGTCCTCAGTAGCAGATGCAGATGCGTTCGCAGTAGTAGATGCACCCTCAAAAGCAGATGCAAATGCACCCTCAGCTGGTGCGTCCTCAGTAGCAGATGCAGATGCGTTATTAGTAGTAGATGCACCCACAACAACAGATGCAGATGCACCCTCAGCTGGTACGTCCTCACCCTCAGCAGGTAAGTTCTCAGTAGCAGATGCAGGTGCATCCCCAGCAAGTGCTTCAAAGTATGCTTTATATGCCTTCTTTGCCTCGAGTTTTTTCACAAAAGATATATATTGGAGCTGACTCTTTCCCTCTAACCGTGCAAGTTCGTAAGGTTTCATATCATTCTTGTAGAGTTTTTTTCACACTCTCTTCAAGGGGGAAGTAGAAAAGGCTTGATTCTGCTGAGGACTGCTGCAGTTGAGAATCCACCTCAGGCTTGTCTTTCACCATCGTTCACAGTAGTAGAATATGAGATTCCTTGTCGATCTTTAGAGCAAAAAAAAAACAAGAGAAATTTTCCCATCAAAATCACTATACCAGAGAACTATCAATTTAACAACAACAACAACAACAACAAGAGACTTGTCTGCTGTTTCTACCTAAGAGATTTAAAGATGTTGAATTTTCTATGAGTTTCTTGATAAATTACCTTTGCTCGGTGAACTTCTTCTTCTTGCTTCAGAGAATATAAAAACCAACCCTACATGAGAAATTAAGAGAAAAATCAGAGGAACTTAGACTATCAAAATCACTATACCAGAGAACTATCAATTTAACAACAACAACAACAACAACAACAAGAGACTTGTCTGCTGTTTCTACCTAAGAGATTTAAAGATGTTGAATTTTCTATGAGTTTCTTGATAAATTACCTTTTGCTCGGTGAACTTCTTCTTCTTGCTTCAGAGAATATAAAAACCAACCCTACATGAGAAATTAAGAGAAAAATCAGAGGAACTTAGACTATCAGGAAAAAAATTTCTCCGGGAAAATAAAATTTTCTCGGGAAAGTTACAAAACAGAAGCGAGAATGAGAAAATAGAGAGAAGCAATAAAAATTATTTTTTTTCCTTCCGTGAACTTCTTCTTCTTCTTGCTTCAGAAAAGATCAAATCATAGAAGAAGAGGAACTTATACTACAGAAAACAAAATTCTCAGGAAAATGAATTTTTTCTCGGAAAATCTTGTAACAGAAGCGATCATAAGAATTTACCTTGTTCTTGGTTCCGTGAACTTCTTCTTCTTGCTTCCAAAAATATCAAATCAACACTACATGTTGAGAGTTAAAAGAGAAATTAAGAGAAGAAGAAGAGGAATTCTCCGGGAAAGTGAATTTTTCTCGGGAAAAGAAGAGAAACTCAAGGAAGAAAATCAGAGAAAAAAATCAAAGAAGAGATTATGAGGAAGAAGAACTTAGGCGAGACTCAAGTAAGAGAAAACGGACTGAATTAGAGAGAAGAGAGAAGACGAAAGATTCTCGGAAAATCTTGTAACAGAAGATGAAAAATTACCTTGTTCTTGCTTCCGTGAACTTCTTCTTCTTGCTTCCGAAAAGATCAAATCAACCCTACATATTGAGAGGGAAGAGAGATTAAGAGGAGAAGAAGATGAATTCTCCGGGAAAATGAAAGATTCTCGGAAAATCTTGTAACAGAAGATGAAAATTTACCTTGTTCTTGGTTCCGTGAACTTCTTCTTGCTTCTGAAATGATCAAATCAACACTACATGTTGAGAGGAAAGAGAAATTAAGAGAAGAAGAAGAGGAATTCTCCGGGAAAATGAAATTTTCTCGAGAAAAAAGAGAGGAGAAACTCAAGGCAGAAAATCAGAGAAAAAAACAAAAGAAGAGATTATGAGGAAGAAGAAGTTACGCGAGACTCAAGTAAGAGAAAACGCACTGAATGAGAGAGAAGAGAGATACGAATTTTCCCTCCATTGAATGAGAGCGAATGAGTCACTGACACCTGTCAGCTCTCTTGTGCGGCCTGTTTTGAAGTATCCGGATCCGGATCCGAACACATATCCGTTAAAAACCCGGATATCCGGATCCAAACCACACCCAAAGTTGACAAAACCGAAATCTCCCAATCTCCGGCAAATACTCGGAAAGCTGATGAAGCATCCACAGTTGCGAAATCCATCGTGCTGTGGTGATGATGAGCGGAGATATGGCGGTGACATTCTAGCTGGTTCGCTGGGGAAGAAGACTGATAGCCTCGCGTGAACTCTCCGCCGGAGTGCTTTTTTTTTTTTTTTGAGCAAAAGAAATCGAAGAAGCTTAACCTAATTTTTGTCCCAACTTTGATTTTGTGAGATTCATATGTATTGGGCCAAGTCAAACATCAAGGCCCAAACTGTTAAACCCAGCTTCATCTTGAAACTGTTACACAGATCCCGTGTTTCCCAAAGTTAGTAGAACTACATTGACTTGCCTTTGATCTTTTAGACAACATTCTTCAATGTTAATTTAATCAGAAAGAACCAAAAAAAAAAAACAACCGTATTTTTCTAATGTTTGAACATAATTAAGAAATTTCACATTAGAAAAACTTTTTAAACTGAGAAGGAAAAAGTATCAGTTTGTAACCAATAGCGAAAGCGGAACATAACTACTTAAAGCCAAAGACTAACCCAACTCGAATTCTTATATTTTTTGGGCCAATTAGATGGCTGTAGTATTTTTGTCTGAGTCAGTTAGTATCTCTTCTTTATTCTACACATACTGTTTTTTGACTTTTTTGCCCCTGGCTATAGGCCCCATGAAACGAAGGTTTTTGCTGATGACGTCAGGAGAGATGGAGAGACAAGTATTTTCATTCGTTCACCTTTTTCATTTTATAAAATATATATATTTTAAAATTTGAATTATAACTATTACGTTGCTTACAAAAAATTTACGCACCACGATTTTATATTACAAGTATATGCAAAAAAATTGTGCATATGATATATCAAAATTATATAAACCAGATATCAAAATAAGATTTTTATTTAAATATCAACATTATATAAACCAGTGATTTCTCATAGGTCTACAAGGAACACGTTAAATTACGTCGTTTAATATTGAACATAACTTCGGTTATAAAATGACTTAACACTTATACCGTCAGTTCATAGACCGACTTAATATTCTATGACGCTAAAATTCTTTAACTTTAACGTCATTTACGCAGAAGTGAATAAAAGTCTTTAAGCATAAGAAAATAAAACCATACAAACATTTTCTGCTAGATTCATGTAATAAACCTTTCTTTAATGGGATCCCCACATGATTCATCAACAAATATTTAATTTTTCGATAGAAGAAAACACAAATATTGATAACAAATATTTTGGTCGGTTTAGTAATGCTTCTAATTCAAAAGTTTACGTCGTTTTACGAAATGACTTTGGTTAACTGACGTAATCCAGCGTGTTTTTCGTAGTGGTGTCAGGTTACCATGTCTACGTAGAAGGGAAAGATCTGGCCACATATATCTTGAGAAAGTCTTGCTTATTAAAGACAGAAACAATATCGATCGGACCAGGGTTGGATCAACAAAAGAAGCTTCAGATGGAGACAGAGGTGAAATTTTCTTTCCGTAGTTCACCCACATGTAACCTCGTAGTCAATGAACATTGGAATTGTTAAATTTGATAGACATCTTTGGATTTGATCTATTAAAGTTTTTGTTGCATTTGATTTTGATGATTACATAGCTGTTTTAAGTGTTGACGAGGAATTACATATTTAGCTAAACGTGGAAGTTGCTTTTGAAATGAAAACTGCATTTTAACAACATCTATGAAAACAACGATGAGTCTATACAAACCTCACGACCCATCCAAATCCATCTTAATGATCTTACAACTACAAAACAATCATCACATACACGTCACCCCAACTTAGAAAAAAAAAGCAAACACCAATCAGAAAAAATAAACACAGCTAAGCTCTAACTTACAGTTTGGGACGAGAACGAATCACTTTTAAGCTCGTTGTGACCTTCTTTGTCCTCTTGCCACAACCATTTTGGACAAAACCTCTTCAAGATACTCACAACGGTCTCTATGGTGTTCGATCCATACACATAACTGTCTTATCGCTTCTCTCTTCTCTTCTCCTAATCCCAACAATGTCTCCTTCAACTTCTCCTTCTCTTTCTCCTCTTCTCTCACTTGACCTTCAAGCTTCTTCTCCATCTCTTCCTTATCCTTCTCCATCGCTTCTTTCTCCTTCTTCATCACTATCACACACTTCTTCGCCGTCAGAAGCATATTCGTCGCTTCGACCACTGTTTCCTCGTAGCTTTTGTGCTTCTCCTCAAGTTTTTCAGACAGGGATTGGAACCGGTTTAGTATTGTTGAATTCACTCTCTCTGATATCTCTTTGATCATACCTCGATATGTTTCGTGGGTTGTTGCGATTTTCTCCTCGAGCAATGCTTGTTCCTCTAAATGCTTAGCTTCTATTCTCTTCAACTCTCCTTCTTTCTCTGTTAACACTTGTTCGGTTACTCTCAGTTTCTGGTTAGACAAACGGAGTTTAACCTCGATGTTACTCATCTTCTCCATCAAACTCTCTATCTCGTCTCCTTTCATCTCTACTTCATTACGTAGACTCTCTACCGTCTCCTCGAGATCTACAATCGCGGATTCCCTCGATGCAACATCTTTACCGGTCTCTTGCATTCTCCTCTCTGTCTCCTCCATCTTCGACATGTACTCCTCCAACATCTCTCGTGCTTGTTTGTAATCATCTGTTAGCTTCTTGATTGTTGCTTCTCGTTCTTCGAACAAGCCGTTGATCTGTTTGTGTTCTTGGCTCAGCGTATTGTACGCAGCTTCTTGCTCTAACAACGCTTTCTGCACATCATTTATCTGATTCAGTAACGCTGGTTTCTCTTGCTTCTCTCTCTTGAGTTCTGCATCGGTTTGCCCCTGTAGACGGTTAACTTCTTCCAGTGTACTCTCGTGATCTTTCGCCTTATTCGCAAGCTCTGCTTCCAATCCATCTCTCTCTTTCTTCACATCTTCTAGCTTCTGATTAAGATCAGATTCAGTCTCACCAGCAACTTCAAGTTTCTGATTTAGTTCTTTGTTCTCACTCATTAACTTCTCAGCTTCAAGTCTCAAATTCCCACAGATCTCCTCTGATTCCTTTAACTTCTTCAAAATCTCTTGGTGCTCTGATTCAACAGCTTCTTTTTCTTCATCAGTTGTTGCTAACTTTCTTTTGAGATCAGCAATTTCAAGATTTGCATCTTCCATCTGTTTCTTTACCAACTCTATGTCATTCTCAGCCCGCCCGTTTCTCTTGCTCTTCTTATCTGAATCCGAGTCTGAACTCGAAGAAGAAGAGCTCTCGTTCTCTCCTTTCCCATGAACTTTTTTCCTGATCTCACCCGTTAGATCATCGTATTGTTGATACAAAGACTCATACTCTTTGTAGAAGTCCTTCACTAACTCAGCAACCACTAGTCTTTTGGATTCATCTTCCTCAATATCTCCACTCTCAACAATTCCTAAGATTTTCTTCACTTTCTCATCAATTTCTGCATTGTTGAGAAAAGTATATTTTCTCCATTTAAAACCAAAAGACCTATGGATTTAGCATGATCTGACAAAAAGTAAAATAACAAGTGCACAAAAAAAATTACCAGTTTTTGTTCCTTTGAGTGATTCACCATTATCAGGATGAAGATGAGGCTCAAAGAAAGATTTTAAGGAGTCTCTAATACTAAGCTTTCTCATTTCTTCTTCAATCAAAAGATTCGAGATTTGGAACTAACAAGTCATGTCCGGGACATCAAGCACGATCTGTACTTTACACAATATCACAGAGAAGACATGTGAGAAGAAACTATAACTTGTTCAAGACAATTAGCAATATTCAATTGAAAAAGATACCATCATTTTCATGTTTAGTAAACTAATGTTAATTTGGGGCTGACTTGCAATTGAATAGTAACAGAAATGAAAAAAAGAAAAAGTAGATGACTCAATTGGAGCCTGACATGACCAAACAAGTAGATACCAGAAGTATAACTATTTAAATCAAAGTATAATATGAATATCTTATGACAAAAAGGTGAGATTAGTTAAAAGGCAGATGGATCCATCCCCATCCTCTGGTAATAAAAATACAAAGTAGTAGTAGATACTCTCATGATCCAACAACAAACTATAGAGATCCATACCAATGTGATAGTTTTTAAAACTGATTACAAACTTTAAAATCCAAAATTGCTAATCAGTTTTTAGCAATTAATCTGATAGAAAAATGATTAGATGCTAATTAAGAAATGAATGGTAGGAGAATGTAGTGGAGAAACTTTAAGGGGAATGGGAACAAGAAAGCACATAGAATGATCATAAAAAGACAGCTATCATCATCATCATAACCATATGAGTTGTTTCTTTTTATGTCTCTATTATACAAAGACAATAATAGAGGTCTTCCAAATCTTCCCCCAAAAAAATGTTAAAAATATTAGCATTTTGAAACAAAGATGATACACTAACTAGTAGCAGATCAAAATCGAGATTTAATGGAGTTGCATGAAAGATTAATAACAAAGATCCAAGTACATGAATTACAAATCTGCCAAAACTAGCTATGATTAAGGAACATGAGGTAGACTATTATAGAAACTAAACACCATTGATAAATAGCTAGAATATCACCGAAACCTCTTAAGAGCATAACCTGAGTTTAGCCTATAATCTCTACAAATAAAAAAAAAAAAAACTTCAAACAAAGAAATTCACTAGAAGATGAGCTACTACACCAGATCGAAGAGTTAACAAGAACTAGGAACTTGAAATCGAAGATCTAATCAAAACAGAGATATCGAAACTCAGCTCAATCATCAAGTGATCGGAGATCTTTTTTTACCTGGAAGAAGAAGCTCCGGTGACAGAAAACGGTAGCTAAAAAAAACAAAGGAGATATTTGTATACAAAAATTAATGGCGAGAAAATGAAACGAATTTATAAAACCGACGAAAGAGAGAGAGAGACAGAGGAGAAGAAAAGTGGTTCGGTTTTGGACTTTTTTATGCCAGCACAGAAAACGTTAGATGAGTTACATTTCCAATTATACCCCTCCGTTCTAGAGTTTATTACGTTATTTACCACTGACAAACCGGTCAACAATATTTTACATTTTGACTTTTCTAATATTAGGATTGAGATAAAAATAAAAAACATTGTAATAATAACTTTTACTTGTTATTATGGTAGATTACAAAATTTTTTACAACAACAATGAATCCACGATCTTACAGTAAATATTTTATATTTTTGCAAGATGGGTTAGTGAGTGAATATAAACAAATAAATAACAATTTTGTGAAAAATGGAAAAAGAGTTGAATTCTTTTTTATAAAAAGTTAGGTGTTAAGATGATCAACCTTTAAGATTGATGATTTCTTGAGTTGATCGTATCGATCTCGTTGATAATCCACAAGAATACAGAGTTGTCTTATGGCTTCTCTCTTCTCTTCTCCTAAACTCAACAATTCTACTTCTCTTCCCTTCACCTTCATCTCAAGCTCTTTTATCCTCGTTTCGAATTTGCTCAAAACCTTTGCTAGTTTCAGTTTCTCTGTTCCTTCTTCCGCAAGCTTCTTCTCTAGCTTTGATAACTTCTCCTTCAACAATGTTTCTTGAGCTTCTCTGCATTCTAGCTTTGCCGTTAGAGTCTCTACCTCGCTCTTCTTCTCACTCACCCAAAGCTTCGCTGACTCCATCTCTTTTGCTAATCTAGCAACTCGGTTCGTGGTTTCCTCTGCTTCTTCTAGTTTCTTCATCGCGGTTTCGGATCCTGTGTACCCTTTTTCCAATGCGCCTTTCATTTTATTGAATTGGGTTTCGAAAAACATCAAACTTTCTCTGTTTTCCTTGTTTTCTTGAAGCATGTCTCGGGTTTTGATGTAGTCGTTCTTGCTCTCTAAGTGTATCTGTTCAGCTACGTGGATCCTCCTGTATAGTATCCTAATATGATCTTCTATCTTCATCCGGAAATCTTCAGCTAATTCTTCCATTTTCCTCTCTAACGCATTTGGATTCAGTTTCGAATCTCGGCTCGAACCAAATGACCAACGTTTCGATAGCTTCTGATCTTCAGAGAACTTATCAATGGTGTCTTTTTGTTCTTTGAGAAGCCTCTGTTGATCCTTGATTTTCGCCGATAGCCTGCGAAAAGAGAAACATACAGACTTAAAGCCTGAATACTCCGAGAGCAGTCGATTACTTTGAAAATCAAAACACGTCTGTTGTTTACCTGCGAATAATATCATCTTGTTCCTTGACCAATTTCTTCTGATCAGAAACCTGAATGTCCAATTTCTTGCTCGCATCTTCCATTTCATGAGCGCTCTCTGTCTTCATCTCCATATGTAATGATTCGAGCTCTGCGATTCTTCTATGCAGCATCTGATTTTCTCCTCTAAGATGGCCAATCTCTTCATTCAGTCTATTACGCTCTTCCTCTGTTTCTTCTTCCAGACTTTTCAATTGCATCTTCGTCTCTGTAACTTCTTCTACTTTCTTCTCCAACTTTGCTTCAGATTCATCTTTCTGGCTCCGCAATGATTCAAGCTCATGTTTCATACCATTTACCTGATCCGTCAATCCCTTAACGCGTTCTTTCTCTTCGACTCTCTTAACTTCTAAATTTCCAGCCAAACCCGCATTTCGTGCACGAAGGAAACCGATTTCTTGTTCTAAATTTTTTAATTGGCATTTCAAATCTTCGATTCTCGATGTTAAACCCAACTCACTATTCCCAAACTTGTTCACAAGTATTGATATCTCATCCCCTTTCTCTTTCAAAACCGATTCCAAACCGGAGATCTGAGATCTTAGCCCTTTGTTCTTCTCTCCTAATTGCTTACTTTCACTAGCTTTCATCGCAATCTCTTTCTCTAAATTTCCTTTCCGATCACACTCAGCTTTTGCATTACCTAGCTCTCGTTCTAGCTCCTTCACACGCAAAGTCAATTCTCGTTGTTTCTCTTCAGCCTCATTCCTCAATGCCTCAATCTTGCTTTGAAGCTCACCAATTTCAATTCCTTCCTCAACAACATTCTCTATTTCCTCTGAAGAGTAATATTCCAAATCCGAACTCGATGAAGCAACACGCGATTTCCCTTTTCTTCTGCCACCACTTTTCGGATCTAAATCTTGTTGGAAATCATCACATACAGAATAGAGAGACTGACACTGCTCTTGAAGATCGTTAACAATCCCTAGAAGCTCTCTCTTTGAATCCCTTGGAATCCTGTTTTTGTTTTGGATGAACTTTAAAAGTTTTGAAACTTTCTTCTCCACTTCTGCAGAGATAACAAGAGAACTAACAAAACCTTACATAAACAATTTTCAAAGACGAAAATAGTATTTGCTGTGATTTAATCTCCATTGAGCATTAATTCAAAACAAATCTTACCTGTTTTTGCTCGCTCCATTCTTACGATCCTCGTTCTTGCCTCTGCATTTGAACCTCACCAAACAGAAAGATCAATAAAATGTCCTGCAAACACACAAAATAGCAAAAATCACAAATGTTTAGTATCATATATATCCAAAAGGAAACCCCTGTCATTATTATACGTGACAATAATCTTTTAATTTATGCATTGATGGGAGAAATAATCTTTTGCCCTGTAAAATGGGAATGAACCACATTTCTGATTACTTTTACCCCAAGAAAGCTTCACAAAAAACAGAATAAGAGAATGATCTCACGTAACGATACAATGGGGATCAAATCAAAATAAAGAGACCACTGAAACATCGATTTTGATCAGAAAGATTGGAGAACAGAACAAACTGTATTCTACGATTTACATTGTCCCTTCAAAATTTTCTGCACTTTCTCAGCAAAATCACAATTCTTTAAAATTGACAGAAAAAAAAAAGGATTGAAAATATTACCAGGTGTGAGATCGAATAGTTGTTTCTTCGCCTTCCTTGGAAAGCTGAAACCAAACAATGATTTAAATCTAATCATGATTTTTAAATTAGAAAGAGAGATTTTTAGCAAAAAGATAGAGCAATATTAGAAGATAGAGCAATATTAGAAGTTGTGATAAGAGGAAAAAAGGATAAATAAATAAAATGTAATGGTTTTTTTTGTTTACCAATATTAGAAGACATGTACTCAAAAATCCTAACCTTTTCATTTATATCAAGCCATAATCTGTTGTTCTTCACAATTAAAACCAACTAATGCCTGGCAATTTCCCTCCAAAGCTTTCTGATATTCCATCTCTAAGCCTTTCTACTTCATCCCATCTCCCATATCTTGCATACACATTAGAGAGCATCACTTTGTAAACACTTCTTCTCTCTTCTCCACTCTTCTGTATTTTCTCTGCTACTACTTCAGCCAAATGAGTGTTCTCATGAACTTCACAACATGACAATAGTGCTCCCAAAATTCCTGAATCAATTGGTTTTCGTAATGACATTACAAACTCAAATGCTTCTTCCAGTTTTCCAGCCATTCCCATTAGCTTTACAATGTAAACATAATGCTCTGTTTGCGGCTTAATACCAAACTCACTCTTCATCCTCTCGAAGATATCTTGACCTTTGTCTAAAAGACCCGAATGGCAACAAGTACAAAGAAGAGCAGAGAAAGTGATCTCGTCGGGTTTCAATCCCATCTCAAGCATCTCAGTGAACTTTTCAAACGCAGAGGAAGCAAAACCGTGCAAGCCAAGACCCAAAATAAGGGAGTTGAAAGAAACAATGTTTTTCTCTGGAATTCCTGCGAAAAGACTCATCGCGCAATCCAGAAGCCCACATTTTGAGTACATGTCTATAAGACCAGAGCACACCTTTATATCAAGTTCTAGTCCTAGTCGAATAACATAACCGTGCACTTTTTTCCCGTAGACTGAATTCGATAACTCAGCACAAGACCCTAATACAATCGCCACAAGAACACAATCTGGCTTCTTACCACTCATTCTCAGCTCAGCAAACATATGCAAAGCCTCCTTGTGATTCCCGCATCTCGAATAACCAGTTATCAAAGAAGAACACGCAACTAAATCAGGCTCACAGATGCTATTATACACACTACAAGCAGAAACTATGCACCAGCATCTCGAGTACATGTTAACTAAAGCACAACCAACATAAGAATGAGAATCTAGATTGATTTTCAAACAAAATCCATGAACAGACCAAGCAATGAGTAACAAACTAGGATCAATCAAACCAATTGTTAGCGCTACCATTGTATAACAATTCGGTAGATGTCCTCGATGTTGCATCAAGTTAAACAAATTGATTCCTTTATCCCAAAATCCACAGCATCCATATCCAAGAATCATAACATTCCACAGAGCAAGATCTGGATCTGGTATTGAACAAAACAACTTACTTGCTTCAACAATAAGGCCAGCTTTTGAATAAGCTTTAACAATTGCACTGCCACAAATTTGATCAAAACCAAGACCAGACATAATTGCAATCCCATGAACACGTCTCAGTCCCTCTGTATCGAAACTCTCTGAAAAGCCACGAGCTAAACACGCATAGGTGAAGTTATCAGGTCTCGTATCAGAACTCAGCATCTGAGAGAAGAGTGACAAAGAAGTACTAAATTGATAAGCTTTAGCATAAGCTCGAATAATAGAGTTCCAGAGGAAAACACTTCTCTCAGGAAATACGTCGAACAGTTTGCGAGCAGACACGAGATCATCGTTTAACGCATAGAATCTAACAAGTTGCGTCGCGAAATACGGGTCACGCGCGAGTTTGGACTTGGTAACAAAGCTATGCAGTTTCTGGGTACTCAATCTCGTTTGAAATTTCCTCGAGAACTCATAGATAATCAAACGTAACTGCGTCTGCGAGGCCATTACAGATAAACGCAAAAATCCAATCTTTAATCGAACAAAACCTCAAACACAGGAGTTCCAAAATCGGAATAAGACTTTAGGCGAAGATGGTACAATAAAAGTGTAAACTTGCAGAAGCTAGAGGGAAGTATCTAAAGAAAGCAAATTTACACATACAAAAAAAAAATGGTATTTAAGAGGTTACACAAAAAAGGGTTAGTTTTAAGGTTCTTCAAAAACCAAGATGCGTGTGTTTCAAAGCTATGTAAGCTCAGAGTCTGAAGCAGGACCAGTGAGTTGTCTACGTCTTCCATGGCTCAAAGGACTCATAGGACTCAAAGGCAATCTTGTATCCTTCCTTGCTTTGCTGCTGCTTCTTCCAAATGGACTTAGTGGTGATGACACTTTCGGTGTTGATCTCGGTTTTATAGGCGATGATCCTGGAGACCGTAAACCTGCAATGAAAAGGATGATTAATCTATTTGGTTTGATCCATCAGAGAGCTTTAGAACTAAGTGGTTTGGCTTATCTGACCTGAGATTGAGTTTCTTCTGTTTTTTATGGTGTCACCACTTTTCTTTAAAGCTGATGTCTTTTTGATTGGAGCTTCTGAGTAAACTGATCTTATATCTGAGTATTCAGATATTGCATCTAAGCACAATGACTTTGTATACATTGGCATTGTTGGTGGATCTTCAACCACTGAAACACCTTCAGAAACAGATTCCCCTGTTTCTGAATTCTCTTCTTTGTTAAAGTTTGGACTCATCTTCTCTTTCTCTGCAATCCTGTATGAGTAGAGCTGGAATGGTATTTGTGTCACGGATCCTGCGTGAGAACCTGACTCCATTGAGAACTTTTTCAAGAATCTTGCTTCTAAGTCCCAGCAATCAACAAGTGGGTTTTGGATTTGGAGGTGGCCGTGATCCGGATTCACAACTAGGAATTTCTTGATGTAGCGGAGGATCCGGCATATCGAAGAGAATGTTGGACGCTGACTCGGTTCTGAATGCCAACACCGTTTAATTAGACTAACGAGGTATTTTGGCGAAGGGAATGGGAAGAGAGGTCTCTCTCCCGTTCTTATGTTCTTAGCCATTTTCTCGCCTTGAAGATGGTCATCTTCAAATGGAACTTTACCGGTTATAAGCTCGAAACACACCATAGCAAAGCTATAGACATCAGCTTTATGTGTAAACTTTGATCTCGGAGCTGTACCTTTGAGATCTTGTTCCATCTCTGCTAGAACTTCAGGTGCATACCATATTACAGGATCGGGTGTGGTTGGTCTAGAGGAAGCCCGAGAAAATGACTGATTTTTAACTGAGGTCAAGCCGAAACCTGAGATTTTCGCGTGGAAATAACCTTCGGTGTGACTTCTCTCTTTCAAAAGAATGTTCATGGGATTCAAATCTCCATGGAAAATCTCATTAGAATGAAGATATTCCATCCCTCTCGCGATTTGAAGCATTATATCGATCACAACGGGAACAGAGAAAAGATACCTTCTTCTAGGTCCACAATTCTCCTTCATGTAGCTTTTCAAATCTTTGTGCATTAACTCCATAACCAGAGAACATTCTTTCCTTTCTTCATCATAGAATCCACAAAGGTACTGAAGTATATTCGAATGACAAAGCGATAACAGAGAAGAAATCTCTGCATTCAACGGCTCAAGATCCCCGAAAAAATGTCTCAACACAAAACTATCCCCTAACCATTGAATCTCCTTGTACTGACCACCACCACCTAATCTCCGCCTCACTTGGTAATCCTTAGAACCAACAAGTATCGAACTCGGGAAGAGCTTACCGTTAAACTGTTCCAATCCAGTTAGTTTCTTCAACAGAAAATCAGCTAAACGCTTCTCAGTCTTCCCAATCTCATCGCTCTTGGACTTCCTCTTCTCTTGCAATGCCTCCACTAGATTCCACCTATCTTCCCTCCAAGAATGCTCGAACCGAATGCAAATATCCCTCGGTACCAAATACTGTTTCCCATACCTCCACTGAAACAGCTTGGGATCATTCCACTCCCTATCATACTTTCTTGAAAACACAACTCTCCTCCTCTCCATCTCAGCAGGGTCGAGACCCGAAATCTCACCCGCTGTCTCGATGGCTTCGATCACAGCCGAGAAGTAACAAAGCAAATTGTGAATGTGAAACTCAACACAATCTTTGTTCTGATGAAAGTTGATAACTTTACCCCACCAATCTTTATTAGACATACAATTCCGAACATACATTTCGCCTTCTTTAAAAACTCGATAAAGCTCTCTCAAAGGCTGTTCAAGAGCTCTCCATTTAGTATGCTTCTCTTCAAGCTTCAAGTGGTGTCTGATCTCTTCGGCTACGGTGTTGAAAGCCAAACTGAAAATATCTAACAACAAACAACATTGTCTTTGGTTGATTAAGATATCGTCTTGTAATACCATTAGCGCGTTTAAACTTCCAAGAACCTCTCCGATTTGCCTGAATTGCTCCATCACATTACAGGCTTGCTTGTCAAGTATTCAAATTTCTCGAACAAACTGAAAAAAAAACATGATTCGCTTAAATCATTTATATATATGATTCATGATTCTAGATCCAGCAATATTAAGGAATGGAAGAAAAAAAAAACCTGAAATGAAGATCTTTTTTTTTGTTCAAGGATCGATGAATTCTCTTGGAATATATGAAATCATATGGTTCAACCAAAAGATCAACAATCTTCTCCAACCTGATCATCATCAAATGAATCCATCTCAAAATTAGGGTTCAAACTATAAAATTCGAGGAGAAAATCAACCGCTAAAGAATCGATCTTTACCTGTAAAACTTTGAATCAGAAGAAGCTTCAAAAGAGAGAGAAAAAAAGCTAAGAAGAAGAATTTCTTCTCTTCTCTTTTGGGTTGCTTCTAAATTTTTTTTCCCAAAGGTTTTCGCTGTCTCTCTGTAACGGTTTTGCAGAGAAAGAGCTAAATAATTTTTCCAGGACTTTTTTTTTTTTTTTTGTTCAAACGTCAAAGTGTTACGTTTTCGTCAGGTGTTTTTTTCTTTGTCCGCATTATTTGGAACCCATTTACGAAGTGTTCCCGCGAGTTTCGTCATTAATTAATTAATTGATAATGTACTTAATTAGAGTTTGATTTGAGTTAAAAAGGAAACAATTAATAATAACTAGGACAATAACTACGGTGTGTTTCGGTCTAAAACAGCGTTGTTTTATCGACTTTTTCGATCTAAACGTTGTCGTTTTGTAGTCTCAACCTTAATCCATTTGAGCATTTTCTTTCCCAAGTCTTAACAAAAACAACCTAATAAATTAAGATTGATTCTGACCAAAATATAAATAAGATTAAGGCTGATTAGTCTATATTTGAATTCTTTTACGCATTTGAATCTTTGACCTTCCAACTAGAATTTTGAATGTTAAACTAAAAAAAGAAGAGTAGACAGTGAGGCATATAATGTTTGTTTAAGAGAAAAGATGACTATTTTGGAAAAAATATGTAAGAAGCAAAATTGAAGATATAATCTTCATTTTGTATACGCTAATAATACTTCATATGCTGGTTTAAGGTACTTTAGTTGGCAAATATATCGGCAATTCTTAACAAAAACAAACGAGTCATGATATGACGAGTAACAAAAACATAAAACAAAATTGAACAAGTTATGATTATTGAATTGAAATCATTAGTTATACTCTATAGAAGTCAAATATTCATCATTTTTATGCTATGTGATCATATGTGTTCAGGACTTCATGTTAAAAAATGCTACGTGTTTAGGTTGAAGATAGTGTTGGTTTAAGCTTGAAGGATAGACCGGAGTTTACTTGAACCGCAAGATATCAGTTTAATAAAAAGATAGAGTCAAATCTTTAGGAATTATCTAGAAGATTTATTAGAGTCCTAATCAAGTTAGGATTAGGTCAAGTGTTGAGACTATATAAGCATATATCGAGTTTGTGGTATAGCTTATGAGTTAAGAGAGATTTGAGATTAAGAGAGATTGTTTTGTGAGCTTTAGTTTTGAGAATTTTCTAAAGCATATCAATAAGAGAGTAATTCTTAAAAGCTTTGTGTTCTTAATCTCCTTTGAATTCTAGAGATAGAAATTTTGAAGATTAAAAAGATCATTAGTTCGCAATTCGCGAGGTAGCATAAATTGAAAAGGTTTTCATAGTTGATTATCTTTCCTTCTCTCACATTGTTTGCACATATCTCTCAAAGCCTTGGAGGATCATACAAGTTATGATCACGCAAACTTCCATTTTTTTCCTCAAGTTTCTGATCGATGAAGAGAATTAATCGATGACAACTTCTTGATTCAAGAATCCGACAAAACAAAAAGGTTAGTTCTACCTTAACACTTAAAACACTTTCTAGGTGTGTGAAATAGCATTCCCTTCATTGGAATTCATTTTTACTATATCTTTAGAATCAGAATATTCGTTTCGCCAGAATTAGGGAGATGTGAGTTAGCTAGTACTAATTGGCCCCAAAACAAAGAGTATAGGCCAACAAATGTCTTCAGTGATTTGATAATTTTTCAGAAAGGTAAAATATTTATTAGTTAATGTTTTTTTAATTTGATAAAACTTTTAACAAAAGTTAAACTGGAGTTTTTTACTTTTAATTTTAATAATTTATTAAAATTAAAAGTACTAAGGAAACTAAGAAAGAGAAACATATAGCTGGAAAATGGAAATTACTAAATTTAATTTAGAAATCTGCTGAATGATGAGATAAGAACAAATTTGCTAATTTTAAAGAAAATAAATTGACAAAGTGATGGAAGTGACTTGTGGATTATTATATAAGTCGGATGTTAATTAAAAACATAAAATAAAATAATCAAAAATTGTATATGATATAATGAGTTGTTAATCTATTAGAAAAAAACAATTGCGTTTGTTCATGTAAATCACTATACAAGTGTTAGTCTTGTGTAAATGTAAAGTTGTCGAGAAAAGAGAAGTTTTCCATAAAATTTGAAACAATACTCTGTTTTCTTCTCTCTTCCAATTCTATTTTACTTTTCTTGATCACATCAAACCAATAATATATAAACTGTTCTCTACCGATCCAGATTTCGTGCTCGTCTCTTTTTCCAACAAGATCATGAGTTCTCCGGTGCTAAATCAAGACATAATCCAAGAGGTTCTTTCTTATTTCCCGGCTTCAAAAATTGGAAAATTCAGGCTCCTGAATAAAGAGTGCAACAAGAGAAGCTACGAGTCATGGTTTCTCAATCTCAATTTCCATAGAACCAACTATATCTCCGGATACTTCCTAGAACGCTACGAACGAGGATACAAACTTGATACCAGTTTTGTCCATGAGAGGAGAGATTTGGAAAACAAAGGAGTCTCCATCGATTTTCTGCCACAGGGAGAGGGAAAGATTAAAGCTTGTGATGCAAGTCATGGAATATTGCTTTGTGTTAATGATACAGGAATAATACCGGAATACATAGTCTGCAAACCAACCACAAAACAGTATCAGATCATACCAAACCCAAAAGTGGGGAGATGTGATAAGTCACTCGGTATAATGGTAACCGGATTGAACCCTTTCCGGTATAAAGTATTTAGGCTTTCGAAGTCGCCCGGTATGAATCGGAGTCTCAGAACTTTTGCGTGCGAAGTTTTTGATTCCGATTCGTTTATGTGGAAGAGGATAAAAAATCTGCGTCTACCAAGAACAGACGGTTTAATTTTTTCAAACCCGGTACAAGCTTCGGGGTTCTTGAATTGGATATCACGGAACAACAACGTGATCCGGTTATGTCTCAAAACCGAAACTTGGTCTTTCTTACATACCCCAAACGTTGGTATATTCCCAGAGTTGGTCAGATACGAAGGGAAGCTAGGTGTTATTCGTCACTGGATAAACAACAATCAAGAAGATGTTCACGGATTATGGGTTTTAAAGAGCAGTTTTGAGAAGTCGTGGATAAAAGTGAAAGATATTAAAAGCATTGGAGTAGATCACATTGTGTGGACTCCAAGCAACGACGTCGTAATGCTTTCTAGTTGGGATCGTGTCTGCCTCTACAACATTAACACAGAAAAGTTGAACTTAGTTCATACAAACAAAGATTTTGCCTCTTACGTTTGTTTCCCGTTTTGTTCTGATTACGAGAAGATTGATCTGGATTCTGGACGAAAGAAGAAATGGACCTACAAATGCAAACTAGTCAACAAGGCCCAACGTGGGGCACAAAATATAGGAATATTTAATTTGTTATATGGTTTGTTCTTCTTTTTTTTCTTTTTGGCCAAATATGGTTTGTGCTTCTTAAAAGCTTATGTATGAAACCAAACATTTTTTTATGAATATCTTTTTTTTTTTTTTTTATCATGGGTGAGTAATCTAATTTTTTGGCTAGTTATTTTGATGTAATAGGATATAGTGTCCAAAATTTCTTTTCTTAGATAATTTAATATATTTGGTGACAAAAAAGTCATTTTTAATATATTAGAAAGCAATAAAATCTTGATCATATAAGCGACAAATATATAGACTAAACAGGTAATATCTAATATTATTTACACATATATATCTTATCACCATAACACGTATCACGAATGTATATTATTGAGATTATAAGTTTTCATACATGTCCTAAACTAGTCAAACTAGAAAAAATGTGGACAGCAATACTTTCTTTACCGTGGTCATACATGTCCCCTGACTTGTCATTTTTGCTATCCTTAGCTAGAATCAGAATTTTCCGAAAAAAGTGTGGGCCAAAAATGTGTTCAGTGATTTATATTTGGTAATTTTTCATTAAGCTTAAAATTTTATTAATTACAGTAGTGTGATGAAACATTTAACAAAAGTATAACTATAGACATTTTTTGTTTAAATTTTAATAAATAACATTAAATTGAAAATACTAAGGAAACTAAGAAAGAGAAACATATGAAAAATGGAAATGACTAAAGTTAATTAGAAATCTGCTAAACAATAATAGTTCTTTCTTTTTGCTAATTTTTAAAAGAATAAATTGGCAAAATGAGGGAATTGACTTGTGGATTATTAATTTACTAGCGTTAGAACCCGTACTACGTACGGGACCAAAATATTTACTTGTATTTGTGTTAAAGATTTATTGTATTTTTTTTGGGACTTTTGCAAAAATGCCCCTTTTTCAATGCCACTTTTCAAAAATGCCCATTCTTTAAAATTTTATAAAAAATGTTCTTAAAAATATAAAATTTACCCAAATATGTATGTAACATTATTAAAACATACACAAACTACATTTCTATGTATCTAAAATCTTATAAATACTTTATAAATATCTTATAAATACATTTTAAATACCTTTAAAAACTTTTAAAATATTTTGTAAAACCTTTGAAAAACCTTATAAATCCTTTAAAATAACTTGTAAAACCTTTAAAAACACCTTATAAAACATTATAAATACTTGGATCGAGTCTTCAAGTAGTAGTTACAATCCATAAGTACCTTATCAACCTAATAAAACTTTATAAAAATTTTAGATTTAAAAAGGGCATTTTTGAAAATGGACATCTAAAAGGGGCATTTTTGAAAAGAGGCACACCAAAAGGGGCATTTTTAATAATTTCCTTTTTTTTTTTTGTAAGTAAAGATTTATTGTATTTTAAGATCAAGTTTGTGCTTATACGATTATTGTGTTCTAGATTTATTATATTTTAAGATCAAGTTATTGAAAGCGTAAGTTAAGAAAATGCTCTTTAACAAAAAAGTATTCTTGGTCTAGTGGTTGCCACTTGTGGAGGAGTTGCCCTGTTGGTCTAGGCCAGAGATCGATTCCCCGCAAGCGCGCAATTGTTAGATCTCCACTTGGCCATATGGATATGGGCCCTTAACTTTCGGCCCATTTGCATACCCGGAGAGAGAGTCTATCTGTGGGCTGCACCTCCCCCATGGGATTAGTCTAGGCCCCTCCATAGGTCTGGGATTCCCCTGAGTTATCAAAAAAAAAAAAAAAAAGTTAAGAAAATGCAAATATAGTAAGAGATCTACTCACTTCGTTTGACATGTAGATTTGCTATCTCTCTAAACAGTTATTTTTGACATGAAGAAACTTTAGCACCTATTGAACTGTGCAGAAATAGATGTAATAATCGGGCGACATAACTGGAGAATGGAATTTGTAATATGAACCTGCAATGTGAAATAGAGAATTTGATGAACATTAGAAACAACAATGAACAAACTAAACCAGAATTGAGAAATTCAAAAACAGAAAATGTAAAATGAAAGATTTTGAAATAAATAATTTGATGAAAAGATGATGAACAAACTTAACCATAATTGAGAGATACAAAAACAGAATTGTAAATTGCAAAAAGAAGATGAGACATAAGATTGATGAAAGCATGAAATCAGAACATAGGTTCCTCCATAGTGAAGAAGAATCATACCTTTTGCCAACGGTTTCTTTTCCTTCGTTTTCTTTTGACTCAATCTCATCTCCTTCGTTTTCTCCCTTCTCCGTGGATCTAGGTTTTTGAATTCTTGGGTTTTGAATGGAGGACGAAGCAAATAGAGGTTTAGTATGAATATGAATTTTTGATCAAGTGAGAATTATATTAGTGACACTTTGTTGAATCTCAGAGATCATGGAAGAACAGTAGAGATCGTGGGCAGTTGAAGGATATTGTTTCTGTCGTAATTCTTTTTTTTTTTTTTCTTTTGAAGAGTAAAAGTTTTTTTTTTCGTTTTAGTGAAGATAGATAAATATGTAATTTTTTTTGTTTTTTATTTTTCCCACGATCTTCCTTTTGTTTAAAATTATTTTGAAAAATCATTTGTTCTCATGTTGGCTGGATTTAGTTTTTTTTTTTTGTTTTAAATTTAAATTTTATGTATTATCGATTTTTTGTTTTACTTTTTTGCCATGATCTCTCTTTTGTTTTACAATAAATTTTGTAAAAAATTTGTTTTTGCTGACATGTCAAAATTTTGTTGGTGTTGTGACTTGTGCTTTATAAGATAAAGGATTATACAAGTTGGATATTTATTAAAAAAAAATAATTGTCAAAAATGATAGAAGCATTATTATATAATGAGTTTTTAATCTATGAGAAGAAAAAAAAAAACAATAAAAAACCAAAGATTTTTGGGTAAAAAAAAAGTTGTTTCCTAAGTCTAGCAATTAAATTATTGTAATTTGGTTAAAAGTCAAAAGAGAAATTTTGGGCTCAAGGTATCACAAGTAACATCAATGAAAGATTTTATCTTTGGTTAATTTGTTTGTTTTTTGGGACACTATCGAAGAAAAAGGTAAATATTGATACTTTCCTTACACAAAGAAGGATATATAAACACTACATATTCATCATAAGCTGTTCTCTACCCGTCTACCGATCCTGGTTTTTATATTTCTCATTCAGTGATCGTGCTCATCTCTTTTTTCCCGACAGGATCATGAGTTCTCCGGTGATGAATCAAGACATGATCCAAGAGGTTCTTTCTTATATACCGCCTTCAAAAGTCGGAAAATTCAGGCTCCTGAATAAAGAGTGCAACAAGATGGGTCGTTGAGCTTGGATGGGTCTGTTTCTTCTCCTCTCGGCGGGATTCTTGCCCAGATTTGACTTTCCGGTGGTGCATCGCCGGATTTCTTTCATTTCTGCTTACGCCGCGGTGGTCGCAGCTGCTCGGTTTTGCTTCGTGACGGAGCTCGTTGGTTGGTTCAGGTGGCGCAATCCAAGGCTGGTTGTTTGTGGTGGTTACTGGCGTGGTCTTCCTCACCGCCGTGTTAGCTCTCGGCTCTTTTTGTGGGTCGTCGGTGATGGTAACCCATAAAATTATCAGAGTTTTGTGGCGGCTTGGCTCCTCTCCGGTGTGGCTTTGGGCCTAGTTTGGTTCATTCCGGTACGGTCCTCCTTGATTGTGGTCCAACGGTGTTGTCTTGCATCGGCTGGAGTGGGATTTTGCCTTTGGTGTTTGTGTTTTCTTCGTTTTGATGCACAGCTTGGTTTGCTTTGCGCTCCGCTCCGGTGAGAGTTTTGTGGTTGAATAGAGGCGGCGGTTCGGTCTAGGTTGCATTATCAAACCCGTGGGAGATGGTTCCTGTAGCTCCACGCTCGGGAATGATGGTCAGAGGCGGCTTCTCTGGCTGTCCATAGACGCTCTCGTGCCGCCGGGTGCGATAACGTCCACTCTAGCTGTTCCGTTTTTGCGTTAGTCTTCGGAGAAGCTGTAGGCGCCCTTCTTTCTCGAGGTTTTGGGACAGACTTCGGGTAGGGTTTGCTCGTGGCAACTAGGATGAGGACTCGAACTCTTTGGAGTTGTGGCAATCACGCAAATGTCCGAGTTTCGCGGCTTGGAATCGGTGTTTCTTCTTCGGATCTTTGTTGGTTGTTTCGCTGTTGCTTTCCTTGTTGTGTTTTCTCTTGTATTCGTAGATCTTTTAGTTGTAGTTTTTGGTTGTTCTGTGTTCTTCGTTTTCTCTGTAATCGCTGTCGCAAAACTGAAAATGGTATAAAACTTAACCTTTTACCAAAAAAAAAAAAAAAAAAAGAGTGCAACAAGAGAAGCTACGAGTCATGGTTTCTCAATCTCAATCTCCGTAGAACCAATTGTATTTCGGGATACTTCCTACAACGCTACGAAGAAGGTTACAAAACAAATTTTTTCCATGAGAGCAGTGATTTACAAAACAATGGAGTCTCCATCGATTTTCTGCCACACGGAAAGGTCAAGATCGAAGCTTGTGATGCAAGTCATGGGATATTGCTTTGTGTTGATAATACAGGACTAATACCGGAATACATAGTCTGCAAACCAACCACAAAACAGTATCAGATCATACCAAACACAAAAGTGGGGATTTGGGATGTCTCATTCGGTTTAGCGGTAATCGGATTGAACCCTTTCCGGTATAAAATACTAAGGCTTTCGCAGTCGTCTCGGCGTATGTGTATGTCTCGGGGTGTGTATTATGCGAATCACAGAACTTTTACGTGCGAAGTTTTCGATTCCGATTCGTTTACCTGGAAGAGATTAGAAAATTTGCGTATACCAAGAACAGACGGTTTAATTCTTTCCCACCCGGTACAAGCTTCGGGGTTGTTCTTGCATTGGAGATCACGGAACAACAATGTGATCCGGTTCTGTCTCAAAACCGAAACTTGGTCTTTCTTCCATACTCCGAACTTTGGTGTTTTCTCAGGATTAGTCAGATACGAAGGGAAGCTAGGTGCTATTTGTCAGTGGACAAACAAAGATCAAGAAAATGTTCACGGATTATGGGTTTTAACGAGCAGTTTTGAAAAGTCGTGGGAAAAAGTGAAAGATATTAAAAGCATTGGAGAAGATTTCATTACGTGGACTCTAGGAAACGACGTCGTGTTGTTTTGTAATTGGGATCGTTTTTGCCTCTACAACATAAACACAGAGAAGTTGAAATTAGTTCATACAAACAAGGGCTTTGCCTCTTACGTTTGCTTCCCGTTTTGTTCTGATTACGAGAAGGTTGATAGGGACGAAAGAAGAAATGGGCCGACACTTTTAACAAAAAGAAAAAGAAATAGGTCGACAAATGCAAACTAGTCAACAAGGCTCTCAATAGGCTCGCTCAACGTGGGACATTAATTATCAATATATATCTCTAGGAATATTAAAAAAAAAATATTTATAGGTGAAAAGGAATATTTAATTTTGTTTTTTTTTTTTCAGCAAACTAAATATATTAATTAACTGGAATCGTTACAACGCATGTTTCTGAGCCACAAAGGCTGATTCACCGAGTCAGAATAGAACTCTGTAGTGTTACAAGTAAAGGAAGCGAGACAATGTACAATGCTATTACAGTGACGTCTTACAAAGGTGAAGAAAATTGAAGAAAATCTAGATGACCAAAGATCAATATCAAGTAAAAGGTTTGCAATCTCGATATGTGATGAGATGCATGTGATTGCCTTGATAAGAATCTCGCAATCTCCTTCAAATTGGATCTTCTTGTACCCTCTAATCCAAGCTTGCTGCATAGCCACTAACAATGCCTTTGTTTCCGCCTCCAAAGGAGAAGAAATGTGCGCAAGTTTTGATGAACCCCATGCTTTAGCTTCTCCATGATGATCTCGAATTATCCAACCGGCTGTACCCCGAGATGAATTGATATCTACACTTGCATCAAAGTTACATTTAACGAAAAAGAAAGGTGGCTTTGTCCAAGAGGATGTCTGAGTTTGAAACTGCCTTGTTTCCGAAGGTATCGTAGATCGTGACCCCAACGTGTGTAACCATTCTTCCACTTCTGCTTGTGCTTGTAAAACGATCCGTGTTGGGCTTTCTCTGAAGTTATTAAAGACCAATTTGTTTCTAGCCTTCCAAAGTTTCCATATAAGCCAAAATGGGAGAAGTTTTTGAGCTTCGGTAAGATTCAGGTTGCCATAAGATTCAATTATATGGGATACATTTTCTTCTGAATTCTCTGAGAATTGATGTCCATTCAGCACCGGAGAGTTTGAAAGACGCCACGTTAAATGTGCGAAATTACAATTGAACAGAACATGGCTGATCGTTTCTTCTTCAGATGGACACCGCGGGCAATGTGGGTCGATTTTCATTCCTCTTGAAGTTAATCTAGATCGAGTAGGAATAACTCGTGATGTTATCCTCCATAGCATGTGTTTGATTTTCGGAATGATCGGAAGTTTCCAAATTTTATTCTTCAATTCCACTAAACCATGCGGAATGGCTGGTTTAGTTTGTGTATCCATAGGGTCATGTGTAAGAAACCAATAACCCGATCGAACAGTATAAACGACAGAGGTGGTGTAATGCCATATCAGTCTATCAGGAGGTTCATTTCTAGAAAGATATATGTTGTGAATGAAGCTATGATCACAAGGATCAATGCCTTGGAGAATTTTTTGGCTATTCCAAAATCTAAATGAACCTTCTTTTGATATAAGATGGCTTACTGTATTCGTCATTTATGTACCTATGGTTCTGATTGGTCGCGGTGGGTGAGCATCGATCACATTATCTTTATCTAGATGAGCTGTTTTTCCGTCACCAATAAGATATCTACTGCCTTTTTTATCACATCCAATCCCGCAAGCAGAGATGTCCATCCATAAGATTGGTAACTTCTTTGTTTTGCATCCAATATACAATCGTCTTTGAAGTACCTTGCTTTCATTATTTGAGCCAAGAGAGAGTTGGGATATTGTATTATTCGCCATGCTTGTTTTGCTAATAAAGCATCATTAAACTTTGATAGATCTTTAAATCCCAAACCCCCTTCTTTTTTCGAATATTGCAACCTTTTCCACGCAATCCATGGAATCCCTCTCTTCTTTGCATCCTTTTCCCACCAATAGTTCATGAGAACGCCCTCTATTTCATCAATAACTCCAGCTGGTAATTTAAAGCATGACATCGCATAAATCGGCATCGCCATAGCCACCGATTTCAACATAATTTCCTTTCCGGCTGGTGATAAATGCTTTGCACTCCAACTTGAAGTTCGTTTTTTAACTCTTTCAATGATGTAATCAAACATTTCTCGCTTTTTCCGACCAAATTGTTTTGGTAGGCCCAAATATTTTCCTCCACCACCATGATTTCTGATTCCCAGAATCTGTTTTAGTCTATTTTGAGTAGTACCATGGACCTTTGAACCGAAGGTTATCATTGATTTGGTCATATTTATTTTTTGGCCGGAGTAGTATTCATAGATGTCAAAAACATCCTTTAAAGCTTGGCAGTTCCTACTATTGGCTTGACAGAAAAATAAAGAGTCATCCGCGAATTGAAGATGAGTGATACTTGGAACTCCCAATCCAATTCGTATCCCCCGAATATCTCCATCCGCAGCTCTAGAATCAATGAGGTGACTAAGAATATCGGCGCAAAGGATAAAAAGATACGGTGAAAGCGGGTTACCTTGTCGAATCCCGCGTTGTGGTTTGATATTGCCATGAGGAACTCCATTGATTAAAACCGAATATTGGACTGACCTAACTGTACCCATTATCCATGAAATCCATTGTTCATTGAAGCCAAACAAACGAAGTGTTGTCTCTAGGAAATTCCATTCTACCCGGTCATAAGCTTTGCTAACATCGGTTTTCACTGCCATGTACGATTGAGAAACTCTTTTACGTACCTTTAGGGAATGCATCATTTCATGGAATATTTAATTTTGTTAATGGTTTGTGTTTCTTAGAAGTTTATGTAATAACACCAAACATTTTTTTATGAATATTTTTTTGAAAAATTCCTTAAAATACCACATTTCTCAAAAAAAAATTAAAAACTAGATTTTAACCCGCATGATGATTTATTTTTAAATTAGTATATATAAAATTTTACAAATTGAGTAACGGTATGCCAAGAGTCCACGAGACAATTGTTAATAAACTGAGGATTTAACCCGTATTAAAGCGATATGTTAATGATATTTTAAAATTTTTATAAATATTGATTCAAACCTGTCCGCCATATAAATCCGTTCCGAAATATAATCCATCCCGTAATTTCTTAACCCGTCCCGTGATTTGTTTTCTAAAAATAATGATTTTAAAATTTAATGATTATTTATTATATATAAAAGTTACAAATTGTATATATAATAAGACATTTATATTTTAATAAACCGAGGATTTAATCTGTATTAAAGCGGCATATTAATGATATTTTAAATTTTATAAATATTGATTCAAACTCTCGTCCACCATATAACCCCATTCCGAAATACAGTATAACTTGTCCTGTAATTTCTTAACCCGTCACGTGATTTATTTTCTTAAAGTAGTAATTTTAACGATTATTTATTATATATAAAAGTTTACAAATTGTATCATTCTCTAAGACATTTATTTATTATAGTTTACAATTGTTATTAAGTAACATTATACCACGGGACAATTTTTGGTTTTATACAATCTTTTCTAAATGATACTAATTTGATATGTCTAATATTGGTGGTATTAAAAAAAAATTAGGATTTAATCCGTATTGATGCGGCGGATGAATGATATTTCAAAATTTTTATTATTGTTGATTCAAAAACCTATCCCGCCAAACTCGTCCCGCCAATAAACCTATTTATTTTATTAATATTGATCTTATTTATAATGTGATTCGGAATTATTGTCTAAATATTTTAGTCGATGTGGAACGTTGAACACATATTTTTTGTCAATTAGATAATATATGTCCGTTTTTAAAATTTCGAATCACAGTATATGCAGAAAAAAATCAATTTTTTTTACTTTATGTAATATATGATGATTCAAAACAGTTAAAAACAAATTAAATAAAAATGATAGAAAAATCATAATTCTAAATCTTAATCAAATCTTCTAAATATCTAAATTATTAAATATAGAATATTCGGTGTCTGAGTTGGATTAAATATAACCCGATCCAACAAACTTTTTATGACCAAATTTGTAAACGGATCAGATATCCATTGTATCCAAATGTATTTTGCTCCATCCGCTAAAAATATACTTCAAAAATACTAGTATAGATACTATCACTGGTTTAATATTTTCAATAATACTACAAATTCAATATATAAAATATTTTTTAAAATGAATCACAATATTTTTAATATTGTGGAAATAGAAATCCTAAATTAGAAAGAGGGAACCCAATGGTATATTTTTTAATTTTATTTTGGTTGGACAAATATTTTTATATAAAAATTTGTGGTATTATTGGGAAAATAAATTAGTGATGATACTTTTGAACAAAAATTAATAGTTGGTATTTGAAGATTTTTTTTTTTTATAATAATGGTTATCTTATTTATTGGCTAGTTATTTTATTATATCAAGGGTTCTGTTTATGAAAACAATTAATGTATAGAATACAGTGTCCCAGATTTCTCTCATAAAATAATATATTAGTCGATAAAAAGATATTTTTAATATATTAGATATACAATAATATTTTAATATTTACAAGCGACAACAAAAAAAAATCTTAATATTTATAAGCAACAAATATATAGACAAAACACGTTATATCTTACTATTGTTTACATATATTTATATATCACTATAACACGTATGTATGTTATTGAACTTATTAAAAAAAATGTTATTGAAATTATAAGGTTTCATACATGTGTATTTTACACGTATATTCTCCCAAAAAAAGCATGGTGATGGTACACAAAATTTATTAATATTTGGCAATTAGATTTTTTTTCTAAAGTTTATCACAATATGTATTAACTTATAACAGATGGTAGAAGATAAGAAAATTACATCAGATTCATGCAATTAAATTTTATAATATATCATTTTTAAAAAATTAATTAAAAGAAGAACTTTTTAATAAAATTGATCAAAAGATAATTAATAAAAATAATTAAATATGTGATACTAATGATTAATAGAGAGTTATTGTAAATTTACTTTAAAATCATACAAATCTTATCCTAATTTGATTTGTCATTTAAAAATCCTAAAGAAAAAAACGCGGACAACAAGACTTTATTTACCTTTGTCCTAACTCCTACTTAACGTACCCTATTTATTCAGCATAGTCTTATAGTAGTTACGTTGTTGAATTCACAGAATAGAGCAGACATCTTTAACCTATCTTTTAATTTTCTGATCTAGATCGTTTTCAATCCAAAAACATCGAAATCATGAGTTTTTCGGTGATGAACCATGAGGTGATTATTCAGATTCCTTCTTCTTCTCAATTTCCAGCAACATCGAGTCCGGAAAACACCAATCAAGTGAAGGCTGTGATTGTGAAGCAGCCAAATTTGTTTAGACGTGTTATGAATTTGCTTTTACGTCGTAATTCTTGAAAAAACCGACTTCGCAAGATTGAGAACAAGAAGTCGAAGGCAAATAATTAAAGAAATATTTTATAGTTTTATATGTATACAGGATAAACTTTTAATAATTAAACTCCTAGTTAAAAAAATGTAATTTTATATGTATTCGTCATGACTTTCATGTTAATAATGTAATTTTATAATTAAAATTTTATATGTATTCGTCATGATTTTCATGTTAATAATGTAATTTTTTCCTATATATATATATATATATATATATATATATATATATATTGATTTTGCATGTGTAAGAGCGTTTTTATTTGCTAGAACATGCAAGGACGATAGTTCCAAAAAATTTCGACTTGATTAAATTAGTGATTTGCTAAAAAAAAAAGAGATTAAATTAGTGTAAACAAGCTGAACACTGAAAATTACTTTTTCAATAAACGAAAAATATAATAGAGGTAAACATTGACGTAAGTTTAAAAAACTTATTTGAGTAAACTTAATATACATATATACCTGATACCTTTATCACTTTATTTCAAAGAAAAATAATAGAAATAACTTTCATCATATGTAAATCAAATTCTTCGGTTTTATAACAATTAACCTTGAAGTTATTTATATATTTTTATGAAAATATATTAATTAAATGTTTTATCAACTTGCTTTTATTCTATGGATGTTGAAGCAACAAAACCTAATGGGTACGGCATTTTACACATGCATCATCAAATACAAGTCTTGGCTAAGATTATAAGAATATACAACGCACTAGAACGCTTTTGTTGATGATTCGCTTCTCTCGGAATTGCGTCTAGTTGTGAGGCTTGTGATCAAGTTAGTGAAAAATTAAGATAAAAACAAGTCCGCCAATAGTATGCGATTTCAGAGGTTTAATTAGGATCTAAATAGCGGATTTAAAGCAACTAAAGAAACAAATAATCTTTTCGTAAATAAAGAAATATATCATCCCAGTTTTATATATTACGATATATAGATGAATCGGCGCTTCTATTTATACATTACGCAAAAAAAAAAATAAAGATGAAATATAACCATCGAATTCATTATTGATTTCATATCCACCCAAAACTCATCAAACCTCTTTTTCGATCTGAAGTCAACAATCATGAGTCTTCGGTAATGAATCAAGATGCGATCTCGGTAAAGAATCATGATGCGATCATCAAAATTTTAATTTTTATGGTGTACGTAGTTCAAATGTTATCGAAAGCGCTTACGATTATGTGTTTTTCCATTTCAAATTTTGAAGATTCAATATTGTATTTGCTATTTTTTTTTCAAGTATGATAAATATTTAAAATTCTATTCTACATTTCTTTTTGATAGGATAAATTGCGCAAAAATAAAACTGAATCTCACATGATTTTAAATTTCTACCCACGGAAGGAGTAGATTTGAAGCTTATGATGTAAGATTTTATTTTTGTGTTAGTGATTTCCTGGTTAATTGTATTTTCTATACAAAATTAGGTATTTAATAACCATATGTCGTTTTTCACTGAACTATACTCCCTATGTTTAATCTTTAACCTGGAATAATGTTCTAGAGATTCTTATTTGTTTCATATTTGGGATGGTTGGTTGTAGATTGAAAATGCTTTACAAATTTTTCTCTAATGAATAATATATGTATTCCATATTATTGGAAAATGAAAAATCGGTATGGGGTAATTGCATCATCAGTATTCACTTCATTTGTACCGTACGTACGTTTGAATTATATATCAAATATAAAACATGTATTTGTCTCGTTTCCTATATAAATATATTTATTAAAAATTTGAACCAATGATACAAACTATATTAAAAGTTTAAACTATATTTGTTTTTTTGGATTGTTAATGAACCAAATCCTATTTAGATTTTCTTGTGCTATCATATTAGGTTTAATACTATAATTAGTTGATTCACTATATGTATACTGATTTTTTTCTTTTTTGTTAAAATAATCTATTGACTTTTTATTTGAAGAACTTTTTTTTTTGCAAAGTTTCATTTGCATATCACAAATTACCAATTGTTCCACCGTATTGTTCCAATACAGTGAATAGTGATATACAGATGAAACTTTGAAAAACAAAATTCTTAAAATAAAATGATCTTTTAACAAGAAAAAAAAAAAAAACAAATCAGTATACATATAGTAAATTAACTAATTCTAGTACTAAACCTAATGAGATAGCACAAGAAAAATCTAATTCTGATTTGGTTCATTCACATGCAATCCAAAAAACAAATATAGTTTTAACTTTTAATTAAGTTTATATCATTGGTTCAATTTTTTAATAAGTAAATAAATTAATATATAGAATTGAGACAAATACATATTTTATATATTTGATATATTCAAACGGTACAAGTGAAGTGAATACTGATGATCCAATTACAGATTTTTCATTTTCCAGTAATATGGATTACATATATTATTGATATATAGTATATAGCTTCCAATAAAATTCTTAAAATATTCAAGATAAAAATACAAATTGGCAGGGTATCTTCTCATTATGTTTTAACTTTTACGTTTAGAAAATATATCTCGAAAATTTAGAAATTCTGATATTACCAAAATCATGATCTCAAAAGGGATGATCACTAGGCTTACAAAATCATATATATTAAGCTATTTGTTGTCGTAGGTACCCACAGAGATCAAACAAAACAAATATTCATCTTTAGTTGACTAGACGTCTTACGTACATTCTCACTAATCTCTTTTGAGATGAACCAAGACATGTTCATAAATATTCTTTCTCATTCTCCTGTTTCGGTGGTCGAAAAATTCAGACACCTAAACAAAGAATGTAACCAGAGAACCTACACTTCTTCGTTTCTCAAACTCAATATCCAAAGAACCAATTCCATTTCCGGTTACTTCCTCCAGTACTCCGAGAGACTAACTCTACACTCCACTTTTGTCGAAGCTCTCGGAAACAGGCCTTGTGGGACTGACGTCTCGCTCGATTTTCTACCGCCGGGAAAAGTAAAGATTGAAGCTTGTGACTCAAGTCATGGGATCTTGCTTTGTGTTAATGATCGTCCGGTTAGAGGAAGACAACCGGAGTACATCATCTGCAAACCAACAACAAAACAGTACCTGATCTTACCGAAACCAAAAACCCGGTATTTCACGGTCGCGCTCGGTTTAATGGTTATTGGATCTACCCCTTTCCGGTATAAGATCATCAGGCTCTCAGACTTACCTTACGTGGAGAATAGGAGGTACAACATCAACACCACTTTCGTCTGTGAAGTTTTCGATTCGGTTTCATTTGCATGGAAACGACTAAAGAATTTTGAACTACTGGAAAATGACTTATTGAGTCCATGGAACTCTAAACCGATAGCTTCTTACGGGTTTTTGCATTGGTTAACAACCCGCAACAATGTGATCCGGTTTTGTTTCAAAACCGAAACTTGGTCATATTCTCCGGTTCCTGAGAATCTAGCAAGCGCTAACTCTCTAAATTTGACAAGCTACGAAGGTAAGCTCGGGATTATTAGTTCGAGATCCAAGGAAGGAGTGGGTTGTGAGGATTTATGGGTTTTAAAGAGCATTTTTGGAACTTCTTGGGTGAATGTGAAAGAGATTGAAAATAAAGGGCTCAAATCCGTTGGGTTCTTAAGCAACGACGTCGTAACGCTGGCTGACGTGGATCGAATCTGCTTATACAACATGAATAACGGGAAATCTCAGAATTTAGAAATAAGGGCTCCAAAATTCTCCCCTTCCCATTATTCGACCATTATTTATTTCCCTATCTTTTCTGATTACCAGAGAGTTGAATTTAACGGGAGATAAGAATATAAGATCCAACGGCACTCAACAGGACAAGTCACGCTATTATGAGGATGATATTTGACAAAAGTCAACGACTTACGCTTTTGTTATTAATTATTGTTGTTTTTGTTCACTTTTATTATTTTGCTCAACTTTAATGTTTAACGAATCTTTGTTTTCATATTTAATGAATCTCAATTTTTTTTTCTGAATCATACTGTCATTATTACTGCTAAATTATGTTTCCTATCTCAAATGATTGAATTTTACTTAATTTCTTCTACTGATAAACTGATAATAGAAAAATGATTTTTCATTTTTTATTGTTCTATTGGGTTTTGAATTATTACAAACTGAAGTTCAATATTTAACCGAATCATTAACCGGCCTTGGAAACAATTACTTTGTCAAAGAAATAATAAATGTACACATGTTATTACCGAACCGGATTGAATTTCACATGTACAAAAATTAGCAACACAAAATGTCTCCGGTACAAAACTAACATTAATAAGCCAAACCGGTTTAGTTTCTTGTTACAATAATTCCTTTCCTGGAAATTTACCGGTTCTGGTGAAAACCGTGGGACGACGAGGATGCTTCTTCATATCTCACCACCACTCTCGTTGACTTGACTTGGCTCTCTCCTCTAGCTTACCTTACTCTCGTCAATGGTTCTCTGCGATCTTAGCCAAATCTGTTGATAAGGTTCCTTCGTTGATTGGTAGAGATCTCGAAATTGGTCAAATTCAATCCATCGGAACCTGTTGATGGACACCATTGATGGATTCGCCGATTCTTATGACATCAGCAGCACTACTTTCTTCGCCGCCGCACCTGCTCCTACCGATAATACAGAGTCTTCTATTGTTTTTCCGGCGGCAGCCGAACAACTTCTCACCGGACCTGATGTATCTGCTCTGCAATTGCTCTCCAACAGCTTCGAATCCGTGTTTGACAAGCCGGAAGAGTTCTACAGCGACGCTAAGCTTGTTCTCTCCGACGGCCGGGAAGTATCTTTCCACCGCTGCGTTTTGTCAGCGAGAAGCTCCTTCTTCAAGAACGCTTTAGCCGCTGCTAAGAAGGAGAAAGACTCCAACGCCGCCGTGAAGCTCGAGCTGAAGGAGATTGCTAAGGATTACGAAGTCGGTTTCGATTCGGTTCTGACTGTTTTGGCTTATGTTTACAGCAGCAGAGTGAGGCCGCCGCCTAAAGGAGTTTCCGAATGCGCAGACGAGAATTGCTGCCACGTGGCTTGCCGGCCGGCGGTGGATTTCATGTTGGAGGTTCTCTATTTGGCCTTCATCTTCAAGATCCCGGAATTAGTTACTCTGTATCAGGTAAAACACCATTTGCATAAGCTATGGTTGCACATTCATGAAGGTATATGTTCTTACTTGAGTACTTGTATTTGCATTTCAGAGGCCTTTATTGGATGTTGTAGACAAAGTTGTTATAGAGGACACATTGGTTATACTCAAGCTTGCTAATATATGTGGTAAAGCTTGTAAGAAGCTATTGGATAGATGCAAAGAGATTATTGTCATGTCTAATGTAGATAGAGTCAGTATTGAGAAGTCATTGCCGCCAGAGCTTGTCAAAGAGATAATTGATAACCGTAAAGAGCTTGGTTTGGAGGTACCTATACTAGACAAACATGTCTCTAATATACATAAGGCACTTGACTCGGATGATGTCGAGTTAGTGAAGAATTTTCTGACAGAAGGCCACACCAATCTAGATGATGCGTGTGCTCTTCATTTCGCTGTTGCATATTGCGATGTGAAGACCGCAACAGATCTCTTAAAACTGGATCTTGCCGATGTCAACCATAGAAATCCGAGGGGATACACGGTGCTTCATGTCGCTGCAATGCGGAAGGAGCCACAATTGATACTATCTCTATTGGAAAAAGGTGCGAGTGCATCAGAGAAAACGTTGGAAGGTAGAACTGCTCTCTTGATCGCAAAACGAGTCACTATGGCGGTCGAATATAATAATGTTCCGGCACGATTCAAGCATTCTCTCAAAGGCCGACTATGCGTAGAAATACTAGAGCAAGGAGACAAACGAGAACCAATTCCTAGAGATGTTCCTCCCTCTTTTACTGTGGCTGCCGATGAATTGAAGATGAGGCTGCTCGATCTTGAGAATAGAGGTATTTCTCAAGTCTTACTTCTAATTTTTATTTTCTACTTTTAGGTCTGATATGTTTCAATCAAATTTAAAGGAATCTGAGTGAACTAATGATAACTATACTTTGTGTCCACTGTTTAGTTGCACTAGCTCAACGTTTGTTTCCAACGGAAGCACAAGTTGCAATGGAGATCGCCCAAATGAAGGGAACATGTGAGTTCATAGTGACTAGCCTAGAGCCTGACCGTCTCACTGGTACAAAGAGAACATCACCGGACGTAAAGATAGCACCTTTCAAAATCCTAGAAGAGCATCAAAGTAGACTAAGAGCGCTTTCTAAAACCGGTATGGGTTCTCACCCACTTCATCGACTCCTTATCACAAAGAACAAAACTAAATGATCTTTAAATTTGGTTTTGTCACTTGGTGTCTGACCTTATTTTCTTATCTTCAGTGGAACTCGGGAAACGCTTTTTCCCGCGCTGTTCAGCAGTGCTCGATCAGATTATGGACTGTGAGGACTTGACTCAACTGGCTTGCGGAGAAGAAGACACTCCTGAGAAACGACTACAAAAGAAGCAAAGGTACATGGAAATACAAGAGATATTAACAAAGGCCTTTACTGAGGACAATTTGGAATTTGGAAAATCGTCCCTCACAGCTTCGGCTTCTTCCACATCGAAATCAACTGGTGGAAAGAGGTCTAACCGTAAACTCTCTCATCGGCGTCGGTGAGACGCTTGCCTCTTAGTGTAATTTTTTTTGTACCATATAATTCTGTTTTCATGATGATTGTCACTGTTTATGTCTATCGTTGGAGTCATATAGTTTCGTTCTTCATTTTGCATCCTGTGTATTATCGCTGCAAGTGTGTTTCAAACCAATGTTGTAACATTTTGAACCAGCGGTGTACAAATTGGTAATAATTAACAATAATTAACCCATGATGGTGTTACAGAGTTGGCTAGAATCAAAGTGTGAAATAAAGACAAATTGTTCATCTATTGAACCAAAAGAAGATTCAAGTTCCCTTGTTGAAGGTCAACAAGAATCCAGAATCTTGGGAAAAATGTTCCCTGAAACTTCTGGCAACATTCATGTTATAAGTATTTTCCTTATTTCTAGTTGTGGGATCTTCAGTGCATCTTTTAACCTTTTCTAAGTCGAATTACACAATAAGTTAAGAAAAGGTTAAAATGCGTCCTCCTAGAAGCAGCCTACCACTCGGAGGCTGGGAGCTAACTGCTTGAACTTTAGTAATTGAATCTCAAGGTTTTCTGAATCATACAATCACCCTGTTTAAATCTATTTCATATACAAAAATGTCAACAATGTTTATGCTACAAAACTACGATATATAACACGAACCGGTTTTTGTCCTACTTCCCAAACGTCAAAAGATACAATAGAAACAGTAACCAACAATCCACCCAAAACCCAAATCCATCTAACTTTCAGCTCTTCTTCTTCTGAATAGTGCGAGGACTAGTTTTTTTGTTTTCACTTACCGGATAAGTTAGGTGGAGGCGGTGGCAGAGACATGACTGGTGGGAACAATGTTGGAATTCCTGAAGCTTCCGGCCAAGCTGATACTTTTGGAACTGGAGAAAAAGTGGCTGTGTAAGTTTTGAATAATCGTTCAAGAGTGTAACAGTCATCTACATACTGCAAAGGGTTGATTTTCAGCTTCTCACAGACTGCTAGAACGTGCAGACATGGAAACTTCTTCGATTGAAACTTCCCACACGTGCAGGTGCATTCGCTCAGCCGAACGATCCATCCATCCTTATGTAACGGCTCTGTGACCTGAAACACACCTTTGTCTATAGGCATTACAACGTAAGTAACGGAAGCTGTCCTAAACTCATCAAGCTTGTCCGTGACAAGTTTAGTGTACACATCGCCACAGTTAACCCTACCACTGCTATCACAACGACCCGTGTGAAAAACTAATCTCAACTCATCAAACAGAAGCAGTGCGTTTGCTGTCACTGACAGACCAAGAGACTGAAAGCTTTCACAAATTGCAAACAAATCTTCTGTTTCTATCGTCATGACTCCAAATCTCCGACCACTGTCATGAGCCAGAGCCCACTGAGTTTGAGGGAATTGGTCTAACCATTTCCAAGCTTCTGAGCTCTTCTTTTCAATGTCCTTCATGTAGAAATCAAATTCTTCCTTCTGACTTGTGGATCCAGCCTGCTTCACAAGGCTCACTAGGTTGTAGTCTTGAAAAATATCATGGAATTTTAAGCAAAAACGATCCAGACAGAACCTGTGATAAACCCAGGGTTCTTGCCACAGTGACCTGGGTTCGTTAATAACAGCAACTATGTCCGGGTGGGGACTGGAGATGAGGCAAACGTCTTTCCTTTGTGTTACCTTCTCTCGGATTCCAGCAAGAAACCAACGCCAACTATCAGTGGACACTTCTTTGGTAAGCGCAAATGCAAGCGGGAAAAAGCAATCATCAGCGTCGAGTCCTGAGGCAATCATCAATTTCACAGGGTACTTACCGTTCAAGTCTTTGGTGTCCACTATGATTAGAGGTCTACAGTGTCGAAACCCATCAATGGACTGTGGAAACGCCCAAAACACGCCACCAAAGGATGCAAATTCAGGATTAGGAAAAAGCTCATATTGCCAGTCAACTAGTAGCCCATTAGATGAGTGAAACGCAGCCATTAATTTAGGCAATACTCTGAAACTCTGATCCCAGTCTCCATATACCTTTTTGATTACTTCCTGTTTTGCTGCCCGCAGCTCTGAAGTTTTAAGCATGTCGCCAAATTTTTCAAACCACCAATTTTTCAACTCTACAATTGTTAGTGTAGGTTGTACCCTGATCAAACATTCAATCTCTTCTGCTGCAAATTCCACGTTGAAATTTTCTGGCTTAATAGAACAACAAGTATGTGGACCACTACACTTGGTTATCTCAACGAGTCCATGTTCTTCTATTCTAGCTGCACGAAGTGACCAATTGCATTTCCATCTGATGCATTTAAACATATACTCATCCTTCTCAATCTCTTTTACTACACACTTTTGCTGCCCTCTAATGAAACACCAGTCCACCGCCTTCTTCAGCTCATCTCTATCTTTAAAACACAATCCTACACGCAATTCATGATCATCAACCCACAAACTGGACAGAGACCACGGTTTTGAAGCACTCGAATCGACGACACCTTTATTTAATAAGCATGGATTCGCTGATGCTTCTAAGCCTGGCACATTCAAATCCTTAAGTGCATTGCCGTTATTCGCTGTCAAATTAAGCACATCATCTGAACCCGAGTTTTTATCCGTCATTTCTCCATCTCCACCTCCGTGAGTGCTACCATTTCCAAAGTCAGAATGTTCCTCGTCTTCAATCCACCCGTTACTATTACCCACTCCCTGAATCTCTAAACCATTATCCCTCTCTACTTTAACAGATGGATGTGACACATAACCAGTAGCTTCTTGGGGATGTTGGATCCTCTGTCTTTTCGAGGAACTAGCAGGATTTTCCAATACTGATGAACAAGCAGCATGATCAGTAACATCATCAGAAGTCGATTTCACTTCCAAATACAACTCCACATTCTTTATAGAAGGATGTATGCTTGGAACCTCAAGCATAGTATCCAAACTAGTGTCGTTCACCACAGGAAGAAGTAGATACATAAAGAGATCCGGTGAAACAACTACAGGGTACCTACCAAATATTTTGAACTCTGATTTCTGCTTATCCAATCCAAAAATTGGATAAAGCCCATTCAACAATGTGCTTAACGCAGTCTTTTTCCTAACTCTGATCTTTTTAGGAGTGGATCCTTCATAGTATACACCATCAGGACCATACTTGATAGAACCTTTCCAGTAACACACCACCATAACCTTTTCTCTCAAGGTTTCCATCGCCATGAGCACAACAGTTCCTGCAGTGAATTCAAAGAAACATGTGAACTTTTTGGGGCTAAACTCATAACATACAAAACCCTAGAAAATTCCATATCTAAAAAGAAAGGCTAAAGCTTTTTAGCTAAGAAGCAGATAAACCCATTCAATATACATAAACTCTAAACAGTGGTACTCAATACTTAGACTTGTAAAGATCTACGTACCTCAAAACCGGAGAATTTCAAATCAGCTGTTGCAGAGAAGCTTGGATTTTCAGAACTGCAAGTAATTTCGCCTCTCGCTGAGGATTTCTCCGGTGATGAAGCCAATTTGTCACCGATGACGAAGACACCACCTACTTTTTCATTTGCCATAAATGTCGTACCTTTTCGAAATACAAAAATAAAGTACAATTGGGCCGAGAGAAGCCCGTTAACGTTTTGAGCCCGTTTCTAAACTAGCAAAATATTCAATTTCATTCCCGCCAAAAATTAACTTTCAATTTCATTAATATGTTTATCTTCTCTTAAGAACAAAAGAAATATCAATCGATGATGCTTTTAAAAAAAAAAATGGTATGTACAATTTGTAGAACTAGTATTTACAGGATGAATTTGTCCACATTAAGCCTCCTTGCAGATAAGAAACTTTGTTTAAGAAAATATACATGTAACCAAGCTAAAAACACACATAGACATACTATTTTCATATTGGTTTTTAGGGGATCACCAAAAGTGCTTATGAACAAGCTGGATTAATTGTCACATACACATAACATAACATGTCTCCGTTATATAACCGGAACCGGACTTATCCTACTTACCTAAAGTCAAAAGATACTACATAGTTACTAGCATAATCAACCAAAATGCTCGGTTTGGTTTGACACAAATCCATCTAACTTTCAGCTCTTCTTCTTACTAGTTATGTGTTAGGACTTACCTGATGAGTTAATTAGGCGGACTAGGAGGAAACAAGGTTGGAACTCCTGAAGCTTCTGGCCAAGCTGAAACTTCTGGAACAGGTGAAAATGTAGCAGCGTAAGTTTTGCACCACCGTTCAACAGAGTAACAGTCGTCTACATACTGCAAAGGGTTGATTTTGAGCTTCTCACAAACTGCTAGAGCGTGTAGACATGGGAACTTGTAACTTTGAAACTTCCCACACGTGCAGGTTGAGTCGTTTAACTGGACAATCCATTCCTCCTTTTTTGAGGACTCTGAGACCTTAAATGAATCTCTCTCTAACGGCGTTATAACGTAAGTAATGGAATCTGTCATGAACTCTTCAAACCTGTCCATGACAGGTTTTGTGTACAATTCGCCTCGGTTAAGAGAGCAACGGCTAGAACTAAGAGACTTACCGAATGAGGATCTCAAATCATCAAACATAAGCATCACATCCGCGGTGGTATAATACTGAAGATCTGTACAAACTGGAAACATATCTTCTGGTTCTAACTCCATGACTCCGAATCTCAGACCACTGTCGTGAGCAAGAGCCCACTGATGTGGAGGGGTTTGGGCTAACAATCTCCGAGCTTCTGGGTTCCTCTTTTCGATCTCCTTCATGTAGGAATCAAAAGCATCCTTCTGACTCGTGGATCCAGCAGACCACACAGGACTCCCCAGGTTGTCACCTGAAAAAATGTGAGAGAATTCGGTGCTCACATGATCCAGACATAACCTGTGATAAGCCCAGGGTTCTTGCCACTGAGACCCGGATTCGTTAATAACAGTAAGTATATCAGGGTGGGAACTGGAGATAAGGCAAAGGCCTTTCCTTTGTGTAACCTTCTCTCTGATTCCAGTGAGAAACCAACGCCAAATATCAGTGGACAGTTCTTTAGTAACCGCAAATGCAAGAGGAAAAAAATCGTTGGCTGCATCTACCCCTGAGGCAATCATAAATTTCATAGGATACTTACCGTTCAAGTCTTTGGAATCCACTATGATCAGAGGTCGACAGTGTTGAAACCCTTTAATGGACTGTGAAAACGCCCAAAACACGGCACGGAAAGATGCAAATTCAGGGTTAGGAAAACAATCATATAGCCAGTCCACAAGCAGCCCATTAGAAGAGTGAAAGGCAGACATTAATTTCGGCATGACTCTGAAACTCTGATCCTCATCTCCAAAGACTCTTTTGATAGCTTTCTTTTTTGCTTCCTTCATCTCTGCAGTTTCAAGCTTATAGCCATTTTTTCTTTTCCACCAGTTCTTCAACTCTGCAATTGAGAGTGTGGGATGTACCCTTACCACACGTTCAATCTCATCTTCTAAAAATTTCGCTTCAAAATCTTTAGGACTACAAGTATGTGGGGCAGTATTTCTGGTTATCTCAACAAGCCCGTGTTTTTCCATTCTAGCTGCACATAATGACCACTTGCATTTCCATCTTACGCACTCAAACATATACATGTCCTTCTCAGTCTCTCTTACTATACACTTACGCCGCCTTTTAATGGACCACCAGTCCACTGCCTTCTTCAGCTCATCTCTATCTTTAAAACACAGTCCTACATGCATGTCATGATCGTCATCAATCCACAGTCTAGGCAGAAGACACGGTTTTAAAACACCAGAATTGACAACTTTAACCAAGCAGCCATCTGAGCCTGAAATTGTATCCATCCTTTCATGTTGTGTCCTCTGTCTTTTCAAGGAACTACTGGGATTTTCCAACGGCGACAAACAAACAGCAGGATCAATAACGTCATCAGAAGTTGGTTTAGCTTCCATATAGAGATCCACATTGTTTATAGAAGGATGGTGGCTTGGTACCTCAAGCATAGTCTCCAAACTAGTGTCGTTAACCACGGGAAGATGCGCATACGTAAACAGATCCGGTGAACCAACTACAGCTACAGGGTACCTACCGAAGATTTTGAGCTTTGATCTCTGCTTATCTAATCCAAAAATTTGATAAAGCCTATCCAATAAAGTGCTTAACGAAGTCTTTCGCATAACCGTGATCTTTTTAAGAATGGATCCTTCATAGTACACGCCATCAGCACCATACTTAATAGAACCATTCAAGTAACAAAAAACCATAACCTTTTCTCTGAGTGTTTCAATCACCATGAGCACAACAAAGCTGCAGTGAAAAATTCAAAGAAAAATGTAAACTTTTTAGGCCTAGATTCCTAAAATGCAAAACCCGATAAAGCTTAAAATCAACGAGACTTTCCAGCTATAAAAGGAGAAAGCTTTTCAGCGACAAAAGCAGATAAATCCATTCAATAACATAAACCCTAAACAGTGATACTCAAAACTAAGGCTTGTAAAATTCTACAACACCTGGGAAAAAAACGGGGATTTTCTAACTGGGTATCGCAGAGAAAAGCTTGAATCTTTCAGAAATGGAAGTAATTTCAACTTCGCTAACGATTTGTCCGGTGATGTTGTTACTGGTCACCGATGAAGACAACAGTACTGTATACCGTTTCATAAATATAGCTTTTCAAAATAGTTGGGCCGAAAGAATAAAGCCTGTTAATGTTTTGAGTCCGTTCTTAAACTAAGCAAAATATTTAAATCCGATTATTCCCGCCTAAATTTAACAGGATGAATGAATGTAAAGAAGAAGACGAGGTGAGATTAAACTCTCTATCCGGTTTAGCTTGGTTTCCGTATCGGCCAGGGGATTAATTTTCAAAAATACAAAAGCAAACAACACATTATGTTTACATTATACCACCGGAACCGGATTAGTCCTACTTCCCAAAAGTCAAAAGATAATACTACATAATCACTAACCTAATCCACCAAAATGCTCGGTTAGGTTTGACGCAAATCCATCTAACTTCCAGCTCTTCTTCTTACCAGCTATGTGTTAGGACTTATCTGCTGAGTGCTGAGTTAATTACGCGGACTAGGAGGAAACAGTGTTGGAACTCCGCAATCTTCCGGCCAAGCTGAAACTTCCGGAACAGGAGAAAATGTAGCAGCGTAAGTTTTGCAATACCGTTCAACTGTGTAACAGTCGTCTACATACTGCAAAGGGTTTATTTTGAGTTTCTCACAGACTGCTAGAGCGTGCAGACATGGGAACTCGAAACTTTGGAACTCCCCACACGTGCAGGTTGAGTCATTTAACTGGACAATCCATTCCTCCTTTTCTGAGGACTCTGAGACCTGAAATGAATCTCTCTCTAACGGCGTTATAACGTAAGTAATGGAATCTGTCATGAACTCTTCAAGTTTGTCCATGACAGGTTCTGTGTACACATCGCCGCGGTTAAGAGAGCAATGGATAGAACTAAGGGACTTATCGAAAGAGGATCTCAACTCATCAAACATAAGCATCACACCCCCTGTCATTGCAACTGTACAATACGGAAATCCCCTACAAACTGCAAAAAGAGCTTATGTATCTATCTCCATGATTCCGTATCTCAGACCACTGTCATGAGCCAAGGCCCACTCATGTCTTGGCATTCGGTCTAACCATTTCCAAGCTTTTGGGTTCTTCTCTTTGATGTCATTCATGTAGGAATCAAATTCTTCCTTCTGACTCGTGGATCCAGCCTGCTCCACAAGACTCTCTAGGTTGAAGTCTCGAAAAACGCCGAGGAATTGAGAGCGCAGATGATTCAGACAGAACCTGTGATAAGCCCAGGGTTCTTGCCACAGAGACCCTGGTTCATTAACAACAGCGACTATGTCCGGGTGGGGACTGGAGATGAGGCAAAGGTCTTTCCTTTGCGTAACCTTCTCTCTGATTTCAGTGAAAAACCAACGCCAACTATCGGTGGACACTTCTTTAGTAACCGCAAAGGCAAGGGGAAAAAAGTTGTTGGCTGCATCTACTCCTGAGGCAATCATCAATTCAATTGGTACTTACCGTTCAAAACTCTAGTGTCCACGATGATCAAAGGTCTACAGTGTTGAAACCCTTCGATAGACTGTGAAAATGCCCAAAACACGCCACGGAAGGATGCAAATTCAGGATTAGGAAAAAGATCATATTGCCAGTCCACGAGAAGCCCATTAGATGAATGAAATGCAGACATTAAATTGGGCATGACTCTGAAACTTTGATCCTCATCTCCAAACACTCTTTTGATTACTTCCAGTTTCCCATCCCGCATCTTAGAAGTTTGAAGCTCATAGCCAGTTTTTTCTTTCCACCATTTCTTCAACTCTGCAATTGAGAGTGTGGGCTGTTTCCTGACAACGCGTTCAATCTCATCTGCTGCAAACTCTGACTCAAAATCTTTTGGATACTCAGGACTACAAGTATGTGGGGCAGTATATTTGGTTATCTCAACAGGTCCATGTTCTTCGATTCTAGCTGCCCGTAGTGACCACTTGCATTTCCATCTTACGCACTCAAACATGTACATGTCCTTCTCGGTCTCTCTTACTATACAATTTCTCCGCCTTTTCCACTGCCATCTTCAGCTCATTTCTATCTTTAAAACACAATCCTAAATGCATGTCATGATCGTCATCAATCCACAGTCTAGGAAGAAGACACAGTTTTAAAACATCAGAATTGACAACTTTAACCAAGATGCCAGATGAGCCTGAATTATTATCCACTATTTCTGGTTGCGTCTTCTGTCTTTTCGAGGAACTACCAGGACTTTCCAATGGCGATGAACAAGCAACAGGAACAATAACATCATCAGAAGTTGGTTTAGCTTCCAAATAGAATTCCACATTGTTTACAGAAGGATGATTCCTTGGAACCTCAAGCATAGTCTCCAAACTAGAGTCGTTCACCACGGGAAAATGTACATACGTAACGAGATCCGGTGAAGTAACTACAGGGTACCTACCAAAGATTTTGAACTCAGATTTCTGTTTATCTAAAATGAAAAACCCTACAAAACTCAATATCAACGGTACTGTCCAGCTCTAAAAGGAAAAAGCTTTTTTAACTATAGAAGCAGATATTCAAAAACATAAACCCTAAACAGTGATACTCAAAAGTAAGACTTGTAAAGTTCTACCTACGCACCTGGAAAAAAGCGGGAGATTTTCGAATTGGGTATCGCAGAGAAAAGCACGGATCTTTCAGAAATGGAAGTAATTTCACCCTTAGCTAAGGATTTCTCCGGTGATGTTACTGGTCACCGACAAAGACAACTACTACAGGGAAATGAGAAATATAGCTTTTCGAAAATTTAATACAAAAGAAAAAACAGAAATAAAGTACAATTGGGCCGACGGATGAAAGCCCGTTAATTATGTTTGTAGCTTTTTTTAACTACCAAATTTTTCGTTCCATTGACTTTTTTGTCTGCTTAAAAACAAAATTCCCGCCTAAATCTAACTTTCGTGTCCCATTGATTCAATATCAACATTTTTCCTTGGTTAAGAATCTACAAATACAATAATAGTAGGAAACTGGAATTGAAACTTGATTTCGTTTCAGCTCAATATTTTCTATTCGATTTCAATTCCGATAATTTCACAGATAGAGAAAATAGACATGTAAATTAATGAGCTAAAATACACACATTATTTGTTTTACCAGATAGGCGTGGGTTCAAGAGCAATACTAATAAAAGAAAGATACTGTATGATGGTTAAGAGATTGTAAAGAAGAAGATGACGACGGTGTGATTCTGTTTCCGATTCATATCTTTTCAGGGGATAACCAAAGGTGCTCATGAACAAACCGGATTAATCATACAAAAACAACAACACATTATTATGTCTCCGTTATACAACTGGAACCGGATTAATCCTAGCTACTTCCCAAAAGTCAGAAGATGATACTACATAATCAGTTAGTCCAAAATGCCCGGCTCGGTGAAAACTCAAAATCCATCTTTCAGCTCTTCTTCTTAGTAGCGGGAGGAGTAGTTCTGCGTTTCGTACCTGATACGCAAGTTGGAGGTGATGGTGGTGGTGACGGTGGAATGACAGGAGGAAGCAATCTCGGAACTCCGGAAGCTTCTGGCCAAGCTGACATTTCCGGAACAAGAGAAAAGGTGGCGGCGTAAGTTCTTTTTAACCGTTCAAGAGTGTAACAGTCGTCCACATACTGCAAAGGGTTGAATTTCAACTTCTTGCAGACGGCTAGAGCGTGTAGACATGGGAATTTGTAACGCTGAAACTCCCCGCATGTGCAGCTGCAGTCGCTCAGCTGAACAATCCATTCATCCTTTTGTGACGGTGTTGTGACCTGAAATGCATTATTTTCTACCGGCATTACAATGTAAGTAACGAAATATGTCCTGAATTTTTCAAGCTTTTCCATGACAGGTTCCGTGTACACATCGCCACAGTTAAGAGAACTACGGCTAAAACTAAAATACTTGTCAAAAGAGGATCTCAGCTCATCAAAGAGAAGCAGCACGGAACCTGTCACTACATGACCAGCCAGCTCAAATGCTTTACAAACTGCAAACAAAGCTTTTGTATTTATCTCCATGATTCCATATCTCCGACCATCGTCATGAGCCAGAGCCCACTGATTTTGAGGGAATTGGTCTAACCATTTCCGAGCTTCTGGGTTCTTCTCTTTGATGACATTTATGTACGAATCAAATTCATCCTTCTGACTCGTAGATCCAGCCCGCCTAATGTACATCCCCAGGTAGAAGCTAGGGAAAACACGAGAGAATTGGGAGTAAAAATGATTCAGACTGAACCTGTGATAAGCCCAAGGTTCTTGCCACTGAGACCCAGATTCGTTGATAACAGCAATTATGTCGGGGTGGGGACTGGAAATGAGGCAAAGGCCTTTCCTTTGTGTAACCTTCTCTCTGATTCCAGTGAGAAACCAACGCCAAATATCAGTAGAAACTTCTTTAGTAACCGCAAAGGCAAGCGGAAAATATCTGTTGGCTGCATCAACCCCAGAGGCAATCATCAATTTCAACTGGTACTCACAGTTCAAGTTTTTGGCGTCCACTACGATCAGAGGTCTACAGTGCTGAAACCCTTCTATAGACTGTGGAAATGCCCAAAACACACCACAGAAGGATGCAAACGTAGGATTAGGAAAAAGATCATACTTCCAGTCCACGAGGAGTCCATTAGATGAACAAAAGGCAGACATTAACTTGGGCAAATCTTCAAAACTTTGATCCCAATCTCCAAAAACTCTTTTGATAGCTTTCTCTTTCGCAACCCGCACATCAGAAGTTTCAAGCTCATAGCCAATTTTTATTTTCCACCACTTCTTCAACTCTGCAATTGTTTGTGTGGGCTTATCCCTGACCGCACGTTCAATCTCATCTGTTTCAAACTCTGATTTGAAATCTTCTGGAACAATGGGATGACAAGTATGTGGACCAGTATACTTGATTATCTCGACAAGTCCGTGCTTTTTCATTCTAGCGGCTCCAAGTGACCACTTGCATTTCCATCTGATGCACTCAAAGATATACTCATCCTTCGCAGTCTCTCGTACTACACACTTTTGCTTCCCTTTTAGGGAACACCAGTCCACTGCCTTCTTCAGCTCACCACCATCTTTGAAGCACAATCCTACTCGCAAGTCATGATCGTCAAGCCACAAACTAGACATACACGGTTTTGAAACAGTGGAATTGGAATCCTTATTGGAAATGCTGCTATCCCCTGTCAAATCAACCGCATGCACCACTCTATCTGATCCTGAGTTTCGATCCGTCTCCCTCTCCCTCTCTGACTTAACAGGTATATCAATCTTCTGTCTTTTCCAGGAACTACTGGGATTGGCCAAAGGCGACGAACAAGCAGCAGGATCAATAACTCGATCAGATTTCGAATTCACTTCCAGAAACAGGTCAACATGGAGTATAGAAGGATGTATGCTTGGAACCTCAAGCATAGTCTCTAAACTAGTGTCATCCACCACAGGAAGAGGTTTATACTTGACCATGGACCCTTGAACAGATGAAGGATATCTACCAATTATTTGAAACGTCGATCTACTTCTATCTAATCCAGTAACTTGATACAGCTGATCCAACAATCCATTAAACTCAGTCTTGCGCTTAACAATGATCAATCTAAGAGTGGACCCTTCATAGTATATGCCATTAGGGCTATCCTTGATGCAACCATTCCAGTAACAATACACCGTAACCTCTAATCCAGCCATGAAAACAACAAACCTGCAAGGAATTCAACGTAAAAACGTAAACTTTGGGGTTAAAACCCTAAAATGCAAACCCTTGTCTCTGATTCTCTAAGAGTAAGGAACCCTAAAAGAAGAAGAAAAAAAAAATTAATTTCTCTCTAAATAAGAACAAGGAGCTGTATCCGCAACAGAAGCAGCTGAATCCAGCAATAAAGAACAGAACAAACCCTAAAATGCAAACCCTTGTCCCTGATTTCTCGAAATATAAGGAACCCTAAAAGAACAATTTCTCTCAAAAACAACAGCAATGAGATTTATAAACAACATCAAGCGAAGAACACAAAAGCCTTTAAAAAAACGAAAACATCTTAAGTTAGATGACCAATTATTTACTTTTAAAAATACCTGAAGGAAAAAAACGGAGACTTTCGACTTGAATGTCGCAAGGAAGCTTGAATTTTCAGAAATGGAAGTAAAATCTCAGCAGCATTTTAGGATTTCTCCGGCGATGTAGTCACGACTGACGAGGAAGACGACCAGTCTCGAACTAAAAGTACCACATTTTTTCAAAATAACTAGAAAACGTATAAATAAAAAAAGACATAAATAATAAACAGTTGGGCCTTTTTAGGCCCAACTATAATTGTGTGTGTTTGAACATAAAGCCTAGTAAGAACTAAGAAGTAAAACACTCGTGTCGTCGTCAACAAATTTTAAACCAAATTTTAAACCGAATGTTAAACCAAATGATTCGAACATCAGAATCTATTTTTTCCAGAAAATCCAATCGGTTAAAAACACTATTCCGGTTCGATTTAGCATTTAGCCACTGGTTATGAGAAGAAGATGAAACATAATCAACGGTCGGATGTTCCTGAAGAAAGTCACCAGACAAATAAGACTAACCAATCTTGGCCGTTCGTTTCGAATTCGACCGTCAAGCGCGGGAAGTACGTTTAATTAATGACTTGAACTAAATTCATTCTTAGCTTGGTTTTAATCTTGATTCAAAAAAACCAGACACATGCAAAAGTAGCAACGCAATAAAACCTGAACCAGTTTGATTCCTAAGTCTAATTCTCTAACTCTCAGCTCTTCTTAAAGTGGGCATGAGTGAATCCTAAGGAGCTTATGTATCTTCTTACTTACTTACTCCTCAGTCTGGTCTTCTTACGAACTGAGCTCATTTTGGATCATCGCCTTTATAGATACCTTTCTTGGGGTGAGATCGGTTTCGAACTTCTCAGCTGTAAAAACAGTTTAAAACAACGCAAGTTACAGAGATGACATCATCAATGAAGAAATAAAACGATCTGATCTAAACTCATACCAAGTCGCTTGAGGATGTCAGCGAACGCCGTCTGTCAGGAAATAACAAAGCTATTGTTAGACTTAGATATTAATTCATCTTCTAAGACACATAAATTTTTGTGGTTTGAAGCCTCACCGTTTTAAAGTCTACCACTTTCAAGATATCGGCAACTGCATTTCTCAACTCGTCATCACTAGGAGGATCCTTGGTTTTGCCATTTACTAAATTAAATAAACCCATGGTATCAGAAACATAAGAAGATAAAGAAAGATATATCAAAATTGATGATGACAAAACCTAGCTTCATCTTTATGAATCTAAGAAATCTTCAGTTAATAAGTATTCAGATTGTTCTGAATCCAAGTCTTGACTAAAGCTATCTTTCATATTAAATGTATCTATGCCTAAGTACATCTACGTTGATATTGAAATTAAAAACCAAAAGATTTATTTTTCACAATCAAAACAACAACACATAAGTCTTTGTCACGACACTTACGATATATAACCCGAACCAGTTTAATCATACTAGCCGAGAGTCAGAAGATACTACATAATCACCATCAGTTAGCACAATCCATGCAAAAACCTCTTTAGGATTAACTCGGTTTCGTACCAAATCCATCTAACTGGTTCAGTTTTTCATCTTACTAGTGCGAGGAGTAATTTTGCATTGGGACTTACCTGATACGTTAGGTGGCGGCAGAATGACTGGTGGGAACAATGTCGGAACTCCAGAAGCTTCTGGCCAAGCTGATACTTCCGGAACAGAAGAAAAACTGGTAGCATAAGTTTTGTGTAATCGGTCAAGAGTGTAACAGTCGTCAACATACTGCAAGGGGTTAATTTTCAGCTTCTCGCAGACTGCTAGAGCGTGCAGACATGGAAACTTCTTTGATTGAAACTTCCCACATGTGCAGGTGCATTCATTCAGCCGGACGATCCATTCATCATTCTGTAAAGGTTCTGTGACCTGAAAAGCACCTTTCTCCAAGGGCATTATAACGTGGGTAATGGACTCTGTCATTAAGTCTTCGAGCTTGTCCATGACGGGTTTGGTGTACATATCTCCGCGTTTAACCCTACCACTGCTATCACAAAGACCTGCGTTGAAAAACAATCTCATCTCATCAAACAGAAGCAGTGCGGTTGCTGTTACTGGCAAACCAAGGGACTGAAAGCTTTCCCAAATTGCAAACACATCTTCTTTATCAATCGCCATGAATCTGTATCTCCGACCATTGTCATGAGCCAGAGCCCACTGATTTCGAGGGAATTGGTCTAACCATTTCCGAGCTACTGAGTTCTTCTTTTCAATGTCCTTCATATAGGAATCAAATTCTTCCTTCTGATTTGTGGATCCAGCCTCATCCACAAGTTTCTTCAGGTAGTCATCTTGAAAAACATCGTGGAATTGGGAGCACAGAGAATGCAGGCAGAACCTGTGATAAGCCCAGGGTTCTTGCCAACGGGACCCAGGTTCGTTAATAACAGCAAGTATGTCCGGGTGGGGACTGGAGATGAGGCAAATATCTTTCCTTTGTGTCACCTTCTCTCTGATTTCATTGAGAAACCAACGCCAACTGTCTGAAGACACTTCTGTAGTAATCGCAAATGCAAGCGGGAAATAGCAATCATCAGCTTCGACTCCTGAGGCAATCATCAATTTCATAGGGTACTTACCGTTCAAGTCTTTGGTGTCAACTATGATCAGAGGTCTACAGTGTCGAAAACCTTCAATGGACTGTGGAAACGCCAAAAACACACCACGAAAGGAAGCAAATTCAGGATTTGGAAAAAGATCGTATTGCCAGTCTACAAGTAGCCCATTAGATGAGTGAAACGCAGCCATTAATTTGGGTAATACTCTGAAACTCTGATCCCAATCTCCAAAGACTTTTTTTATCACTTTTAGTTTTGCTGCTTGCATCTCTGAAGTTGCAAGCATGTCGCCAAATTTTTGAAACCACCAATTTCTCAACTCTTCAATTGTTAGTGTGGGCTGTACCCTGATAAGACATTCAATCTCCTCTGCTGCAAATTCCACGTCAAAATTATCTGGCCCTATAGGACAACAAGTATGTGGACTATGACACTTGGTTATCTCAACAAGTCCGTGCTCTTCCATTCTAGCTGCCAGAAGCGACCACTTGCATTTCCATCTGATGCACTCAAACGTATACTTGTCCTTCTCGGTCTCTCTTACTACACACTTTTGCCGCCCTCTTATGGAGCACCAGTCCACCGCCTTCTTCAGCTCATCCCTGTCTTTAAAACACAACCCTACACGCAATTCATGATCATCAACCCACAAACTGGACAGAGACCACTGTTTTGAAGCACTTGACTCGACACCTTTATTTAAGTCTGCATTGTCGTTATTCGCTGTCAAATTAACAACTTGCTCCACCCTATCCGAACCCGAGTTTTTATTCGTCATTTCTCTATCTACATCTCCATGAGTGCTACCGTTTCCCAATGCAGCATCTGCCCCGTTTTCAATCCACCCGTTACTGTTATCCACTCCCTGAACCTCTAAACCATTACCCCTCTCTAACTTAACAGATGGATGTGACACATAACCAATAGCTTCTTGGGGTTGTTGGGTCCTCTGTCTTTTCAAGGAACTACCAAGATTTTCCAATGGCGATGAACAAGCAGCAGGATCAATAACTCCATCAGATATCGATTTCACTTCCAAATACAACTCCACATTTTTAATAGAAGGATGATTGCTTGGAACCTCAAGCATAGTCTCCAAACTAGAGTCGTTCACCACGGGCAAATGTATATACGTAAACAGATCCGGTGAAAAAACAGCAGGGTACCTACCAAAGATCTCAATCTTTGATCTCTGCTTAGCTAATCCAAAAATTGGATAAAGCCCATTCAACAATGTGTTAAACTTAGTCTCGCGCTTAACTTTGATCTTTTTAGGAGTAGATCCTTCATAGTATACGCCATCAGGACCATACTTAATACAACCATTCGTGTAACACAACAACATAACCTGTTCTCTCAAGGTTTCCATCGCCATAAGCACAACAGTCCTGAAGTGGATTCAAAGAAAAATGTAAACTTTTTGAGCCTAAACTCATAACATACAAAACCCTAGAAAACTCCATATCTAAAAACAAAGGCTAAAGCTTTTTAGAGACAGAAGCAGATAAACCCATTTAGAAAACATAAACCCTAAACAGTGATACTCAAACTAAGAAGACTAGTAAAGTTCTAAGTACCTGTAAAAGAAGGGAGATTCACCAACTGGGTATCGTAATCAAGCTTGGATTTTTTTTCAGAAATGGAAGTAATTTCACTCTCCTCTTAAGGATTTCTCCGGTGATGTGACAAGACTTTCATATGACAGGGGAACTCACAGATATAGCATTTCGAAATTTATTATAGTAAAAATAAAGGTACAGAATTAAAGTACAATTGGGCCGAGAGAAAAAAGCCCATTAATGTTTGTGCAAATTTTTAAATCCAATTCCCGCCTAAATTTAACTTTCATATCCCAATGGAATGTACGAATACGTTATTGTACACCGGATTTACAGAAAATAATACTATATACTTTCAGAGGTCTCTCATTTTGTATCCATCTTTTTACTAGATTCAACGATTAATTTGTGATTAGAAACAAATGATTTTACAATGCAACCAGTAGTGTGTATAGTGGGTTTTAGACTTTTAGTTCAGTTGTCATTCAGATATTTGGCTTATTAAAACTCTTAACCAAGTTAACTTGAATTCATAATAGTTTGGGGGCTCACCAAAAGCTTAACTATAGAACATAACTGATTTTCACAAACAAAAGCAGCAACACATATGTCTTTAGTTCAGGGGATCACCATAAGTTTTCATGAACAAACCAGACACATACAAAAGCAGCAACACATTATCTCTCCGTTACAATATATAACCGGACTACATAACCACTTATCAGTTGACATAACCCACCACATTGCCCGATTAATTTTCACATACAAAAGTAGCAACATATCATGTCTCGGTTCTACAACCGGAACCGGGTTAATCAACTTCCCTAGCTAAAAGCCAAAAGATACTACATAATCCACCAAATTGCCCGCCTCCCTACAGACTCAAATCCATCTTTCAGCTCTTCTTCTTAGTACTGCGAAGACTTACCTACTACATTAGTTGGCGGCGATGGCTGAGGGAATGACGGGAGGAAGCAATCTCGGAACTCCAGAAGCTTCTGGCCATGCTGATTTTTGCCTCCTAAAGCTGCAAAATTTCAGAGTCTGTGAATAAATATGCCTAAGAAAACTGAAACAGAATAAGAAGACTTGAGTTACCGGAATTTTGACATCGAGTGACTTACCGGAATTCGGACATCAAGTTTCTCAAACCCATCGCGTCCGATGATTTTGATCCTCAATGATCGTGACCAGATCCGTGAAAGGGGTTTCTTGGTTCATTGTAAACCTCAGGTGTTATGACTTCAACAATCGGGTCATCTCTCTGTTCTGGATCATCTTGAGCCACCCGTTGATTACCATAGACGCTACTGCTGCTCGCTTCTTGAAAGGATAAAACAGATTTAGTTATTGGGTTTGATATATCCCAAAGATGATACGATTGAAAACTTTCATGTCTCACCTCTATATGATGACACGTACCGCTTCTCTTCCTCCTGGTATGTGTCAAAACCAAGAATAGTTGTTAATTATTAAAGTGTTAATAAACCATTATTTGATAATTAACAACTAATCAGATGTACACTATAACGTAATAACTAACACCACCATGTTCATGTTTCTTCAATCACAAGAAACTACTTGTTTTGTCATCTCTTGTTATTATTCCAAATGTTTTGGATGTCTCGCGCACCATTATGCCTTGTACACCAATGAATGATGCTCTCTTTCACCAGAGAAGAGATGAGATCATAATCTGCAATGTCTATCCACTAGTTCCTAATTAATTGGTAACTTCACTTTGAGCCGGAAACTACTCTTCTCTATCTTGATATATACCCACGAGATACATTTGTGCGGTCTTTGTGTAGGCTAATATGCTAGAAAATGGAGGGAAAGTTCCTATCCTAAACCCGCTTGAGCTAGAAGATATTGGATATAAGCTAGTGGCGTATCCAATTTCATTGATTGGAGTACCTATATATCCAAGCAATGCAGGTCACAATCTTTCTGTTTCAACCAATAATGTGTAACCTCACTGTGGTGGCAAAGAGACTTAAGAACTATGTAGAACACTTGCAGGACGCTCTATTGGAAATTAAGGGTGGTCGAATTCCTCCACCAGGAAGCATATATGGCGTCTTTAGAAGAAATCGAAGATATTCTTGGTTTTGACACATACCACGAGGAAGAGGTGAGACATGAAAGTTTTCAATCGTATCATCTTGGGATATATCAAACCAATAACTAAAGCAAGTATACGAGGGTTGACTTGCGTGTTGGATTCTACATAAGCCAAAAGATACTACATAATCACTAATCAATTAATCCAAAGTTGAGGTGTTTTACCGATTGATGTAGATGTCATTAAAGCCAAGCTTCTCCACATAGTTGGCAAGTGACATATGTCAACCTTTAATCTACTCCTACTTAATGCATCTGAAACTAGAATACCATTAGTATTACGTTTCCAGTTATGTAGTTTTAACTTTGCAGAATTAGTGTTACTAAATACATCTGGTGGTTGGTTTTGAGGGTTCTTACACTGGCTATATAACCTGACTTGACCACATATATATATATATATTCCATTGTGGGAGTACATAAGATTTTTTTTCTGTTCGTTTTCAATTTCGAAGAATTTGTCCTTACATTAAACTTCCTTGCAGATTGAAAACTTGTTAATGAGAAAAATAAATTTATATAAAGCCAGAATATTACTAGAGAGGCGTGGATGCTTAGATCAAGAGAGAATCAAGGATATAAAATTGGGAAAGAGATTGTAAAGAAGAAGAAGATGGTGGGATTAAGTTTCTCATGAAGAAACCGGACACATACAAAAGCAAGTAACACATTGTCTCCATTACAGCACTACGAATCTACGATATGTAACCGCACTAATCCTACTTCCCAAGCGTCATAAAAGGTACTACAAAAGCACTAATGAGTTAGCAAAACCACCAAAATGCCCCGTTTGGTTCGACTCAAATCCATCTAAAACTTTCAGCTCTTCTTCGTAGTAGGTTTAGGAGTAGTTTTGCGTTGGGACTTACCTGATACGTTAGGTGGAGGTGGTGGCGACCGGGGAATGACCGGAGGAAACAATCTCGGAACTCCAAAAGCTTCCGGCCAAGCTAATAGCTCTGGAACAGGAGAAAATGTAGCAGCATAAGTTTTGCAATGCCGTTCAAGAGTGTAACAGTCATCTACATACTGCAAAGGGTTGATTTTCAGCATCTTGCAGACCGCTAGAGCATGTAGACATGGGAACTTGCAACTTTGAAACTCCCCACATGTGCAGGTGCAGTCGCTCAGCTGAACAATCCATTCATCATTTTCTTGAGGCGCTGTGACCTGAAACGCATTATTGTCTAACGGCATCACATCATAAGTAACGGAAGCTTTCCTTGACTTTACAAGCGTTTCCGTGACAGGTTTAGCGTACACAGCGCCGCATTTACGATTACCCCGGATACGACATAAAGACTCATCAAACGAGTGTCTCAGCTCATCAAACAGACGCAGCACGTAACCTGTCAATACATGATTATCCAAATGAGAGACATTAAAATCTACAAACAGGGATGTTGTCTCTATCTCCATGATTCCATATCTCCGACCATTGTCATGAGCCAGAGCCCACTGATTTGGAGGGAATTGGTCTAACCATTTCCGAGCTTCTGAGTTCTTCTTTTCAATGTCCTTCATGTAGGAATCAAATTCTTCCTTCTGACTCGTGGATCCAGCCTGCTTCACGAGGTCCTCCAGATAGTAGTCTCGAAAAATGCCACTGAATCGAGAGAGCAGATGACGCAGACAGAATCTGTGATAAGCCCAGGGTTCTTGCCACTGAGATCCGGATTCATTAATAACAGCAAGTATGTCGGGGTGGGGACTGGAAATGAGGCAAAGGCCTTTCCTTTGTGTAACCTTCTCTCTGATTCCAGTGAGAAACCAACGCCAACTATCAGTAGAAACTTCTGTAGTAAACGCAAAGGCAAGCAGAAAAAAATTGTCTGCTGCATCAACTGTAGAGGCAATCATCAACTTCAATTGGTACTTACAGTTCAAATTTTTGGTGTCCACTATGATTAGAGGTCTACAGTGTTGGAACCCTTCGATAGACTGTGAAAATGCCCAAAACACACCACGGAAGGATGCAAATTTAGGATTAGGAAAAAGATCATACTTCCAGTCCACGAGGAGTCCATTAGATGAATGAAGGGCAGCCATTAATTTGGGCAAATCTTCAAAACCCTGAGCGCAATCTCCAAAGACTCTTTTGATAGCTTCATTCTTCGCGATCCGCACCTCCGAAGTTTCAAGATCATAGCCAATTTTTTCTATATACCACTTCTTCAGCTCTGTAAATGACTGTGTTGGATGTATTCTGATCACACGTTCAAACTCATCTGCTTCAAACTCCATATAGGAATCTTGTGGCTCATTGGCACAACTACAAGTATGTGGACCAGTATACTTAATTATCTCGATAAGTCCGTGCTTTTCCATTGTAGCAGCCTCAAGCGTCCACTTGCATTTCCATCTGGCGCACTCAAACATATACTCATCCTTCTCAGCCTCTCGCATTACGCAACTTCGCTGCCCTTTAAAGCAGCACCAGTCCACAGCTTTCTTCAGCTCATCACCATCTTTGAAGCATAATCCAACTCGCAAGTCACGATCGTCAAGCCACAAACTAGAAAGACACGGTTTAGAAACACCAGAACTGGAATCTTGATTCAAATCCTTAAGGAAAATGTTGTTATCCTCTGTCAAATAAACCACTTGCGCCACTGCATCTGAACCTGGATTTTTATCTGTCATGTCAGCATCTCCACCGTTTCCAATGTCAACACCTTCTTCATCTTCAATCCACCCGTTACTGTTACCCTTCTCTAGCTTAACAGGTATATCCATCCTCTGTCTTTTCGAGGAACAACTGGGATTTGCCAACAACGGCGAACAAGCAGCAGACTCAACAACCCCATCAGATTTCACTTCCAAATAGAGTTCCACATTTTTAATAGAAGGATGTTTGCTTGGGACTTCAAGCATTGTCTCCAAACTAGAGTCGTTCACCACAGGCAAAAGTAGAAACTGAAGCATTGATTGCTGTTGAACAACTGAAGGAAACCTACCGAAAATTCTAACCTTTGATCTCCGATCATCTATATCTAATCCAGTAAGAAGATACAGCTGATCCAACAATATGCTTAACTCAGTCTTTCGCTTAACTTTGATCATTCTAGGAGTCGATCTGTCATAGTATACCCCATTACTGCCATACTCGATGCGACCGTTCCAGTAACACAACACCGGAACCTCCATTTCAGCCATGAGCACAACAAACCTGCAAGAAATCCAAAGTAAAAATGTAAGCTCTAAAGCTAAATCCCAGTTATGCAACCCTAAAAGAAACAACAGCAACATATATCTCTAATGTAACAACATGGAAGGCCTCAGTCCCTAAAATGTAAGGAATTCTATATAAAATTCTAAAACAAACCTGCAAGGAATACAAAGCAAAACTTAAAAACTCAGGGGATAAAACCCTAAAATGCAAACCACTGTCTCTTGTTTTCCAAGTATAAAGAACCCTAAAAGATAAAGGATCAAGTTTTACTCTAAAACAACAGCAAGGAACCGGAGCAGAAGAATCCAGCAAGAAATTGTTTTAAAAACCCTTTAAAAACACACAAAAATAGTCTGGATTTTAAAAGGGAGCCCTAAGTTATAGATATTTACATACCTGAGAAAGAAAACGAAGGTTAGGAAGTTTGGATTTTCAGAAATGGAAGTAATTTGAGTTGCATTAAGGATTTCTCCGGCGATGTGGTCACGGCGGAGGAAGGCAACTACACTCGCACTCAGTCACAATCACAAATATCATTCACAGCTTTTCAGATAAAGTAAAAAGTAATACAAAGTTTGGAAACGAAGAACTGTTGGGCCGGAATTAGAAAGCCCACCAACAACTGTTGGGCCAAACTTGATGACTACGGGGGAATCTTTAGAATTACCACTGCTTAAGTAAAAAGTAATACAAAGTTTGGAAACGAAGAACTGTTGGGCCGGAATTAGAAAGCCCACCAACAACTGTTGGGCCAAACTTGATGACTACGGGGGAATCTTTAGAATTACCACTGCTTAGCTTTCAATTCGCCTCTGACCATCAAATGAAATGTGAATAACCCGTCCTCCTCTTTTTGAAATAAGGGGCGCTTATGGTTCTGTCGGTGATGAATCTAACCGGAGATCCAACGGCTATCAATCATCATATTATTGTTGTTTATGAATGTTAGTATTGAAATTTAACACTAAAATTGTTTGAAAACAAAAATATTTTTATATAATAAAAAATGGGAAAATTGGAAATAAAGGATAAATATTTAAGTATTTGTCCATATATGAATTCTATGAACAAATATCAACTATTCCTAAACTACCCCTTGCATAAGATTGAACCAATTGTTTCAAAAACAATTAAGAAAAATATGTATTAAAATGATAAAAAAGACATGAAGATATATAAAATTTCAAAAATATATTGTTTTGTTTTCGTTTTAGATGGATAAAATTTGATCTATAAAGTTTAGAATATATCTTCTGAAATTAGAATGTATATTCTATACACTCTACATGTTCTACAAAATTTAGATTATGTATTCTACACACTCTACATGTTCTACAAAATTTAGAATTCATTTCTGTTATAAGGTATTTAGAATACTAGTTTCTACAACTTTTAGAATACATATTCTATACTTTGTTCTTTGTTCTACAAAAATTAGAATATGTTTTCTAATATTTACTCATGTTCTAAGAATGTTAGAAAACATATTCTTAAGATTTTTTTTATTCTATAAAAATTAGAAAGTACATTCTATCTACTTTAGATTTAAAAAAAAACAATATCTTAAAATATGGAAATTGAATATAGTGAATTTGATTACATCTGCAAATTACAGAAGTTGAATTCTGAATACTTTAAAATTCTTTATACCTAAGTGAATAAATTATAACACAAATTAGAATTTTTCTTTATACTTCACACTTTTTCCTATAGATTACGCTTAATTTCTTGTCTCAAAACCCGGAAAATTAGTTGAATTTTGAATACTTTAAAATTCTTTATACCTAAGTGAATAAATTATAACACAAATTAGAATTTTTCTTTATACTTAATATTTTTTCCTATAGATTACGCTTAATTTCTTGTTTCAAAACCCGAAAAATTATAGTTGCGCTCCATAAAGAAATTGAAATCAAGGGAGTGAGATAGAGAGAGGGATTGAAGAAGAAGAAGAAAAAAAAATTATTTAATATGGCGTTATTAGAGAGGAGAGAACAATTACGAAAGTTTAACTTTGATGAGCAAGAGAATCAAAGAAGAAGAAGATATGAAATTATTTACGGCAAAACAAATAATGGAATGTAAATAAATGTTGATTTTGTTCTATATTTTTTCCAAATTGTTTTTAGAAAGAAATCAATTTAATTTTGAATTTTTTTAATAGTTTAGTAAGATTTTAAAAGACTGAGGGCATATTGGGATTTTAATTAGATGAAATCATATATGACCAATATTAAAGTATATATGACCAATCATGAATATAGAATGCATAGATTGACAATAGTTTAATTATTTGTCTTTTATTTCCAATTTTCCCATAAAAAATTTAGCAAAAAACCTAAGAAGTGAAAAACATTTTTATAACTTAGAAAAAAAATTTTGAAATGAAAATATTTTCATAATTAAAAAAAAATAGTTTACATAATAAAAATATTGTAAAAAACCATAAAAATAAATCTAAGGGTTAAATTTACTTGCGTGAAAAGCGGTTGAACTAATAACGTCTCTTACGGATCCGTAAGATGGAATGAGATACTTAGTCCGGTTTGTTTTCAATGCATTGAAATTTAACACTTAAAGTTTTTGAAAACAAAAATATTTTATATAATAAAAAATTTAGTAAAACAAAAACATTTTTATAACTTGGAGAAAAACTTTGGGTTGGCTGATTTTATAGCCATAAACTAGTTGCATTCTCAGCTTTCCCCCCCCCCAACCTTTTCGCTCCAGCTAATTCCACCATTAACTTAGATAATTCTCACAATTTCAACATATACTTTCGGATTCATCCTTAAAACTACGCCTCCAATTGAACCGGTCATTAAACCGGTTCTAACCACAAATCCGCGTTTACTGTACCGCGATTGCCATTTACCCGACTAAAAGCCCATTACCCGTTAAGAAAACGACGTCGTTTTCATTTTGATAAACTCATCAAAACCCAAACAAAAAACGACGTCGTTTTCATTCTTCTTCTTCTACAAAATTGATTTGGGCGTTTAGGGTTCTTCATTCCTAAAGCTGTGTGCATCAATCAACATAGAGTTCCCTTGTTTATAAAAACAATCTTAAGAAAACACAGAACAACAAAGCCAACTAAGATTCCCATTCTTCACAGAAATAGAGAGAGAAAGAGAAGATTACTTACCTGCTCTTGAGAGGAAGACATTATAGGTACATCGTGTAAATCTCCCATCTCATCCACATCAACGTTCATCAAACTGTACAAACATTTTCTCAGTAATCAACTAAACCCTAAATCAAGAAAAGTAAAAGGAAATTACCCAGAAGAAGAAAAGTTGCCGATTTGATAGCCAACAGAAGCATGTAACGATGGAAGAGGCGGAGCACTAAGGTCCATCAAATCCATACCCAAAGCCGTCGATGTTTCATCTTGTGAGAATCGTTCCAAATTCGAAACCCCAATCATCGGCATATGACCCTCTTGAAACCCCTTCAAAGACGACTGATCAATCTCCGGCATATGAAGTACGATGCTGCGAATATCGCTGGTCACAGTAATGGTCCCCGGCTCTCTCCACATCCCAAATAAAGCGCTCGAGCAAAGAGAGGACTTCTTGCGGAGGCAATTCAGGAGCCACTTCTTGTAATAAAACGATGCGTTCTTGCTTCAATTCAGACGATAGTTCCTTCGGCGCCTGATTCAAAACCTAACGTGAATCGATCCTTTTTCTTGGCGGAATCTAATTCGAAATCCGACTTGGATAATTGATCGATCTTGGCGACTCCGCCGCCGTGGATTGCTCGTTAACTGAAACCCCGGCGAAGATTTTGTAGAAGAAGAAGAATGAAAACGACGTCGTTTTCTTAACGGGTAATGAGTTTTTAGTCGGGTAAATCGCAATCGCGGTACAATAAACGCGGATTTGTGGTTAGAACCGGTTTAATGACCGGTTCAATTGGAGGCGTAGTTTTAAGGATGAATCCGAAAGTACATGTTGAAATTGTGAGAATTATCTAAGTTAATGGTGGAATTAGCTGGAGCGAAAAGGTTGGGGGGGAAAGCTGAGAATGCAACTAGTTTATGGCTATAAAATCAGCCAACCCAAAAACTTTTGAAATGAAACATTTTCATAATCAAAAATATAATTAAAAAAAATAGTTTACATAATAAAAATATTTGTAAGAAAACATTAAAAATTAATCTAAGGGTTAAATTTACTTGCATGAAAAGCGGTTGAACTAATAACACATCTTACAGACCCATAGGATAGGACGGGATGTTTAGTCCGGTTTGTTTTCAATGCATTGAAATTTAACACTTAGGGTTTTTCTAAACAAAAATATTTTATGTAATAAAAAATTTAGTAAAAAACCAAGAAGTGAAAAACATTTTTATAACTTGGAAAAAAAATTAATCTAAGGGTTAAATTTACAAATATTTTTTTTTTCAAAATATTTTATATAATAAAAACTTTAGTAAAAAACCAAGAAGTGAAAAATATTTTTCTAACTTGGAAAAAAACTTTTGAAATGAAACATTTTCATAATCAAAAATACAATTAAAAAATATTTTACATAATAAAAATATTAGTAAAAAAACCATAAAAATAAATCTAAGAGTTAAATTTACTTGCGAGAAAAACGGTTGAACTAATAACACCTCTTACGGACCCGTAGGATGGGACGGGATGCTTAATCCGGTTTGTTTTCAATGCATTGAAAATTAACACTTAAATTTTTTGAAAACCAAAATATTTTGTATGATAAAGACTCAATTAAAATAAAAAAACGTTTGCTAGAAAAAAGAGAAAAAAAAGTTGAGGTAACAAATAAATCCCTAAATTCCAAATTGGTGAACAATGCCTAAGGACATACTAAACGAAACAGTAGACAAGTATGTGATGAATTTGCGTAAGGACAGAGAGTGATACCAATTTATGATCGAGATTGAAGCATTCACGTGTTATCAAACAGTCAGAAGAACCCTAGACATGAAGAACAAAAGAATCTCTTACCATACCTCTTTGGTTTTAAAATAAAATTAAGGATCGGGGACAATCGTCGTCCTTGCTTGCTTGAAGTAGAGACTCAGATAAATCATATATGTGACACAAAAGTCAGAAAAACAGAGTCACACAACGATGACAAGAGAATCGATCAACCCCTTAGAAGACCCCAACATATATGTATATGTCATCAACTCAATAATGACGCCTTGAGTAAGTAACACCACCACTCAGATTCTCCCTCCCGGCGATTCAACCGACGGTGTCGATTCAACCAGTGGGTTCCTTGTTCGCATCATATTGATGTTAATTATTTCCACATCTTAGGTTAAGAATACCACAAGACTTGAGACGAGAGCTGAGGACATTGGTCTTGATCTTACTGGTTTTAGTTACATATATGATATATCACACAGACATGATTGTTGCTCTTTCAAAATTTTACAACATTCAGTCGATATCTTTAATCCACTATTAACAACGTCCAAGCAAGTCTGAATCTTACTTTCATCACATGATTCTCCATCCCTCTTGGATCTACTTCCGCAGGCACGGATAGCTTTTGTCGGAAGAGGTAATGATGCCAAGAGTATGACGAATGTGATAAGCAGCAATCCGACGGTCTTCATGTATATGTATATCTATGGCAAATTGTTTGGATACCTTTTGTTTTCTAAGAGGTTAATGGGAATTTTTGATTAGGTATTTATTTGATAATTAAGGATTCTAGATTTCTAGTTGTATGGTATAATTGCGTAATGAACGTGTTTACTGTGTTAATCATCATGCACATAATTAGTTGTTATGTAAATATAGCCTAAAAGAAAGGCTAAATCACTTTTCCATATAAGCTTTAGAAATTTATAGAAATAATAAATTCGGTTTTTAGTTATTTAGAAAATTTTATTGGTTAATCCGCAATGGTATACAGATTTTACATTTGCTTATATTACATTTGTAAACGTTTGCATAAATTATATGAAAATTCAGATTTCATATAAACCACAACTACATTATAATTATATTGAAAAGATTGAGAAATTGAAAAATGAAACAAAAAGATGCAAATCACTTATATATAGAAGCCATTTCCAAACTGTAAACGGAGCGGATATCCGTTTTTTTTAGGATATCCGTATCCGTATTATCCGCCAATTTGGTATCCGTATCCGGATCCGGAATTCCGGATATCCGTTAAAAATTCGGATATCCGCGAATATCCGGAAATAGTGTTTTTTTTTTTTTTGGTAAACCGAAAATAGTATTTTAAAATCCTAAATTCATTAATATCATACATTAAAAGCTTTAAAAAATCACAAAATAGCTAGAAGTTGATTATATATACAAAACATTACAAAAACAAAGAATTTATTAAAGTAGCAAAAGGTTTAAAAGATTCAAGTGATGTTCTTAAAAAACAAAGACATTAATCAACTTCTAATAAAAAACATAAATGTAAGATATTATTAAGAAACTCGGTCATTTAATAGGATTTCTCTCCCAGGCGATATTCCCGAGACACTACAAAATCCACCGTCTTCCGGTGCCGGTGTAGCTGTGGCTCGCCGGCGTCGGACGTTGTCTTCTCTTTGCTGTTCCGCTCCTCTCCCGAAGAATCCAAACGAGTTTCGTCTCTTGTTTTTCAAGCTCTTCAAGTTTTTAGCCCGTCCTCTCTGCCTCATTCCATCTTCCATCATGTCGTTGCGTCTCGTCGAGTGCAGATCTGGTAGCATCTCTCTGCAGATCTTTGGCTCAACGGTTCGACGTGCTCCGCCTCCCACCAAAAGATCCAGCAGCTACTTCGCTGTCAGCTATTTTCTCGTCTTTTTCCCCAGCCGCGTGAATCGGCTCTCCCGTGTTAAGCCGATGGTTGTTGTCTCCTCAACTTCCCTTTCCGGTGCTCTTCGCCCTCTCTTGATCTCCGTGGTCGGTGACCCTCTCGCCTCCGTCAACCGCCGCCGCCGCCGCATGTCATCCTCCTCGCTTGGGTTAGGTCAAAGCCCCACTTTACAATTTCAGTGGAAGGGTTTCAATTGGGCTTGGCCCATCTTTGGGCCTTCTGGAGGTTGTTGTGGCCCATTGCTTTTTGGGCTGCAAGCTTGTTTTGTTATGCAAACAAGTTTTTTGGCCTGCCCTAATGTCGTGCACTTTTCACCATCTGCGCCCACCACCGACTTCGTCTTCCCCCGTCTCACCTTTGGCCACGCCTTCACCATCTCCGACTTCTTCACCCACCGGTTCACCGGATACTTCTTCGGGTTCCCTCTACCTACACTGGATACTTCTCCGGTAGACCTAGGTTGCTTCTGGTTTAGAACCACTTTTGTTGGTTCGGATTCCGCCCAAATTCGGCGAAGATTGATTACCGGATACTGCTCCGGCGTTCCCCTGCCTGTGTCTTTGGCAGATCCAGGTTGTTCTCAACCTAGAACCACGTTTGTTGGTTTGCATCTCAACGGCTATTCAGTTTGGTGCTTTGTCACCTCTTTCTTGACAGCCAATTTTAGGATTGATTTGGTTGCCCTAGTGGCAGATTCAATCTCGCGCAACATAGCACTTTGTGTGTTTTGTGTTGTCCAAGGGGTCATCTCTCTTCTTCGCTCTAGTGTTATCAAGGTTCAAGGACGCCACGATGACGATTATTGCTTAGGGGATATGATTGCTTTGATCTATCCTTCTATCTACTTTTCTTTTATGTATTGGTTTGCTTTTGGTTCAGGGAGTTTGATTGCGTTGGCTCCTCCCTTTGTAACTCTTCCCTCCTTTGAGGATGATTAGCTATGATATAAAATCTTGGTGCACAAAAAAAAAAAATCAACTTCTTAAATGCTTCTTAAAAATTTATTTTTATTTTTTGTCATATGATTTATTTATTAACATTAAAAATAAAATAAAAACAATTAAAAAAGTCGGCTTACAAGTTTTTTTGGGATTTAACACTTGAAAATGGACTCATAAAAGGCTTTTAAGTTTTTTTTTTTTCCCGGATATCCGTTATCCGTTTCTAATTTTAAGAGAATCCGTATCCGTATCCGTTTTCAAAATATCCGTTATTTACTATCCGTATCCGTTTTTCCGGATATCCGTTTTTCCGGATCAAAAACCGGATACGGATACGGATATTCGCGGATAGCGGATATTAATCTCATGCCTACTATATAGAATTTTTATCACTTATGCCACTTTTTGGCAAAAAATGATCTGGCCTGCCACCCAATAATCTACATGTCATCGAAAATATGAAGTACCGAAATTACTCTTAATGAATAAAGAAGAAGAAATAGAAAAAATTAAAAAAAAAAAAAGAAAACAAAATCGTTTTTTGTCTCTCTCCTCTCCTCCCCGACCCCGACGCTTTTCTTCCTCCTCCGCCGCTCCCGCCGATCTGCAACTACGGCTCAACAGGCGCCTCTTCCTTCTCGAAATCGGTTAGTTTCTTCTCACATATCCTCTTGACATTGCTCCATTGTTTTGTTTTTAGGTATTTCATGAGTATTCTGGAATTTTTTAAAATTAGGGATTTCAAATGAAAATTGGGTTTTATTTGGATTAGCGAATGTATATTGGCGAATGGAGGTATTTGTATTGGTAATTAAACGAATGTAGCTCGTCCATTGTTGAATCTAGTCACATCTTATGTAGAATCAAGTCAGATCTCAGTCAACTGGTATAGCTAACAGAAAGTTATTCAACTGGTACAAATAAGTCAAATTATTCAACTGGTACAACTGATAGACTATAGGCCAACTAGTACAAATGATAGTATGTAGGTCAACTGGTACAAATAGTACAACTGTGACAAATGGTGTAGATAATTATGTTTTAAATTGTTGTATTTTCAGGAGGCGATGAAGAAGAAGAGCCACACTAACGTACATTTTGACTATGGAGGGTACTATTCAGAAGAGAATGAGTGGATTTTTAAAAATTTACTATACGCTATATCGTTTGAGTTCATGGTTCAAATGGTGTATGTGCTGTTTTTAATTATTGTATTTTCAAGATAGTACCCTCCATAGTCAACTGGTACAACTGATAGTATGTAGGCCAACTAGTACAACGGATAGTATGTAGGCCAACTGGTACAACTAGTATAACTGTGAAAATGGTGTAGATTTGTGCTGTTTTTAAATGTTGTATTTTCAGGATAGTACCCTCCATAGTCAACTGGTACAACTGTTAGAGTATAGGCCAACTGGTACAAATAATAGACTGTAGGCCAACTGGTACAACTAGTATAAGTGTACCAGTGGTAATTATGTTTTAAATTGTTGTAATTTCAGGAGGCGATGAAGAAGAAGAGCCAGACTAACGTACATTTTGACTATGGAGGATACTATTCAGAAGGGAATGAGTGGATTTTTAATAGCCCGAGCATCCAGAAGCCCGAGCATCCAGAAGCAACTTGACTAATTCTCTAGTTCAACCGGTACAACTGTTTTACCACTTGGGTTCAACTAGAACAACTGAACCATTTGGGTTCAACCGGAACAACTTAAATAACTTTGTATTTTTATTTGTAAGACTAATAATACTTTGTAATATATGGATTATTGTTTGTAAGACTAGTTTGTAATATAAACTATTTTTATACTTTGCAGTATGAGTAAGATTGGTTTCTGGGTTCAGCCGGTACAACTAGGAACAACTAATACTACAAAAACATAAAATTACATAAATTAAACCATAATAAGTGATTTTAAACATTTTAAAACTCTGAAAGTACATTTAATATTTTTAATATATGATATTTAACATTATCAATAATTAATGTTTACATAAACTTGTTTTACACATATCACTCATTAGGTAACAAGCAACATTTAGTTCAAGATCATCTATAAAGATGGAATAAGTATGGAAACTATGTAGTCTTACAAATTATTCTATAAAAACTTCTTAAAAACCAATATAATTTGGAAATTGATGGGAACAACTAGAAAATTATGGTTATTTTTAAGGTTCAACTACAAAATTACAAAATTTGAAATAGTTCAACTGTGAGCAAATCAGGACAACTGAACATGTAAAGACAACTATGTAGAAATGTGTTCACACTAGTCTTTGACTAGCTTTTGACTCAAAACGGGCCCACCCTGTGATGATTTTTGGAAATAAGTTTTTTTCTCTCTCTCTCTCTCTCTCTCTCTCTCTCTCTCTCTCTCTCTCTCTCTCTCTCTCTCTCTCTCTCTCTCTCTCACATCTCGCTTCTCTCTTCTTCTTTCTTTTCTTCGTCTTCTCTCTTCTTCTTCCTTTGAAAATGAGAAACCCAAAAATTAGAGTTTTCAGATTTCTTCAAATTTTGCAAAATCTGGGTAATTCTCTCACATCTCGCTTCTATCTTCTTCGTCTTCTCTCTTCTTCTTCTTCCTTTGAAAACGAGAAATCCAAAAATTAGGGTTTTCAGATTTCTTCAAATTTTGCAAAGTCTGGGTTATCTCGCCGTTAAGGTTTAATTGCTTTAAGTTTGATCTGGGTTAATTGCTCAAAATCTGGGTTATCTCGCCGTTTTAACCTCTTTTGAATATGCGAGGGATGGAAATCCTGCTTTGGAGTCGATCCGAGAAACTCTTCGTCTTATGCGTGAAGAAATTGATGATCTTAAATAGAGGTTAGCCACAAAAGAAGTCGAGATTGCGAGGCTTAAGGGTTACTTTCAAGGTGGTAATATTGTATGATTACCACCTAGTCTTTGTAATATTTGAATTTGTATTTTGGATATGGATTTGTGTTTTTGGAATATGGATTTGTGTTTTCATGAAGTCTTATTAGTATTTGTACCTGCCGTAATGGTAGTTGTACTTGGTTCAACCGGTACAACTTCGACTTATATGTAGTTGTCCTTGATTTATCATATAGTTGTCCCTGTATTATTAGTAGTTGTCCTTGGTTTATCACATAGTTGTCCCTGGATTATTAGTAGTTGTCCCTGGATCAACCGGAACAACTAAATTTAAAATTTAGTACTCACTCCAACAACTACATGAGTACCAAGAAGAAGGAACCTCACGTTTCACTTCATCACGTAGAGTCAATTGCTTCCTAACAATCTCAACACGTATATACAAGCTAATGAACCAATAAGCTAAATTCTTCACAGAGCTCGCATCTTTAGGCCAACATTTACTAAACGCAAACATATTATTAAACATCCCCGACGGAATCTTCCCGGAGAGACACATATCTTGATTAAACTTCTCCGACATCTACACAAAAATCAAACTCAAAATTAGGGTTTCTACAAACAGGAACACGAACCAGTGATGATTAGATTTTACTAAACCTGATTAAAAGAGAGTATATCGGAGCGTAATCGAGTACGTTCGCCTTTATCGCACTTAATCGAGCTCGAGACGTTGTTAACGACGATCCCACCGGGGAAGACTAAGTCACGGTTCCGGGTCGGGACGATTTCGACTAACCTGGAACCGTCTGGTGTAGTTTTACAAGCGGAGAAACAAACATCGGAGCAGAGATAGTAACCTAATCCGATCACTGAGACGGCTTTCTTGGCGGCGGATTGAGCATCGAGGCGGGTGAAATTGTTATAGGCCTTGGATCCGAGAGAGAGATGATGGTGAAAGAAAGGGAAGAGGAAAATTCAAAAGATTGTGGCTTTGTGTGGTGAAGAAGAAGAAGAAGACGAGCGCGAAGCCATTGAAGTGGTCAACGGTGTATGGCTAGGAAAGAAAACATTTAGTCAACACGTAATTACTTTGACTTTACGGCTTTATGTTTGAATTTCGGATATGGAATTATATAGTGTGAATATGAATATTAAACCGGAGGAGACGAAGATGCAAACGGAGACGGAGGAGACGAAGACGAACTCGGAGGAGACGAAAGGCGGATAAGACGCAGACGGTCCGAGGCAACACGAAGACGCCGGAGACGACGAAAACGGACGGTCTGAAGCGATTCCGATGAGAAGCGACGGAGAGAAGTGACGGAGATTCGAGAACTCGACTCTTCTTCTTCCGATTTACAGTTTCTCGATTTATACTTAGATTATTTTTGTGTTTTTCAGATTTAGGGTAAAATTTGAAGATTTTTTATGGGTCGGATTATTTTTCATGGGCTTGGATCGGATTATTAAGGTTGGGTCGTAGTTTTTAGAATTTGGTTTGGTTTTTATGTCTTTTATTCAATTTTACGAATTAAAATAAATTCAAAAATAAAAACAAAACATAACAGTGGCATAAGAGGTTAGCATTTCTCGATCAGTGGCACAAGAGGTGAACTCTCTACTATATAGGGCTTATATTTTCGCTTTCCATTTCATAATAAGGTATACTAAGAAATGAAACATTAAAAAAACAAAGATGAATATGTTAAAGTCCATAATATAATTCTTATACTGAGTATATATTACAACATAACATATGCTTAGAGAATATTATTTAAAATAATTTAAAAAAAAAAAAAAAACTTGAACATTTTAAAATGGGAAAAATGTCATTAAAATCCCCAACTTATTCAAAACGTTGATTTAAATCCTCAACTCACGACGAAACGAAATAAATATCAAATTTATGTTGACTTTCCAAATAAATATTAAACTTATGTTGAGTTTCCAAATAAACACCAAATTTTCATTGACTTGGCCATATTAGGCATGACGTTAAGTGAGTTAACAGACCATGTTAACGGGATTAATTTTCTGTTAACAGACCCGCTAATTAAAAATGACAGTATTCCTTCTAAACATAAAACGACGTTGTTTTGTCGTAACTGCTCAATAAAATCCCGAGTTTCAAATCATATGAAGATTTAGGGTTAGGGATTTTGCTCGATTTGGGGATTTAAGATTGACTTTAGGGATTTAATTCAATCGTTACGACAAAACGACGTCGTTTAGTTGTTATATGAAACAATGTCGTTATCAATTAACATGTATGTTAATAGAAAATTAACTCCGTTAACGAGATCTATTAACCCACTTAACGTCGTACCTAATATGGCTAGGTCAACGGAAGTTTGATATTTATTTGGAAAGTCAACATAAGTTTGATATTTATTTCGTTTCGTCATGAGTTGAGGATTTAAATCAACGTTTTGAATAAATTGAAGATTTTAACGACATTTAAAATATTTCCTTATTTTCTTTTTTTACTTATTCGAAAATGCCTTCATTTCACTAGTTTTTTAAACATGGAAACTTTTAAAACTGGTAACAACTGCTCCCATTTTATTTTCTTTCATATTCCTCATATTTATGTATAAGTAGTAGAGGCAACGCTCAATGGTTCCATTTTTACTGGAAAATTTATAATAAGAAAAATTTAGACCAAAATATAAAAGCCAACATGTGCCGCTAAGCATCTCATCGGGGTGCAACGAACCATCAAATTGACAATGTACGTGAGCCAACGTGTTGTCCCTATTCTTCGATAGAGCTATATGGTTCTCCATCGGCTATAAACTTATCTTCCATCTAAGGAGTCTCATGTCCAAGCTTCCAATCATATGCCTCATGTACCGCGAGTTGGAGGGTTTCAAGAGGACATTCAACCTTGTAAAGCTGGTGGACATTCAAAGAGCATATGATTTTACTTAACCATATAAAAAACATGGCATTAACACTGATCACTGCATTAATTCATAACATATGTACTCTATTATGTTGGTGGTCTCAATCAAATCAACTTAATAAGAACTCAAGATTTCAATGGTAGATAAAGTCTACCTTTATTCTTTGATTTGACGTTATTTTGTAAATTAATACAAATATGGAATCATTGATCCCTTATAAACAAGGGATATGATAAAGGTGCAGAAAATGTTCCTAGTAACTAGTAAACACTAGAAGACCACTTCTCCGTTATTGGCTATTACTTAATATTGTATAAAAACTGAAGATAAGAAAGTGTCAAAGACTACTCAACGTATCATCTTCGGTATGGTTCCGTGTTCGCACCACAATGTTATCATTTTCAACATTTGGGATCAGGAATACCACAAGACTTGAGATGAGAGCTAAGGACATTGCTAGCAAGCGTGACACCGCGATCTTTAATTGCATCACACAAACATGATCTTTGCTCATTCATTCTCTCACAACATGAAGTCGGCAGCTTCATTCCACGAGCAATACCGTCGAAGCAAAGACCAAGCGCCATTGATTTTTGCGGCGTTGTAACACACTGTTCTCCATCCCTCTTGGAACTACTGCTGCTGGCAGCGTTAGCTTTTGTCTGAGGAGGAAATGATACCAAGAGTATGACGAATGCGATAAGCAACAATGCTACGATCTTCATTTATAGTTGTTTGATTAGATACTATGCAATCTTTAAGGTTGACACTTTCTTTCTGTCAAGGAATCCTCTATAGCAAATTGTAAGGATTCCTATTGTTTTCTAAGAGGATTTCTTTAGGTATTTAGAGGATAATTAAGGATTCCTATTGTATGGTGAATTGCGTAACAAAAGTAATTAGTGTTTATGTAAATATAGCCTTCAAGTAAGTCTAAATCACTTTTCCATAAATTTTTATATATTTATAGAAATACTAGATTTAGATTCTCGTAATACGCGGAATTTTTTTAAAATTTAAAGATAGCTCTAACTATTAGAAAATTTAGTTGGTTAATCCGCAGTCGTTTACAAATTTTACGTTTGTTTAACGATTACAAATTAAATTACGAATCAATAATCAACATCTTCAAAATCATTAAATAAAAAAAAAACGACTGATTTCTCAAACACGGATTTGAAAATTTGGTAACAAATGTTCCCATTTAATCCTCTTTCATCATCTTCATACTTATCATGTAAAAGCTCAAAGTTTCCAGCTTTACATAAATATTTTTTATTATAATTTTTTGTAATTGCATAGAAACAAAGATAGGAAACAAAGGGATAAAGAGGAGAAGGAATATTTTTGTTTGACATTAAAGAGATTTCAAACAAAGATGATAAAACATAGGAATCTAACTTATTTCATGGAAGATCCTATGTGAAGAAGTCCTCTCTCTTTCTCTCTCTCTATTAAAACCGAGTCTTTGAGGGATCAACTTTATCCCATTGCATATTTCTGAGTCCAGCTTCTCGCAGTAGACTCATACTTAGCTCTATCGGTTTTGTACATGTGAGCAATCTCTGGAACCAATGGATCATCTGGGTTTGGATCCGTTAACAATGAACATATCGAAAGTAACACCTGTAAATTCACAAAAGATTGGATTAAAATCAGAGTAGACTCATTATATATCGCCATTGCTACTGGTAAAAGAGTGTTTTTTCACCTTAGATATGGTGAGTGCAGGACTCCATTGTTCTTTCAAAATGTCGAGGCAAATGCTTCCATTGCTGTTGACATTAGGGTGAAACACTTTTGTCCTAAATGCAACCTAGAAGAAAAAAGGGTATTTGAATTTCAATAGAACTGATTTCATGATATTCAGTTTGGTAAAATGAATTTTACCTTTGGTGGTTTGAATGGATAATCCGGAGGGAAGTGAATGGTTACGAGAAAGACTCCGCCTGAATAAGGACTATCGGATGGACCCATTATTGTAGCTTGCCAATGAAACATGTCTTCAGCAACTGGGCCTTCAAGATTTCACAATTGATCATAGAAGAAAAAATAGAAAGTTTAGTCTTTTATTCACACATATTCTATGGCATTAACTGAAATACACAAAACAAAACATAAAGAATGTGCCATAGCAATGTCCTGAGAGTTCTCTAGCAGAAGAATGCATGAGCACTTTGAGAATCTCCTACAACAATCCTCTGACTCTATTGAGACCAACAATATCGACTCATTATACACTTTGACATTTTAATAACCAAAAGAAAAAGGTATAACACCCGAATGCAATAGATAAGTAACAAAGACTAAACAGCTCTCTACTCAAAAAAACTTGGGAACAAGAAGGAGCAATCATTTTTCCACAACTTCCAATTTCTATTTTCTAGACTATGATCACAAGATAACTGCAACGACCAATCTCAACTTCGTTCTAATAAAAATCTCAACTTTTAACTGTTATCTTATTAATTCTGATCACTAGTATCCAGGATGGGTATATAAATCCCAATTTTGAATAGCTATCTTCTTGACTATGATCATTGGAAAGCTGCAATTTCCAATCTAGGATCAGTACACCAATAAGTTTGTTCTGTTCTAAGAAAAATCTCAACTTTCAATTGGTATCATCTCAACTATGATTATTACGTAGCTGTAATTACCACTTCAAGATCTCTAGATAACTACGTTATATGATTAAGAAGACTAAAAAAGATTTAATTTTTTTGTTTGCTTAAAAATGAGATTATAAGATGTAACAAACAAAGCTCAAAAATAGATCAGACACGTAAGAAGAGCTAGAGTCTAACCAGCACTGCAGGAAGTTGGAGGATCCTTCTGAAGATCCTTGAGCTCTTTCAAGATCCGTTTCGAAGCCATTTCTCAACAAAAACTCCTAGATCCAAAAAAAAACAAACCCTAGATCGATTCAACAACGACAAAGAGAATCCAACAAGCAAAATTCCAGACAAAAGGAGAAAGCTTTTTACCTTAAAGACAGATCCTCCAAACTCGGTTTGACGATTCACTTCCTGCAGATTTTTGAGACAGAGACAGAGAGAGAGCTTTTGTGACCTAAAGAAAAAATATTGCGATTTATTTATGCTTCAAAAATAAATAATGACAGCTATTTTCCAGCGAGCGAGAGAATAATAATTATTGGATTAGATATTTTTTTTATTTTTTAATGAAAATAAAGGACCCTCTGATTCAGACAGAGTTTCTCATACAGACTTTAAAAAGGGGCTTAAACCCTTACTTAGGGTTTTGTCTTCGAGCAAAATCGACTCTGACACAGAGATACGCAGAAAGAGAGAGAGAGAGAGAGAGAGAGAGAGAGAGAGAGAGAGAGCTCTGAGATTAGAATCAATGGCGGCTAAAGCTTCGTTGAAGATCAAAGGCAAAGGAAAAGGATCATCAAAGGGATCATCATCATCATCATCATCATCATCATCTTCCTCCTCTGCATCATCAAAGTACAAGGTCTTCAAAGCTTGGACCAACTGGTCATTGGAGAAAGCCAAAGTCGCGACTCACTATGGCTTCATCCCTCTGATCATCATCATCGGCATGAATTCAGATCCTAAACCTGATCTTTTTCAACTCCTCAGTCCCGTTTAATCCTCCAATTCGGATTTTCGTCGAATGTTTTTTTAGATGCTTTTACTTTCTTTCCCCCAAATTTGTTCTGTCTTTTTCGATTTATGAAATGGATTTCTATTTGTTTCTGATTCTGTAATTCAAAGTCTCATTCTTTTTTGCATATCTGCTTTCAAACAATCAATAAAACAAATGATCTATGAAGGAAAAAGAATTGCTTTAATGGCTACTACTACTTTTGTGTTCTCTCACTCTGCATCAATTGATCGAATATCTTCAATCAATTTCAAAACTTGAGCTATATGAGGTCGTTCTTGTTCCTTCAGAGCAACACAAGCCAATCCTATTTGTAACATCTCAACCATTTCCTCCTCGAAACCACCTGATTGACTCAATATCTCCGTATCAAATACTTCTCCAGTCCACTCTCTAGCCACCACTGATCTTATCCAGCTTGCTAAATCCATGTTTTCGCCTTCTGTTGTTACTGAATCCGCTGGACTCGCCGGAGATTTCCCTGTCAAGAGCTCGAGTAATACCACACCGAAGCTGTACACATCCGAAAACTGCGTGCTTCTTCTTGTGTCTGTTATTTCAGGTGCGTGGTAACCCGAAGTAAGGCAGGTGGTTTGAGGAAGAGATCTCATGATTGTCGTCAAGCCAATATCGCCGATGCAGCCATAACATTGTGAGTCTAAGAAGATGTTTGAGGATTTGATGTTTCCATGGATGAATTTCCCGTTGTTCCCTTCATGGATTTTAGCTAGTCCTCTCGCTGCCCCGGTTGCTATCCTCAATCTAGCATCCCAATCTAACAGTACTCGATGATACTCTCCTCTGTTTCCTGCAAAGAAAATCATGTTGCTTTAGATTTATCAACAGAATGAGAGCAATTAAAGTAACTAGTAACTAACCGTGCAGCATCTCGAAGAGGCTTCCATGACTGTAATAGCTATAAACCGCGAGCTTATCGTCTTTGGAGTAGTAGTAAGCCTTTAGCTCAGCTACATTTTCATGTCTGATCATACCAATGACCTCCATTTGTTGCTCAAACTCTCGTCTTCCCACGACAACTTCCTTCAATCGCTTCACTACAACCGTGCTCATGTCCTCCATTGATACCTTATAGGTTGTACCAAAAGCACCCTTCCCCAAAACTTCTGCAGATGAGCTTAGCAAATCATCTAGATCAAATAAGTGGTTTCTTCCACCGAAGAAGATGATCTTCCCGCCTTCTTCGGTGTTACCATCTCTAGATGTCCAGTTTCCTGGAGGAGAAGACGAGTCTCTCTTCCGCAACTTCCCCGAGATTCTAGTCTTCCCGAAACAAGTGATCATTATAAAGGAAAATCCTGAAACACACAAAATGCAAGCTGCAGCCAGAATCAGCAAGAAAGCAAGCTGGCTTAACCCGAAAGGAGTCTTGTTTTGTTTCTTCCTCTCGTTAAGCTTGTTGCCAGAAAAGGCTGAACTTTGGAATCTTTGAAGAGATTTCGGTATTGTACCGATGAGCTTGTTGTTGGAGAAGTTGATTTGACTCAGTTTTGGAAGATCAAGATCAGGAATCTCCCCTGAGAATGAATTGTTTGCAAGATTCAAGACTCGAAGGCTGGTCAAACCTGAAAGAGACTTTGGGATGCTTCCGTTGAATCCATTGTTAGACAGATCAAGAACCTTAAGATTCTTCAACTCTGAGAGAATCACCGGTAAAGGACCCGAGAGGCGGTTATGTTGTAGATAGAGATGAGTCAAGTTCTTGAGATTTCTGAAATCAGAAGGGAAGTCTCCGGTGAATTGGTTCTTTCTAAGGCTTAGAAACTTGAGAGAAGAGAGACGACTGATGGTGAAAGGAGGAATCAAACCGTTGAATCCAACCGCGGGTAATCTAACGGCTACAATTCGATCTCGGTTTTCGTTGCAGGTAACTCCGGTCCAGCGATGACAAACCGGAGAGCTCTGGTTCCAATGGAGACGAGACGAGTTAAAATTAGACAAGAAATCAAGCAAAGCTTTCTTGTCGTCGTCAAGAGTCTGAGAGGAAATGAGAACAAAACAGAGAATCAAAGAGAAGAAGAAGATTTCCATTGTGAAGAAACTAGTTTCTGTTTCTAACTGTAAACAGAGAAATTTTCTTTAGCAGAAGAATTTGTTTGTCTGATTAAAATAAAATTAAAGAGAGATTAGAAAGATACGCCGGCAGGTTTAGCCGGCAAAAAAAAGTCTTTTCTATTATAAGCAAAACAAAAACCTTGGAGCCATTAAAAACATTGAGACCGTTTCTCTGCGCTTAAATTTTCTTGGGAAAATTTCTGAGTTTTGATTGTTTGGTATTTAATTCTTGCTTCAAGAATTTCATACCAACGGCTAATTTCTGTTTACACTAAGCCTAAAGCCTGTAACGTAAGCGCGGTAAAATTCAGAGGCTTGGCACACAATTATCATCAAAGAAAAAAAAGCCTGAAATGTTCTACATTTTTGTGGTACTTTAAGATAATGTCTTCTTCATTAGTAGTATATGACTACATGTTATGCATACGTTTGTTCATGGATTATATAATAGAAACATGATTGTCTTAATTTTAGAAATTCATTATCTATTTTATATCATTGTCTCTAATCAGATTGATATAATTGGTTAGGACTGTTTTATCTTTTATTTTTGGCTAACAAGTGGATAGGAACTTAAGAGTTCTCCAAAGTCTAACTGGTTCCATAAACAAAACTGAAAGAAGATATGAATACAAAATTACAAACTACTAGATTACATGCCCAAATTGAATAAACTGTTCATGTAACATAAAAAAATTATACAATATAAATAATTTCAAAAACATGTAATGATAAATATAACTTCTTCTTTTTTTTGGTAGAAAATCAAGAAATAATAATAGTCCCAATCTAATAGGAAAAAAACAAACAAATATGATTTGGCTGGGTCTACTATAATAATAACTGCTGCTTAGGGTGACCAAAACAAGACGAAACGGCTTCTTCATCAATCCATCATCCATCTCTTCTCTGCAACAACAACATCTCAGACTTGTTGGTTTTTGTTTCTCGAAGATGAACGACGCCGATGCTTCCGTCCAGATCCAGCAGATGGTCAGGTTTATCCGCCAGGAAGCCGAAGAAAAGGCTAACGAGATCTCCATCTCCTCCGAGGAAGTAAGTCCGTACATTACATACACTCTCTCTTCATCTCCGTCTTTACTTTTCTGTTCTCGTTGCAATTTCGACTACGTGACTATGTTGACGATTGTTAACTGTTTTTACTTTGATCTTCGGATCTTGACATCTTGTTTCAATTTCTCTGATCTTGAAATCTAAATCGTGGTGTGTTCTTTTGATGTTACAGGAATTCAACATTGAGAAATTGCAGATTGTTGAAGCAGAGAAGAAGAAGATTAGACAAGAGTATGAGAAGAAGGAGAAACAGGTCGATGTCAGAAAGAAGATGTGAGCTCTTTTCACTTCTCTCTCTCTCTCTCTCTTATCTGTTGATGCTGGTTTTGAGTGACTGATCTTCTTCTTTAGATCTTGTTTCTTTAAGCGAGATTGATATAATGGTTTTGGTATTGGTTTATGACACTTGTTAATTCTGAGTTTGCTAATTTGTTTCTTATGACCTGTAAAAGTGATTACTCGATGCAACTGAACGCGTCGCGGATCAAGGTTCTACAAGCCCAAGATGACATTGTCAATGCAATGAAAGAAGAGGCAGCTAAGGAACTCTTGAAAGTTAGCCAACATGGCTTTTTCAATCATCATCACCATCAGTATAAACATCTCTTGAAAGATCTCATTGTTCAGGTTCTGTTTAAGTACAAACAAGCTCACTCGTTGTTAATTTCTCTGAAAATGTGTTCTCTAAATTGTTTTTTTTGGTATGTGTTGTAGTGTTTGCTTAGATTGAAAGAGCCTGCAGTGTTACTTCGTTGTCGTAAAGAAGATCTTCACATGGTTGAGTCTATGCTGGATGATGCTAGTGAAGAATATTGCAAGAAAGCAAAGGTTCATGCTCCTGAAATCATTGTCGACAAGGACATTTTCCTTCCTCCTGCTCCTTCAGAAGATGATCCTCATGCTCTTTCCTGGTAAATTTCGTCAAACCAAAACACTAAAAACTATAACAAAACCAAAACTCTAATACCAAATGACACTTGTGGATATATATAACAGTGCAGGAGGAGTGGTGTTGGCTTCTCGTGATGGGAAAATCGTGTGTGAAAACACGCTTGATGCGAGGTTGGAAGTTGCGTTCCGCAATAAACTTCCCGAGGTTAAATAAAATTCCCCATTTTCTCTCTTAAATTCGCAGTACCATATTCCTAAGATAATATCTTCTTATTGATTTCAAAACTCTTGAAATCTCATTCGTCTTGTCCTAAGCATTTTAGCTTTTGTTCTAAATGATCTTTTCTTATATGTTTGTAGATACGAAAGTCGCTCTTTGGCAAAGTTGATGCAGCTTGATCAATGACTCCAACTTCATAACCAAGGAAAGTTTGTGGCTCCATTTATCCATTTCTTTCCATTGTCACCATTTTTTAAATTATGTGTAATGTATTGATGGGCATTGGCCTTTTGTTATTAATTGATATTAATATTTGTTTGGTTTGGTGATGTATTGATAATAATAAGAGTAAGTTGCTCATCATTTTGTCAACTTTTTATCCTAATTTTGTCTCACTTTTTGTTACCTAAGATTTAGAACTTGTCCTTCCTGACACATGGTTGATTACAAGAAAGAAGAGGTCGCAGGAGGGTCAAAGTCTCCTTCTTCTTCGTTAAATTCACATACTTTTTTAAAAGAAACATAACCATATTTATTTTTAGCTTTATTCCTAGTTATATATATGGGGTCACCTTCTTGGTTAAATTCACATTCTGTTATAGTGTTGTTGTGTAAGGGAAAACAAAAAATCTTCAAAAAAAGAAAATGACATCTAACAAAATCTCCTTCTTCTTGGTTCTTTGCTTATGTGTTCTCTTAACTGCAGGTGATCAATTTCTGTTACCTATATATTTCACTCTAAATAAGTACTTTACAATATAAGTATAACTAGCTATTCCTCAGGTCTATTTATTTTTACTTGGAATTATTCATAACATACATTACACATCCAAAAGAGTAATGTGATCGCCTAGTCCATAGAAACTATTGTTTCTAATTTTCTTGGTTTAGTAAATAAAACCCTTAGTCTCTCTTTCTTCTTCTAAATGATAGAGTTTGGAGAAGCAAAAAGTATGAATCCAACGGGAAGACGATGCCCAGATCCTAACGGTGTGGACAAAAAAAGTGTGTGTTATAGTTACTGTAAGACACAAGGTTTTATGGGTGGTTCTTGTCAAGGCCACACGGGTAATTATATGTGCAAGTGTTATGAAGGATAAATACATTTCTTCTACTCATCTTTCAACATATACTAGGTGAATACCCGCACTACGTGCGGATTTATGTGTTACGATTTTTAAATTATTTTCATGTCATATCATTTTATATTATGTTTTATGCATGACAATAAAAAAAAAGTTTGTTTTCTATTAAATATAGCTAATGCATTTTTTGTAAAATGCAAATACAATTTATTAATGTTTTAAAGAAATTAAGCTACATTGATCAATTTAACAAACAAATTTTACTTTATCCAAAGCTCTTCACTAAAGATTACCAAAACCACCAGTTGAAAATTGATAAGAAATAAGTTGTATTAATATGACTACAGATTTCTAGATAGGTGGAGAGATTAATAAGATTTCAAAGAGCAAATTCTTCAAACACTTTTCAGAGCTTGCGTTTGAGAGTTTTGACCTCCTTCGTCATGTGAGTAATCCCTTCTTTCGGTGTTGTTTTCCTCCCTTTTCCAAAATTCCACACTACTGGAACCATGTATCGGCCACTTGGGTTGAAGTCATTCAGCTCCTCGAGGGCTGTCCTAATTGCGTTCTGCACTTCTTCTCCCCATTCTTCTCTCAAATTCTTAAGTTTCTCATCTTCTTCATCCACCACTTCCTACACCATAATCATTTAACATTCACCAGAATGAAAACATGTAATACGGGACAGTGAGAGAGAGTAAGAAAGAAACTGAATTAAATGGAACATTGGAGATTAAAAAAACCTCCATTTTTTCCTCTAGTCACCACACATTTGAATGGGTGCCATGCCATGCTGGTTTCTGCCATTTTGAGCAAAGCGTGGCCTATTCCAACCGCACATTTTCAACTAAATCTCTGTTTCACCAACTTCTCCCATCCTCTTTACTTTGATCGTGAATCCATCAGTCGATATATCTCTCAGTCCCTACAAAAAAAAAAAAGAGACTTATATGTGAAACCCACAAAACATATATGAAGCACACTCAAGAACATGAAACATAAATATAGCCTAACCAATTCTTTGTGTGATTCTTAATTCATCCGTTGAAGTCGTCCATTGCTACAAGGAATAGATCATATAAGTCCTTAAATGTAAAAGTACAGTTAGTTTTCGTTAATACACAGAAAAACAAAACTCCCATTGCAAGGAACACTTTAATAATTTTGAATGTAAGATTCCCCTAATCCTAAGCTCTATAATTCCACTTTATTTTGCATTTTCATTTAGATTTTTAACAGAAAAGTGTTCTCACCTAAAAAAAAGAAGGAGACAAAATGCAAATGAAATTGGAGTACCCGCTCCGAAATCCATGACCATGGTATTATCGGGCTGTCGTTTCATTTGAACAATGATGCTATCAGTTTATAGCAAATAGACAAATAGAACCAAACCTTCATAAGCCTTGTTGATTTCTTGAAACATAGATGTAAAAGAATCCCAATTAAAAGAATCCCCTTCTTTAGATTTTTCTCGATGCCACTTCTGCAAAAACAAAACAACCAAAAGAATAAGAACTCCATCTCTGAAGAACCCCAATTAAACCACAATCTTTTAAATGTGACGACATTATTGGCAAAAAAGTGGAAAAGGAGAAGAACCATGGCAACGCGTAGATATTGGAACGAATATCATCATCAATGGCATAAAGTTTCATGGAGACTGAGGCAACACACAATTCACCTTAACCCACTTTTACAATCAAAAACTGAAACAGATTAAAAAAACCCATTGTAGAATCTTGTTGTTTTTAGTATAAAGTTTATACCTTATTATCTAGTGATAGAAGAAACCATAGCTCTCTCCCTCTTAATAGCTCTTTCTTGCTCCATCTAATCCTTTAAACTTGAGAGACTACCACATAAACCTTTCTGCGGAACACATCAACAAGATTAACATTATTAGAGTAATGTCCAATAGGCTTACTTGAAACTCATGTATTTTACTCCATTTTTTCTCGAATTATATTTACCTCGGTTTGCTTTGCATGATCTTTAGTTCAGTAGAGTCTAATGGCACTCTGCGATGAGCTCTTACACGAGACTCAGACACGAACAAGAGCTTGCATTCACCGTGTCACGGTTGCTTATTTCCTAACTTGTCTGGCCCAATTAATTGACTTATCACAACAACTTTCAATACTTTAAACACCAATCCTGCCAAGGAAAAAAAAAAAAAACACAGAACTTTAGATGCTAGAATCAAAGACAAAACAATGAACCATTACAAGCAAACATGGATTAAAATACTTTGTTTGAGGAAAACTTAAAAATCAACAAAGAGTTTATATTCGGGATCATTAACGTTTCTTACTTTTTTAAAAGAAAAGAGAAACAACCATTGTCGCTTAAGAGTAAAGAGAGAAACAATGATCCATTACAAGCAGCGTGGATTCTTGTTGAAGCCTATTGTCGCTTAACCACCAAAAAATCCATCGGTGAGAGCTGCCATGGCTCAACTAAGTATCTAACAATTGTGGTTCTGACAAAACGCATGAGATTCTTATGAATGGTGGATTAATGGAGTTAAGAGGGAAAATATAATGATGCATAAGAACGAAGGTGAATTGGAACAAAGATATGTGGTTCTCTCAACGATGTTTCGTACCTGGTTATTTTTCCTAAATCCATGCACCACAAAAGATAGAATGGTGAGAAAACTGGGTCTTCCAAATTCAGCTCAGTATTAGCTCTGCAACCATGGACTCGAGTTGAGAGAGCATATTTTTTAGAGTCCTTCCTCATGGAGAATTTGGTCAGAATTAGGACGAAGGCTTCATCTTTAGGTTAACAGAGACTTGACAAATACTCTCAACCATCTTAGGTCTTCAAACTTTGGCAAAGAGAGGAAGAAATCAATACTCCTGGCATGGCAAAGCGCGATCTACACAATCTGGGCGGAGAGGAACAACAGGATCCACCGGCATCAAAACCGATGGAAGAGCTTCTCAAACAGATTGATTCAACAACCTAGACCAGAGCCTCGAGTTTTACATCAGAGAGGCCAGAGCTTGGGAGAGGGAGTCATGGTTGTAAAGAGTTATGCTTGTAGAGGAAATTGTTAAGACGCTCGCTGAACTTAAAAACCCTAAGAAGGAAGTGGAAGACGAAAAAGCCACGAAACGGACGAAGCTACAAAACTCCAATCGTCAATTTTTTGTGAGCCACGTGGCACCATGTCGTGTGCTGACGTGTCACAATACTGGAGAGGGTTCTTCTACAAATCATATATGCTGTAATTTTGTCAAAAGCACAATTTTGTTTCCACCATATATGATTTGTTCTTTTGAATACTTTAATGAATCGATGTCAAACAAACCCAATCAATAATAGCATTGAGATCTTTTGTATCAATTAGTAATATCATTTATTTTGTTGGCACAAGTTTTTGATGTAACACACCTTTTTTGTAATGTATGACCAGTAGTGGTCATGATCATTTCATCTCCAATCTATGCATGCGTCTGATTTCCAACAAGTCCTTAGATAATTTAATCTGTAAATGCATGGTTCAACATTTCGGCATTACAATCATATAAAATATATAACACAAATCAACAAATATAGGTATTGACCGAGTTAAATCACAACATCTAAACAGGATAACGAGGAAACAAAATTGTGCTTTGACAAGAAATTGGATTTACTCGGTTGAGAAGTTTAGTCCTTTTGTCAAGAAAACTCTGTCTTGTTTAATTGATACACTTAGAATCCTATCATAATAAAGATACTTGGTAATCCTACCTGGTGAGATCGTAGATATATGGAAACATGTCCGACCATTCAACATCGTCAAAAGGCTAATGTATCAAGTTGATGTAAAATAATTGAAAAACATGAAGAGACTAAAAGAAGAGGTAGAGTAAGTTCGACATGGACACTACCATATTGATAGTATTAAAATAGTATATTGTTATAACAAAAAATGTATTAAGTATGAAACACGATTTTTTTTTTTTGGTAAGTAAATATGAAACGCGATTAGAGAGATTAATAGTTCCAACACCCCACTAGTTGGATAAAAAAAATCAAAATGTTATTGTATGAATTTGCATAAGTCCATTTGCATATTTATAAATTCAAACAAATCCTTAAGCTATGATTAAAAAGTGGTATTATTCTCGCTAAGCCTAAGAAAAGGGATCAAAGTTTTATGGCGTTCAATTTTGATTTGAAATAAAATTGTTGGTTCATTATCGTCCATATTTATATTTGATGGATTTTTATGTTAAAAATAGTAAGATTTGTAGACATTTCTAATAAATAAAAAATAGAATCATATTTGAAAGCAAAACGGCATCGGTTTAAAACATAGAGGGAGTTCATTGTCTGCCAATCGAGACGAAACGACGGCGTTTTAGAAAACATAGAGATCATCGTTTCCGTTTGTCCCTTGGCTCCATCGACGAGTCCGTCATTTTCACAGTATAAATATCTCCGCCCACTCTCTCTCATCAGTCCCACTACCTCATTTTCTCTCTCTACCAAAAATCCTAAGCTCTCTCTATCTCCAATGGAGTCCGCCGCACTATCCCGAATTGGTCTCGCCGGACTCGCCGTAATGGGCCAGAACCTCGCCTTAAACATCGCCGAGAAAGGTTTCCCAATCTCAGTCTACAATCGTACCACTTCCAAAGTCGACGAAACCCTAGATCGAGCCGCCGTCGAAGGAAACCTCCCAGTCTCCGGCCAATACTCGCCTCGCGATTTCGTCCTCTCGATCCAACGGCCTAGATCTCTCATCATCCTCGTCAAAGCTGGAGCTCCCGTTGACCAAACAATCGACGCGTTCTCCGAGTACATGGAGCCCGGAGATTGCATCATCGACGGTGGAAACGAATGGTATCAGAACACAGAGCGACGGATCTCCGAAGCAGAGCAAAAAGGATTGCTCTATTTAGGTATGGGAGTCTCCGGCGGCGAAGAAGGTGCTCGTAACGGTCCTTCGTTAATGCCTGGTGGATCATTTCAAGCTTATGATAACATCAAAGACATCTTGGGGAAAGTCGCAGCTCAAGTTGAAGATGGACCTTGTGTTACTTACATCGGAGAAGGTGGATCTGGAAATTTCGTGAAGATGGTTCATAACGGGATTGAGTATGGAGATATGCAATTGATCTCTGAAGCGTATGATGTGTTGAAGAACGTTGGTGGTTTCAGCAATGAAGAGCTTGCGGAGATTTTCACGGAGTGGAATCGAGGTGAGCTTGAGAGTTTCTTGGTTGAGATTACTTCTGATATATTTAGGGTTAAGGATGAGTTTGGTGATGGAGAGTTAGTTGATAAGATTTTGGATAAGACTGGTATGAAAGGTACCGGGAAATGGACGGTGCAGCAAGCGGCGGAGCTGTCTGTGGCGGCTCCGACGATTGCTGCTTCGTTGGATTGTAGGTATTTGAGTGGGTTGAAAGATGAGAGGGAGAATGCTGCGAAAGTGTTGAGGGAAGCTGGTTTGAAGGAAGAGATTGGTTCTGCGTCTAGCGGAATCGATAAGAAGAGATTGGTTGATGATGTTAGGCAAGCTTTGTATGCTTCGAAGATTTGTAGTTATGCTCAAGGGATGAATTTGCTTAGAGCTAAGAGTTTAGAGAAAGGTTGGAACTTGAATTTCGGTGAATTGGCTAGGATTTGGAAAGGTGGGTGTATTATAAGAGCGGTTTTCTTGGATAGGATCAAGAAAGCTTACCAGAGGAACCCGGATTTGGCCAGTCTTGTGGTTGATCCTGAGTTTGCTAAAGAGATGGTTCAGAGACAAGCTGCGTGGAGAAGAGTGGTGGGCTTGGCTGTTTCCGCAGGGATTAGCACACCTGGAATGTGCGCAAGTCTTGCGTATTTCGATACTTATAGACGTGCTAGATTGCCCGCAAATCTGGTTCAGGCGCAGAGAGATCTCTTTGGAGCTCATACTTACGAGAGGACCGATCGTCCCGGTGCGTACCACACCGAATGGACTAAGCTTGCTAGGAAGAACAATTGAACACTCCATTAACGTTTTTTTATGTTTTTTCCTAGAACCCTTTTGTCTTTGCTTTTTATAAGCATGGGAACTGGGATTCAAAGTTTCAAACCACAGATTGTTTCACGAGTCTTTTGTTCAGATTTCAGAATAAGAAATGCAGCAGCACCTTGATTTTTGTTTTAGTTTCTGACCATGGCGTCTTTTGCTGTTGTTAAGATGATCTTATTATTAAACGGGTCGAAACATCAAAAACAAATACACTATGATATAATCCGAACAGCAAAAAAACATGAACTGACAAACTATGAAGGTTCATAGAGTCCGAGCACATGACCATCAAGACATCTCACAGATGCAACCTGTTTATCAAAACAATACCAAAACGAAAGATTTCAAAATCCATTACACGAAAGATAAACAATGAGATTAGAGCTGTTTTTTTTGCAGGAAATGGTTGCATTTACCTTGCCATGGACCTCGTATTTGATAGAGCCATCAAGTTCTGCTCCTAATTCCATAAGTTTAGAGATTGTTGTATTAATGTCCGTCACAGTGAACGATAGTAGTGAAGAGTATCCCTTCTCACTCGGCATATGCTCGCTGCATGAAAATAATGATATTCATCTTTGCAATGATCTAACACAAATTCCTCAATAATATCAACCAAATGAAAAAACTACTCTCAAAGTTTCGTTGAGGCAAATGATCGAACAGGTTATAGGCATTAAGGCAATACCTAGGACATTGCATAAGAGCTAGCTTGAGAGGACCAGAGTGAAGCTCAGCCCAACGTAAGGTGACCACATTGACGGAGAAATCGAGACCTTTCTCGTAGAATCGAGCCGCTTTTGGTACGTCCCTGTGTAGCTGCAAGATCCACCTAAACGACGCCGTCGCCATCTCTCTCTGTGTTGTGTGAGAGACGAAGACTATGATAATAGGCCCACTGAAACATTCAGACGACGCCGTTTCAGCTCTTTATTTATATGAGCTATGTTCATAAGACCACAACACTTGATTCACAACTCTTTTCTTTTGTCCGAAACAAAAATCAAGAATACAAAATTCAGAGATGATCAAATCGATATACATTATACATAGTTATAAACATATAGCTCTACAGATGCGTAGGATTCACAGATATGAACATATCCACACATGGAACTTCTCAAGTTCTGTCTATTTCCGCCAACAATCTCAGCTTGTTCCATCTTCGAGTCTGACCATTGCACCATCAATGGCTCTTCCGTATACAGATTACATCAGAAACTCACCCCTTGAATACCCGAGCTCGTGGCCTCGAACTCTTTGTTCTCGCTTCGCTTAGTTTACCCTTCAAAGTGTTGTCCTTTACTCCTTGTGGCGCACTAAGATCAGGTGTTACGGTTCTCGTATTCCATTGACGAATCGGGCTCTCTCGTCTTCTTGATGGGTAACTGCAAGAAGCTTCATCGATCTCCCGAGTTTCCGACAATAACCTCCGATGAGTTCTAATCATTTCTCCAACCACATTGTTAGTTTCTTTACCACATTTATCCGTTTCAATGACTCTAGCTTTCTTTTTCTCATTAGAAGACATCGCCCACGCCATTTGATCCTCGAACTTCACTTGTAAACTCGACGGGCTTTGATTCCGTCTCCTCTGTTTTTCACCAGACACAACATCTGCTTTTGATAATTCCGGTTTCTCAGTTTCATCGCCGAGTCGTGGCTTTGCAACATCACTCCCATGTTTCTTGAGCTCAAAACAATTTGAATCGCTTCCGCCAGAATCTTCTTCCTCCTCACAGTCGACTTCCCAAATCGGGGCGCTCATGGCGTTAAATGGAACCGACTCAAGTGAAGTCCGGCGATTTCTCACTATTTCATTAGAGTTTGCGTTCTGCTTAGTCTTAAGAAATGTTTCTATCTCAAACTCGAGCTTCTCCAAAGCCGATCCGTTGCCACTCTGAATCCTTTCATCAAGCCATGATTCCGCAATACAAAGAACCATCTGATCTTGTTCATCCCAACCTTTCCAGTTCTTATCCAACTTCTGCTTTAAACCATGAATCTCCCTTTCGTAACTCTTGATCCCTTTTGCAAACTCATCACATAATCTCTCCAGAATCTTCTTTGACTTAGTCCCTCTCTCCATCTCCTTAACGCAGTTACACAAAGTTGACTTCACTTCCGAGAGCTCTTGTGCCAATTTCCTATACAAACTCTCAGAACGTTTCCTCAGTTTCCGCTCATCTTCTAGCGATTGAACCGCAGAGCTTAACCGATCGTGTTCCTTCGTATCTTTTGACAGCTTTTCTCCTGCGAGTTGCTTCACTAAATCATCCATATCGCGTCTATCGGCTTGCCGGCATCTGAGAAGCTCTTTGATCCGGGCACGTGAATGAGCAAGCTCGGTTTTTAAAGATTTTATTAAGGAGATATTAGCGGAATGCTGCTCTTCGAGGCTCCAGATTCGGTTCAGCACTTTAAGAAGTTCGGTTGATGTCTTGAGATTGTAGTTAGGCTCACCAGCTCGTCGTCTTCCCGGAGAAACTGCTGCATTATATGGAGCCACCTGAAGAATGATCCATCTCAATACCAATCCCAAACTAAATAAAATAAAAGTCATTTCTTTGCGACAAGCTGTTAAATGGGTTGTTTCGAAAGAAAAAGAAGAATTTGGACTGAATGTGAATACCTCGAGGGAGCTATCGTAGCTTGTAGGAGATACCGGCTGCAAAGGATGGTCGTTTCTTTCGGTTAAATGATGATGCTTCATCAGCATTTGACCAATCTGTCTCCTTATACTTCCCGCACTCTCTGGCTGGGACACAAGAACCATAGCAGAATTTTTAAAAACAGAAGAAGCAGGAGATTCAAAACCGGAAACAGAATTTTCTGCAAAATGCCGGAACAAAAGATCACATTTTCAAATAGAATCCTCCATCACCAAACCTAATCTCAGCGTACAAGAGAAATCCTCTGCAGGACTAGGCAACCAAAATTTAGTAATCAAGAAGCAAAAAGAAATGAGCTCAGCATCAATGGCAATAGTATTATTGCCTTCAGCTTACGAGGTTCGTGTCCAGTGAATTGGATTAAGGGTTTTGGTTTGGGTGATTTAAACGCACAAAATCTAACTCTCCTCAACTTGCAAAACTCTAAACCAAGAAGAGAGTAACAACTACTAGGCAAACCCCACAACACTTATCATTATAATTTTGCCAAAACCCAAATCCCTGAACTAGAAACAGAACAAACCACTAATCTAGAGCTAAGAATTCACTAGTTCATCACAACCCATGTCAAAAAAATCAAACTTTGACAATGAAACAAAGGCAAGTTGATACATTGTCACAAGAAAATCAAACTTGCGCAATGCCTAATCTTAAAACCAATCAACTTCATTGGATAATCAACTAAAAAGACCATGTAATCGAGAGAGACCTGGTGATCAGTGAACTCAAGACCATTATTGTCTGCCTTTCCATGGCCGTGACGGAGACGACGGTTGTTACTGGGACCAGCAGAACCTAAGGGAGCTCGGTGCATTTTAGTAGCAGCAGGTGGATGAATCTGATAGTCGTTGTCGTAATACTGATAAAATTCCCAGAGAGAAGCAGCAAGCTTTCTAGAGGAGGAAGAAGAAGAAGGGTTATTATTAGGGTTGAAACCAATGTGCGTAGGAGTGGAAGGTCGGCGAAAGAAACTTCTATGGCCTACAAAAACAGCTCTTCTCCTTAACTTTTCAATAAATCTCTTCCCTTTTTGCCCTTCTTCTTCTTCTCCTCCATCATCTTCCTCTTCTTCTTTACTTTTCATTTCTTTAGAGAGAGGCTAAACTAAACAAAAAGTTTCACTCTTTTTGGTTTTATTAATATTTCAATCTAAGAAGAAGAAACCCTTTTTCTCTGTTCATAATCATGGAGTCGAAAGCTGGTGTCTCTCTCATTTCATTTATTCAGTTTTGATCATTATTCTTCTTCGTTGAATGGCCGCAAATTTTGAGAAATTGTTACAATCATCTGAATTTTGTTGATGCGGCAATAAATTTTTGTGTGTTTTTTTTACAATTTGATTTATTTGAGTGTATTTGTTATTTTATGAAGAATAAAGCGGTGTCACAGTCTGTGGACAGTGGGTAAAAGCATTACACGTAGGTTCGTTATTGGGGATGATGGTATTGGTGTGTGATCGTCCAGACACAAGTGTAACTTTTGTTCTTAGCTTGAGTGTTTTACGTTTTTTTTTTTCGTCTAGATTTATTATTAATTGTAAATTATGAGAACTGTTACATAGACTACACTAAATTTGTTAATAAATCGCAATACCTAGGACTCGAACCTCAGATCTCTTAGTGTAGGAGCATTAATCAACTCTTGGTCAACCAATAGGTCAAGGGGGCTTCCACAGTGCTTTACATTTTCAACAACGTTTTAATCTTTTTGTCCCTACAATCAAATTCTTCCTTTTTTTTTTTTTAACTTCCACACATTTTTTTTTTACATTTTCAGTAATTGTGTATCTAATGTTTTACTACATAGACTATTTGGTTACATTTTCGGCTTATTAACTGAACTGAATGATACCGCGGAGTATCAGTTCGCCCAAATATGTATGTTCAATGTTCCTAGCGAGCTTTCCAAATGATAAAATGTTTTCCTTTCCAAATGATTATAATGTATGTTACAGTTTTAATGCTAAAAAGATTATAAAACTCTGCAAATGGTCAGAGCATGAGGGTTGAGAGAATGAGACTGTGAGAGAAAAGATAATGGTTCATACTTCATAGGATTCTAGCTTATTTTGGGGCCTAAACATAAATGGTGGACTGGATCAGATTTATGATGGGCTTGTGGTCAAATCTTAGTATAATTAAGAATCAGAGGGAGAGCAGATTCGGTCATAAGTGTTTTGGGGCCTATACTAAAAAATTGGCCCATAAAAGTAATTATTGAAAAAAGAAAGTTACATTACCTATCTTTGAATTCGGGGCAATTAGGCTAATTGACAGGAGTTTTACTTTTACCAATACACCAAGTAAAAGAGTTTTTGGTCTGTTGATGAAGTATTGATCTATCATGTTGCAATCTATAGACTTTAAGCTAGATTAGAGTAACTGACAATTAACAACATTGACTTTGTGTAAGAAACGTAGACTAATGAGACGTTTATTTTCATCCACAATCACTTTTTCTTTTTCTTTTTTTCTTTTTTTGTTGTGTTTTAAATTTCTTAGACGTGGGGACCTAATTAAAAAAAAGTATACTCCAGTAATTTAGGCTGAAACTATGGATGGGCATTAATACTTGGTAATGTTTTTTAACAACATTTTTTAAAAGAACATTTATATTTGTATTCACCCTTACCGAAACTGGTGTGGTTTTGATCGAGGTTGAACTTTGATTCTAGTGACAACAATAAACAAAAATGAAATGGCTACTAGATATTTTTTTGATAATACTCTTTTTCTAGGACACCAAAATGTTATTTTAACATGTTTCACACAAACTAAAAAAATTATGTAAATCTCTACTATATCTTTTTTTTTATAATAAATATGTTGAATAAATTTATCTTTTAAATTAATAAGCTAGAATACTAAGAATAAAATAGATTTACTTTTTAAAAATGCATTGAAAATTTTTAAAAGAAATCAAACATTTTTTGTGGAAAAAAAAAGAAAACTTTGAAAACACAATTTTTATGAAACGGATAAACTAGATACCTTTAAAATATTGTGCATTATTAAAATAAAATATTCCGTCTTTTACCAAACGATTAAAATAAATCCCATTCTCATTGACTAAGGAAAAATCAAATGTATATGGTGCGGTTTATATACTTAGACATTAACTAAACCGAAACTATTAACCAGAAATAGAAATATAATCTACTAAACTGGTTTATACTTGTACCATTGTACAATTGACAAATGAACCTAGACATCATTATACAGGACGTAAACATCTTTCTTTTTTGTCTCAGAAAATTGAATCTCTACTTAAGTTGTGGAGAGTTTTGTAAAAGATATTGGTTTTCTCTGTTCGAATAGGAAAACATTTCTGCAAAATATTCTATAAACTGAATTTCTAAGTTCTGCAAATTAATTAAAACACTAAACGCCACAACGTAAAACACCCAAAAAAATAAAATTAAAAATTTGTTGTCAATATATATAATACGTACACATAGAAATGATTTTCGAAAACACAAAATAAATAATATCAGCTTAGAAAAATCGACGTGAAAAATGATTAAAATAAGGTTTGGTTCGGAATGCATGCAATCATCAGTTACAACTAATTGATAAACGAATATTTTGCAACAACAATTGAAGGTTAGTACTTAGTTTAGAGCATCTCCATCCATCGGTCAGAAACTAGTGGTTGACAAATATAAAATAATATTAACTTTTTTATTATTTAATTTTTTATTATTTAATTGTTTATTTAAACCAACCAGAATAAGACAACTGTAAAAATGGGTGTCTCAGAGTTTCTCATTTGAGAAACGTTTCTGTCCTTTTTCCTCTTTTTGAAATTTTTTTATTCTGTTTTATTTGACAGTGTCTCACCTAGACACTCCCAATGGACATGGTTTTAAAGAGTTTGGATTGTAAACCTAATTTTTTTTTTACGAGTTAAAGAAGATATTAACCTTATAACGAGTTAAGGTTTACAAACTAATCTTCTTTTCTTACATTTAGAAGATTAGTTTAGTTTATCTTCTTTTTTACATTTAGAAGATTAGTTTCGTTTGGATTACGGTATGAAAATTTCACGCTTATAAAAAAATGATAGTAAACGATGACGTTTTCTTCTTGACAAAATACGATGAAATCTAGTTTAATTGTCTTTTATCAACGCACACGACATATAGCATAGTCCACAAGCAATCTTTTTTATAATTTGATTGAATCTGCTTGCATATTGATCGAAGTAATGAACCAGTGCCCGGTTTAATCAAACCAAAATTCGAATGGCATAAACCGGTAACATTGTTAGACCATTGTAATAGTTTTTGTCTTGGCCTATTATTCTACTAGATTTCATTAAACAGAAAGTAAATCGATATATCTTATCACCTACATGATATACCCTACGGGACACTATTTTCAAACCAAGTGGTTGGTTAGAGATTATATGTATACATATATCACACATACATTTACATAGACCAAAAGATACTCTAGGTCTAGGGGATCACAATATTGATTATATAAGTCAGACACAAAGATATTTACATTTTTGCAGACAATAATGGGTACTTTGGTCAACGGTACTATTCCGGCGATGAAGTGTCCCAAGAATGTGGCGATGATGAAGGCAACGTCCAACGGAGTGTTCGATGGAGAAAGTCCATTAGATTTCGCTTTTCCTCTTGTCATTCTTCAGATTTGCCTCGTCGTCGCCGTCACTCGCTCTTTGGCCTTCCTTCTCCGTCCCATGAGACAACCACGTGTTGTCGCCGAGATCATTGTAAGTCTTCCATCAACCGGTTTAGGTCAGTCTTATAGTTTCCGGTTCAATCAACATCCTACCAGACTGAAATTTGAGTTGTACCGGGATTCCGTTCGGTTTATGTCCTTTTTTGGTTAGAAAATACAATACTGAAATTTGAGTTGTACCGGGATTCCGTTCGGTTAGTGTGGATCAAGTTTTCAAATTTTAATCAAACATATCTTTAATTTTCAGAAAAATTGTTCAATTTTGCTTTAGTTTGGTTTGAAATCGATTTAGCTATTTGGATATAGAAAAAATTATGAATATCTATATTTAAAATTCAATTTCTATTTTGGACATGATTTTTTTCGTTTCATCAACTGAACAATCCTGTAACCATCTTTACTAATTTGGTTTAGAAATTATAATTCGCATCAAAACTCAATTTGAATGATTTTTGTGGTTTGGTTATTTGAACTGAACACTCCCAGTAGACCGCTTGAGAAACATTTCATTTATCCGGTTTAATTCAAAAACTAAACCAGACCGAAATTGATTTGTACCGGGATTTAGGGTGGCATACTTCTGGGTCCGTCGGCTCTCGGTAGAATCACATCGTACAAGAATTCAATTTTTCCGGCGAGAAGTCTAACGGTGCTCGACACTCTAGCAAACCTCGGCCTCCTTCTCTTCCTCTTCCTCGTCGGACTCGAGATCGATCTGACATCTCTCCGCCGCACCGGCAAAAAAGCTATTTCCATCGCCGCCGCCGGAATGCTCCTCCCCTTCGGTATGGGCATCGTCACCTCCTTCGCTTTCCCTGAAGCTTCATCTTCCGGCGACAATAGCAAAGTAGTTCCGTTCATTATTTTCATGGGAGTCGCGCTCTCGATCACTGCTTTTGGAGTTTTGGCTCGAATCCTCGCTGAATTAAAGCTTCTCACCACCGATCTCGGCCGTATTTCGATGTCCGCCGCCGCAATTAACGACGTCGCCGCTTGGGTTCTCCTAGCTCTCGCTGTATCTCTCTCCGGCGATAGGAATTCTCCGCTTGTTCCTCTCTGGGTTCTGTTAAGTGGAATCGCGTTTGTGATCGCGTGTTTTTTAATCGTACCGCGAATTTTCAAATTAATCGCTCGGCGTTGCCCAGAAGGCGAACCGATAGGCGAAATGTACGTTTGCGTCGCTCTTTGCTCGGTTCTGATCGCGGGTTTCGCGACAGACGCGATTGGAATTCACGCGATTTTCGGTGCGTTTGTGATGGGCGTTCTGTTTCCCAAAGGGCATTTTGCAGACGCGATTGTGGAGAAGATTGAAGATCTCGTAATGGGTCTTCTTCTACCATTGTACTTCGTTATGAGCGGTTTGAAAACGGATATAACTACGATTCAAGGTGTGAAATCGTGGGGGCGACTAGCGTTGGTGATCGTTACGGCTTGTTTTGGCAAAATCGTTGGGACTGTGAGTGCTGCCTTGGTATGCAAGGTAGGGCTTCGTGAATCGGTTGTTCTTGGGGTCTTAATGAACACAAAGGGTTTAGTGGAGCTAATTGTTCTCAACATTGGCAAAGACAGAAAGGTGCTTTCATCTAATCTTAAACTATAATTACAAGTTGAAACGATTTTAATCAAATAGTTAAGGATTTAATTATGATTATGTAACGCAGGTTTTGAGCGACCAGACTTTTGCAATTATGGTTCTCATGGCGATATTCACCACGTTCATCACAACTCCGATAGTGTTGGGGTTATACAAACCAAGCGAGGCAACGCAAATGCATAGTAGCGTCAGCTACAACTACAAGAACCGCAAATATAGACGGAAAATTGAGAATGATGACGAAGGCGAGAAAACGCAGCAGCTGAAGGTTTTGGTATGTCTTCAAAGCAGTAAAGATATTGATCCGATGATGAAGGTAATTGAAGCTACTCGTGGAAGCAACGAAACCAAGGAAAGATTTTGCGTTTACGTTATGCATTTAACTCAACTCTCGGAGAGACCTTCTTCCATTCGAATGGTTCAAAAGGCGAGAAGAAACGGTTTGCCCTTTTGGAACAAGAAAAGAGAGACCTCTAGTGCGGTTACGGTCGCGTTCGAGGCCTCTAGTAAGCTAAGCAGCGTCTCGGTGCGTTCTGTGACCGCGATTTCACCGTTGTCAACAATTCATGAGGATATATGTAGCTCAGCAGATAGTAAACGCGCAACGTTTGTGATTTTGCCGTTTCATAAGCAATGGAGATCTCTGGAAAGAGAATTTGAAACGGTGAGATCAGAGTATCAGGGGATTAACAAAAGAGTTCTTGAGAATTCACCATGTTCTGTCGGCATTTTGGTTGATCGTGGTCTTGGCGACAACAATTCGAGCAACTTTTCGCTTTCCGTCAATGTTCTGTTCTTTGGCGGTTGCGATGATCGTGAAGCTTTGGTTTACGGGTTACGAATGGCAGAACATCCGGGCATTAACTTGACCGTTGTGGTCATCTCTGGTCTGGAGAGATCAAGATTTGATATACTTGAAGCGCAAGAAACATCAATATATTCGGTAGACGAGCAATTCCTTGCCGCAATCAAGAAAAGGGCCAATGCAACAAGATTTGAAGAGAGGACGGTGGAGTCGACGGAGGAAGTGGTTGAGATCATCCGCAAATTTTGCGAGTGCGATCTTTTATTGGTCGGAAGATCTTCCAAAGGAACTATGGTTTCAAGATTAACGGTTATGAAGATAGAGTGTCCGGAACTTGGATCGGTAGGAAACTTGATCGTGTCAAATGAGATTTCTACTTCAGTGTCTGTTTTGGTGGTTCAACAGTACACCGGGAAAAGTCCTTCTGTGGTGGGTTCCGTCACTGTCCCGGTGGTGGAGACGCCATGAAAATCTGAAAACAGAGGATTGTGTTTTCTTTAACTTGAAGCACAAAACAAGATAGATAACACAAATCACTCTTATAGTCTTATGTATCAACATGCATGAATTAAATGATCCCCCTTTTCCTTTATATATGAACTTGTAAGATAAAACAATTATTCACTCATAAAATATAATTTGATGGATGGATATTATTCATGTTGTTGGTACCAAAGTTATGAGTGAATAAGAAAACATTTTTCGATCTTTTTCCAAAGGAATACCGATCATATAGTAATTTTAGATACTCAAATTATCTTTATCCAATTCGTTTCCATTATTATCCGAAACGATCATGCCTACTTTATTGCAACACATACTGTTTTATAATTTTCAGTTAAAATATTGTTTTAAGACATTAATATTATAAATTATAATCACTTGTTTAGTGCATGTGACACAGTTATATTGACTAGTGGTGTTGTAGAAATAAATTTTCCTACTTTTCATATCATCGCATGTGTGATGTGTCCATTATAAAGATAGATTAGATTTAACTTTTAAGTAGTAATCAAAATCTGATATTGTATAACACAGTGTTTGTTTTTATCAAACAACACATATGACATAACAAATCATATAATACACCAAACCACAAATCAGACAGAAAATATAAAATAATATAAGATTATTGTTACACAAGTACTTAAACTTATTCAATTATCAAAAGTTTCAAAGTATTCAGCCTCTCTTTCTCTCGGTCTCCGGAACCATTTAATGGTCTCTTTTAGTAACAATCATAGAGTTTGATATCCATCTTGACCCTAAAATACTTAGCACCTTCAAAGGTATCAGTCTCAAACGTAACAATCCCTCGAGACATGAAAAAATCGCCTGTCCCTCCGACCACAGACAAATCTCTACTCTGCACCATCATAAGATCTGCTCCCATTATGTTCAACGTCCCTTTGTGTTGAGTCGAGTTGAACACGAGTGTGTACGCGAACCATGCATTGTAATCGTTCTTCATGTCGTAGAAATAGAATCCTTGAGCACGTGCTACAGGTTCGGATTGAAAGTTTTTGTCTATGGTCATGGGATCGTCGAAGATCACGAGTTTTCCGAATTTGAAATTCCCGAGGCCCGGCGGGTTGGTAATGGCTGCAGAAGTCGCGTTTTGGACGTCGTCGACGCCAAACATTATGTCGTGGTAGTAGAGGACAAAGTTTTTGCACGGTTTTGGTTGCGATTTGGATGGTTTTCTAGCTGATATGACGGTTTTTGAGAGAACAAGGAAAATGAATAAGAAGAGAATTGATTTCATTTGGCCGACCATATTAAAAATGTGTTTATTTTTGCAATGAAAAAGTGAGAGTGGAAATGAGAGAGTGAGATTGACGAAGAAGAGTGATGGGTTTATATACAACTTGGATTTTGTAGTCTGTGTGAATATAAAGAATAGACCAAGTGGACTAGCTCACGTCTCCTCTCTTATTTCTTGTTTATTTATATATTTCTACTAGGTTGGTGATAAGTTTTGTTGATGTATATAAAGTAAAATCATTTACGATATAAATATCTGAAACTTTTCAATGTAGGCGGCTCAATCACCTTACAAAAATTTCCACAAATTGTTATAGTGGAAAAATCCTTAAAACACGAATGAAGTACTAAAACTAATTAGCATAATACATATTTGATCTAATTAAGACTACATAAACTTATACATACCTTAAACAGAGTTGCACGAATTTATCATAATATCTACTTGTTCGTCTAGTATTAGGACATTAATAAAAATATGTATATTCTTCAGTAATACTATCTGTAAACTTGGCCTTTTAATAATGGGTTGGTGGAACACTAATAATAAAAATTGATGAACATGAGTTTTTCCAGTAACTGGTGATTTTACATGAAATTAGGTCAAACTGCCACTGACATGCTAAAGTATTTATAAATCGATTTGTTTTGAAACTAAAAGTAGACTAATTTTTTTTTAGTTTTTTGACATCTTTGGATCGATAATACCCGATCCATAGCCAATCCATATTAGGCAGGGTAACGCGACTTAGTGGAGTCGAACTCCGGTGGGAAAGGCGGAGTCAAGTGGACTTAACCACTTGACTAAAGGTATATTTAAACTCTTAAATTTTAGTATGTTCATTAGAATATACTGTATATTATTTTTTTACCAAAACTAGACTCTCTCATAAAATTCATGTTTATAAATAGAAATTTATGACGTGTATTTTTTCTTCTCGATCTAAACCAATTGGATACTAATGAAGTACCCTATGGGCTAAGGCTATATTCTTTGCATACAAAAATATGTCTTTTTTTAGGGATAATCTTGTCCATTTGCAAAATTTATTGCATATAATAAAATCGAAAAGTAACCGTTTTATCATGAATGCATTTATTTATTTTGATTAGGCTAAACCTTTCGCCGACTTAATAGAACATTGGCATTTTCGACAGCCAATAAAGCAAAACAAGTTGCAGAAATTTTAAATGTGACTTATAACTATTGACATTTTTAAAAAATAATATTGTGAAACCAACGTACCAAAGAAAAGCAACACAGGGTTGCGGAAAAAAAAAAAAACAAGGTATTTTTTATTTGGACGTTTAATACCCAATTGTTTTAGATTGTAATAAAAATACCTCATTTAATTATTTATAGTCTAAAAATACCTTCTATATAAACTATCGGTGAAATCGAACGCCCAAGTTAACAGCCGTTAATGGATGTAACAGAATCGTTAACGTTGTTAAATTTTAACTTCACGTGTTCGAATAGTTATATAGCACATGCTTATGAAGTTTACGGTAAATAATGGCGTGGTGTGGTGGTTATAGGTGAGTTTTGGAAACGTTACAAACGCTATTTTTTTTTCTTTCCTTTCGCTTTCTCTCCCACTCGAAAAATTGTCACTTATGCCACTTTTTGGAAAAAAAAAATCTGGCATGCCACTCAAAAATCTGGCATGCCACCGAGAATGTGAATTTCCGAAACTAGCCTTAATGAAATAAAGAAGAAATCAAAAAAAAAAACTAAAAATCTCATTTCGTCCCACTCTCTCTCCTCTCTCTCTCTCCTCTCCGACCCCGACATTTCTCTCTCCCTCCGCCATAGCTCGCTCCCGCCGATCTGCACGTACGGTTTTGCAGTCGCGTCCTCCTTCTCGAAAGCGGTTAGTTTCTTCTCATGTATCCTCTTTTCATTGCTGCATTGATAGATTTTTAGGTAATTTAAGAGTATTTTGGAAATCTTTAAAATTAGGGATTTGAATGAGAATTGGGGTTTTTTTGGAAGAATTGATAGTATATTGGCGAATGGGAATGTTAGAATCGAGCTACACTCGTACATTGTTGAATGGAGTCACATTTTAAGTAGAATCGAGTCAGATCTCAGTCAATTGGTACAGCTAAGAGAAAGTTATTCAACAGGGTACAACTACGTTTAAGTATTCAACTGGTACAACTGATAGACTATAGGCCAACTGGTACAACTGATAGTATGTAGGCCAACATGTACAACTGATAGGCCAACGGTACAACTATGTTTAATTATTCAACTAGTACAACTAGAATATTTGTTTCAAATGGTGTATGTGCTGTTTTTAATTGCTGTATTTTGAAGATAGTACCCTCCATAGTCAACTGGTACAACAGATAGTATGTAGGCTAACTAGTACAACTGATAGTATGTAGGCCAACTAGTACAACTGATAGTATGTAGGCCAACTGGTACAACTAGTATAACAGTGGAAAATGGTGTATGTGATGTTTTTGATTGTTGTAGTTTCAGGATAGTACCCTCTATAGTCAACTGGTACAACTGTTAGAGTATAGTCCAACTGTATAGGCCAACTGGTACAACTAGTATAACTGTGACAAATTGTGTTTGTAATTATGTTTTAAATTGTTGTAATTTCAGGAGGCGATGAAGAAGAAGAGCCATACTAACGTACATTTTGACTATGGAGGGTACTATTCAGAAGGGAATGAGTGGATTTATAAAAATTCACTATACGCTATATCGTTTAAGACGGCATGTTTAGAGAAGATAACTTATTCGGTGCTATTAGATAAGATCACTACGAAGGTTGGCCAGAATGGAGTCCTTGGGAATCTGAAACTGAGTTACAATCTATCTAAAGCTCGGAGAGAGACATATATTGTAGATGATGAGGACGTATACATTTTTTTAACAGAATGTGATGAAGAGGGTCGTATTCCAGTTTTGCATGTGGAGCTATTAAGTGACAATAACCAGAGGGTGGAAGTGTTAGTACCGGAGCGTCGAAGTTCAGTTGGTGTGAATTATGTAGAGCTAGTGAATGTGAATGAAGTTTTGGAGAATGATGTGAATGAAGTTTTGGAGAATGATGTGAATGAAGTTTTGGAGAATGATGTGAATGAAGTTTTGGTGAATGATGTGAATGAAGTTTTGGTGAATGATGTGAATGAAGTTTTGGTGAATGATGTGAATGATGAGAATGAAGTTTTGGTGAATGATGTGAATGAAGTTTTGGTGAATGAAGATATGGTGAATGAAGTTATGGTGAATGAAGTGTGTCAGAATGTGACAGGTATGGAAGTTGTGGCTGTGGAAAGGTCGATGGATAACCATTTGGATGAAGATGTGGATGGTATTTTTGATTTTGATGATATTCCAGCTATTCCAAATCGTGTAAAAGGTACTCCAAAGAATATAGAATGGGAAGATGGTACGGGTATAGAACTTTATCAAGAATTTTGTTCTAAGGAAGCACTGTGGGAATTGGTAAACAAAGCTGCAAAACAAGAAGTTTATGGGGTTTTAATAGTTAAGTCTGACCCGTTGAGACTTATGTTACGATGCAAACAATATTCTCAAGGGTGTAAATGGTATTTACGAGTTGCGAGAACAAAGCAATCAGATTATTGGAGTGTTAGAGTGCATAGAAAGATCCATACATGCTCGCGGTCTGTTGAGTCTACAAGCAATAGTGTACAGAGAGGAACACCACGATTAATAGCAGCTGTTTTACATGCTGACTTTCCAGGTAATCTACAGACCCCAAATCCAAAAAGCATCATGTCTATTGTGACAGGAAGACTTGGTGTGCATTGTTCATACTCTACTGCATTAAGAGGGAAAATGCAGCATGTTAGTGAAGTGAGAGGTGGACCAGAAAAAAGCTACAAGATGTTGTTTTCTTATCTCTACATGTTAGAGATGGTAAATAGAGGGACTGTAACAAGTGTGGAGTTGGAAGAGAAGAAGTTCAAGTACCTATTCATCGCTTTGGGAGCTAGCATTGAAGGTTTCAGGGGAATGAGGAAAGTGATAATTGTGGATGCAACTCATCTCAAAACTGTATATGGTGGGATGTTGGTTATTGCAACAGCTCAAGATCCTAATCATCACCATTATCCTCTTGCATTTGGTGTAATTGATGCAGAGAAGGATGTTAGTTGGATTTGGTTTTTCCAGAAGCTGAAAACTGTATATCCAGAAGTTCCTAATCTGGTGTTTATTAGTGACAGGCATCAAAGCATCAAGAAGGCTGTCATGACGGTGTACCCGAATACGCATCATGTACACTGTATATGGCATTTGTCTCAAAATCTAAGACTCCGTGCGAAGACTGATAAGGATGGAGCTGCGAAGAAGTTCTTGGAGTGCGCTCATGCTTATATTGAGAGTGAGTTCAATAGAGAATATGGTATATTTAGGAGTCGGTGGTCTAATGTTGCTGACTATCTAGATAAAGCCATAGAGAGAGAGCAGTGGTCTAGGTACCATTTCCAAGGAGACAAGTACAACATAGACACTAGCAATGCTGCGGAGTCCATGAACGCTGTGTTTAAGAAAGCGAGGAAGTATCACCTCGTACCTATGATTGATGCCATGGTTGAGAAGTTGTGCCTTTTGTGGAGAACATCTTGCATGCTCGATGTCCAGTTGCTGCGAAGTTAAAAGTTGTTGAGCTTAACAGTTATAGACAAGAATACAACGTCATTGATGGGATGTCGGTCAGCTTTTTGGTGGATTTGAAAATGAAAACTTGTTCTTGCAAGACATTTGATATAGACAAGTACCCGTGTGTCCATGCCATTGCCGCAGCAAGGTTCCTAGCCTGCAAGGAAGGGAGAAATGCAGATGTAAGCATATATGGACTTTGCTCCGTCTTTTATTTGATTGATACTTGGGCATTGGCATATTACAGGACGTTGTTTGTAGTGCCACATGAGTCAGAATGTAATATTCCCGAGTCAGTTAAAGAGTTGGAGGCTGAGCCGCCGGATTACACTCCAAAAAAAGGACGCAATCAAGATAAACGGTTTCCATCTGTTGGAGAAAAACGGAGAAAGAGTAACAAAGCTGTTCCAGGAATTAACTTGGAGAGATGGCTACAGCCCGAGGATCCAGAAGCATCTTGATTAATTCTCTGGTTCAACCGGTACAACTGCTTTACCAATACGGTTCAACTGGAACAACTGGACCATTTTGGTTCAACTGGAACAACTGTGTAACCATTTGGGTTCAACCGGAATAACTTAAACAACTTTGTACTTGTATTTTTATTTGTAAGACTAATATCGCTTTGTAATATATGGATTATTATTTATAAGTTTGTAATATAAACTATTTTATTTCTTTACAATATTAGCAAGAATGGTTTCTGGGTTCAACCGATACAACTGGAAACAACTAAAACTACAAAAAAATACAAAATTACATAAATTAAACCATAATAAGTGATTAAAACATTTTTAAACTCTGAAGGTACATTTAATACTTTTAATATATGATATGTAACATTATCAATAATTAATATGAGCAAAAACCAAAATTACACAAATCACTCTTTAGGTAACAAGGAACAATTAGTTCAAGATCATCTATAAAGATGGAAGAAGTATGGAAACTATGTTTTCTGACAAATTATTCTATGAAAACTTCTTAAACACCAATATAATGTGGAAATTGATGTGAACAACTAGATATCTATGGTATTTTTTAAGGTTCAACTACAAAATTACAAATTTAGAAATAGTTCAACTGTGAGGAAATTAGGACAACTGAACATCTAAAGACAACTATGTAGAAAATCTATTTATCGGGGGTCCCACAGAAATGTGTTCACACTAGTCTTTGACTTGTTTTTGACTCAAACCGGTCCCACAGAAATGTGTTCACACTAGTCTTCTCATCTAATAAGGAGAGTACTCTCTCTCTCTCTCTCTCTCACATCTCGACTCCGATTCTTCTTCTTCTTCTTTTCTCTCTTCTTCTTCTCTCTTCTTCACGAGACCACTAAAAATTAGGGTTTTCAGATTTCTTCAAATTTTGCGAAATCTGGGTACTTCTCTCACATATCTTCTTCTCTCTTCTTCTTCTGTTATTGAAAACGAGAAACCCAAAAATTAGGGTTTTCAGATCTATGCTCATTCTTCCTTCTCTCGCCGTTTAATAGATCTGCTTTCTACTAATTCGGATTTACTAAGATTTAATTGATTTATGTTTGATTGAATGGTCAGATCTACTCATCTTCTAAACCGTAGATATGCCTTATAGTTACTCCCAACCCTCCACATCCGTAGCAAGCATCAACAGTGGAGAATGTAATGCAGATGCCAATTATGGTGTTCCCGAGAGGTGTTTCTGTGGTGAGATGGTCAAACTTGAGCGATGTCTAACAGGACAGCGCCAAGGAGAGCGCGTATACAGATGCCCAGTGCTTAAGGTATGGTTTAGTTGCAATTCTGGAACAACTAAGTACAACTTGCTGGTTTTAACTTTTTATATTCTTCCTAGGATGGAGACGAATATAAGGATAATCGAGATCACCTAGTTCAGTGGTGGGATTGGGCGGTAACTGAGGAGCTGTCCAAGATACACCACCTATTTGACAGACATAAAGATGACGTGTTAACCTCTCTTGAATATGGGAGGGGTGGAAATCCTGCATTGGAGTCGATCCGGGAAACTCTTCGTCTTATGCGTGAAGAAATTGATGACCTTAAAGAGAGGTTAGCCACAAAAGAAGTCGAGATTGCGAGGCTTAGGGGGTTACTTTCAAGGTGGTAATATTGTATGATTACCACCTACTCTTTGTAATATTTGAATTTGTATTTTGGATATGGAATTGTGTTTTCATGAAGTATTATTAGTAGTTGTACCTGCAGTAATGGTAGTACTTGGTTCAACCGGTACAACTCCGACTTATATGTACTCACTAAGTATTTTTAATAGTTGTTGTCCCTGGATCAACTGGTCCAACTAAAATTTAAATATATTGTATTTAGTAGTTGTCCCTGGTTCAACTGGTCCAACTAAAATTTAAATATATTGTATTTAGTAGTTGTCCCTGGTTGTCCACATAGTTGTTTCTGGATTATTAGTAGTTGTCCTTGTATTGTTAGTAGTTGTCCATGTTGTCCATCGTTCTTAATAGTAGTTGTCCCTGTATTGTTAGTAGTTGTCCCTGGTTCATCACATAGTTGTCCCAGGATTACTAGTAGTTGTTCCTGTTGTCCTACTTGTGTTAATAGTTGTCCCACGTTTGTTAGTAGTTGGACCAGATGCATAATTTTTTAAAATATAATTTCTGGATCATCCTAAACCCCAAATACAAAAAATGCACCTAAACCACAACACAACCAAAAGATAGTACAATGTTTTGAATCCTAATAAAAGATAACCGCAAAATACTCAGAAAATATAAGTTTTGTCCTACACAAAAGCAATTACTCATAAAGAGTGATCTCTCATAAAGATCACCTATTTCTTCTGCCGCTTCTTCCCCTTCCCCTTCCCCTCTGCTGTAAACTCTTCAGCCTGAAACCTGGAAGCCTTCCTTTGTCTCTTTTTCCCGGTCTGGATTGTAGGGCCACTATGCTTCGGCCTCACTGCTTTCTTCTTCTTGTTCTCCTTCTCTTTCCTAGCCAGCTGCTCCTGATCACCTTCATCACCTACACAACTCCAATGTTAGAACATGTATGTTACAATAAAAACTACAAAAATGTAAACTCACTCAATTCTTGAATCTGGATTGGCTTAGAGTCTGTGAAACCACTGTGAAGGACCAAAGCCTTTGTCGGACTCGCTATTGGTTGATTAGCAGTTGGTGTACAATAGGTTGGCACAAAATCACTTGAAGTCCCTGGATGATACTCATTGTACCGCTCTTTCTCTAGCTGGACTGACACATAACCCTCTAAGTCTTTCACTCTCCCATCCAGCATACTCACTTTGCTATCCATCTCAGACAACTTCTCCATGATCTTCGCAAATCCTTTGTCCACAGCTGACTGTAATGAGAGGATATCACCAAGCCTCTCAGGGACTTCACCATCACTTTCTTTAACATCACCAAGCCTCTCAGCCACTTCAGGGACAACATCACCAAAACCCCGAGCCTGCAAGTCCATCTGGTATAGACTTTTCCACCAGATTTTCTTCTTCTTTCTGATCAGCTGCTCTCTCCAACCTTCAACAACTGGATCAATAAATCCCATCCCTTCATCAATATCTTTCTCAACAAGGCCAGACAACATCTCTTTCTCATCCATATCAGGTTCCAAGATGCTTGAGATATCCTGTCAAATACACATAGCATCAATCTCAATAAATATGCATACTAAGAGAAGTAAAGGCACCAAAAGCTAACCTTAATTTCACCAAGGGCTTGGTTTATTTCATCCAAGGTAAAGCCCTTCATGCAACTGTCAGTGAATTTAGATTTGCACATTCTTGGACAGTCATTAGCTGCGGGAACAGCTTCTCTGAATCGCCTTCCAAGCTGTGGTATGCACTCAAATGCAAAAATCTACACATTCACAATAACACAGTTTTACTACTATAACTTAAACACTCTAACTCATTACAATATTCACAAGTTTTTACCTCAAGAGGAGTGATGAATCCAAAAAAGCTGCTCTGTGCTTTTGGTTTCACCTCACCTTTCATGTTTTTCATCATTCTCCGGATCCCTGTCATACATTGCTCAAAAGAATACCTTCCCCACGGGAATATCTCACAAGCATGAACATCATCAACAATCCTTAACAGGAATTGCTCTATGTTCCCATCACCCTTAGAATCAGCCTTCACAACCGCACATAAAAACAACAAAATAATCAACTTCTTCCTATCCAAACACTTCTCACTCTTAATAGCTGCCAACTTCTTTTCTACATCTTTGATTTTGATTAGGTCTGTCCTCCCAAACATCCTCCTGACAAACCTCAAACTACCCTTCTTCTCATGATTCTTTGGGTACTCATGGCAGTCCAACCCGGTCAACAAAGCATGCTCTTTCAAGGAGTACCTTATAGGCACTCCATTCACAACAAACCAACACTCATTCTCCATACCCGTGCGAGCAGTGCGAAGCATAAGCATCCACATGCCTTGAATCATGTGATTTGGTTCCTTAGGCATGTGGAATATATGCTTAAACTGAGCATGATTCCTAAACCAACTAACTTCCTCATCAAATGCCTCTATCATGGCCACTGTTTGGCCAACTTTACACCTACTACCTACCTTACATACCTTGTTGTACTCAGTTGGACTAAAGTACATGCTCTCTGGCGGCAGTGGTTGGGATTCCTCATCATCATCATCCTCATCTGTATCAGCTGCAACATCATTAACCCTCTCCTCTTCCTCTTCCTCAACAGCAATATCATCAACTATATTCTGCATATTCAAACACATACAACTGAGTACAACTATGTCTGTTGCTTACCTTTAACACCATATACAACAAATACAAACTGTTACTTACCTTCACAACACCAGCAACATCTTCCTCCTCATTATTACCAGCAACATCTTCACCCTCAGAATCAACAACTCTCTCTTCTTCCTCGTTATCACAACCCTGACCATCAATTGACAACTCACGGACTTCTTTATCATGCTCACCGACTTCTTCTTTCTCTTCTTTATCAGACAATTCCGGAACCGAAAAAACTACTAATTCGGTGGCTGCTTCTGCGGATTCCACTGTTGGACCAATTACAGCGGCATCCATTGGAGCTTCTGTTGGATAAGCGTCATCCGTCGGAGCATCTTTTGGAACTGCGGCGTCCGTCGAAGCTTCTGTTGGAACTGAAGCGTCCGTCGAAGCTTCTGTTGGATCCGGATTTGCAGCCCCTTCTCGAGACCCTTCTGTTGATTCATATACCCTGTTATCTCCACCTTTCACGCGAGCCATATAAGAACGAGACGAAGACACGCTGAACGGAGTCGGAGGAGACGAAAAGACAAACCACCGAGGAGGAGACGAATGACGGAGTACGAAGTTCCCACGCTAGAAGAAGACGGCGGAGACGACGATACTCCGGAGACAACGAAAACGGAAAAGAAGCGACGGAGATTCGCGAGAGTACAGAGAGAACTCGGAGACGGAGAGAAGAGTAGTGAAAGCGATTTTTACGGTTTTGAGTTTTACTTAGAGAAATTTTCAGAATTAGGGGATTAGGGTAAATTTAGGGATTTTGTATGGGTCGGGTTATTTTCTTATGGACTGGGTTCGGATTGTTTGGTTGGGTCGTAATATACTTATTTTCGTTTGGGTTTTATGTAATTTACTCACTTTCTCGATTTAAAATTAATTCGATAATAAAAAGAAAACATAAGAGTGGCATAAAAGGTTACCGATTCTCGATTAGTGGCACAAGAGGTGAACTCTCCTCCCACTCCTGCTTCTCGAAATCAAGCAAGCAAATCACAAATAAATCAATAATACGATTCCACAATTATAATTTGAATTTACTATGCATCTCTCGTTACCCTCTCATGAATTTGAATCTTGCGTTAATTCAACAAACGTTTCTGGAAAATGGGAGAGACAAGACTAAGCCTTTGGGTTTGAATTTGAAAATTAGAACGAATTTTTGTGGTTGCGGCCACTGATCAAAGCGAGCTTCCGGAGTTACAGGGAGAACCCAACAGTCCATGGCCACCGCAGAGCTCCGATATCCTCTTAATGACGGAGACGCCACCTTTCCGGTCCACCTCGTTCAGATCTGACGAAGAAGAAGGAAGATAAAAAAATTATAAAAAAATTGCTAGGAGGACTCGAACCACTCGAACCCACGTCCTCAATACCATTCACTTACCACTAGACAACGATAACATACATCATAAATTGGTTAAAAGATTGTATATATCGAATAAAATATATGGGATTACAATTTAACGATGTTAAAGGATTCCGTTACGTCCATCAACGGTAGTTAACTTGCGGGTTCGATTCTACTAATAGTTTATATAGAAGGTATTTTCAGACTATAAATAATTAAGTGAGGTATTTTTATTCTAATCTAAAACAATTGGATATTAAACGTCCGAATAAAAATTACTTTGGGTTTTTTTTTGGAATTTTCTGAAACAAAAAGATAGATTGTCGACAAAACAAAAGTTGGACTCTATAGTCATAGCATGAGTAGTTTGTCCTAAAAGGGCCTAAACTGCGAAGAAATTTTAACGAAAACGGGCTTATTTTGGCCCAATATGCATTTACATGTAGGCTCGAAACTCGTCACGTGTATGGCTATTCAACGATCGCTTGAGTTTTTTTTCCACACGTGTGATGGGTAATACGTGGACGCGCGCGAATAAACTCTAGTTTTGTGGATTTTTTTTTTATTCACTATCTTCTCAGAACCAAACAGAGCCAAAGGTTTTTTGCTCGCAGTAAAGAATCACACTCTGAAGAAGAAGAACACAAAATCCTCAGGAGAGAAATGCTAAGTTTGAATCTCTCCGAGTCGCTTCGCATCCCATTTCAAAACCCTAGGCCTCCCAAATTCGATTCTTGTTGTTCTTCTCCTCCCTCATCGTCGAGGAGATGCGTCTCCTCTTTTCCAATTCCGATAGGGTTTTCGTTTCGTAATCAATACTTCTCTAGGTATGTTTGAATCTGCATTTTGTTTTGCTATACGAATGGAGTTTAGGGGTTTATGTCTTTCACAATTCTGTGCAGATGTTTGACTCAATTGCGTCGAAATGAATCTCAGCAGCTTGAATTTCGATGCTTCCGACGAAATGATTCCGCTTGTTACCTTGAGGTGATCTTGAATTTTGTTTTTACTTCCATGGATCGATCTCTCTGATTGCAGATTTTTGACATTAGAGGAGATTCTGTCGAAGGCAAGGCGATTTCTAGGTGAACTGAATAAGTTGTTGTGTTTGATTTTTCAGAAGGCTGAATCTGAAGAAAATATTAGAAATCTTGATCTTTTGGTTGATTCATCGGTAGCTCACTCAAGAAGAGAGACTCTTAGACTTCTTAAGTTCTTGGCGGTATCAGGTTCCGTTGCATTACTCGGCAATGATCCAGCTTTTGCGGCTTCGTCAATTGCCAATGGGACGCAGTCACTTGTCTCTTCTCTTGGAGACCTTGGAGATATTAGCTCAGGTTTTGCTTCGGTTAGAGAATCTTCCTTTTGCACAGAACCGGGAACTATGTCTTCTTCAGTGCCATTCCTTTAAATTTTACGTTTTGCTCTGTCTATGTCTCTCTGCAGGCGTTCTTGCTTATCTTTTTCTCTGAACTTGGAGACAAGACTTTCTTCATTGCGGTATGATCTTGAGCTATATTTTGAGATGTTAGTCTACCTATAAAAACTCCCTGTCATCAAACATCTAACATTCTATTGATTGTGATAAGTTTTCATGTTTGCTGCTTAGGCCCTTTTAGCAGCAAGGAACTCTGCTGCTACCGTATTCGTGGGGACTTTTGGCGCTCTAGGGTATGCTTTCTTTCTCAAACAGAGGCGTTATGGTCCGTGAATCTTGTCTGAATCCAAATGTTACTTTGAAATCTGTAGAGCAACGTTTTAAAACTTGGTATTTTTGCAGGATAATGACGATAATATCTGTAGTGCTTGGACGTACTTTTCACTATGCCGATGAAGTTCTTCCATTCAGGTTTGAGTATTCTGGCAAAAATTATTAATCAGGTTTTAAGTTTTATGATGAATCTGAACGTCAATGACTTGAGAACACAGGTTTGGTGAAACCGATTTGCCTATAGATGATATTGCAGCAGTTTGTCTTCTGGTAAATCTTTATTCACCTTTCTAAGCAGAGCTGTACTAACCAGGGGTGCTTGGTTTGGACCTTTTTGTTTTTTTTTTCTCTGTTTAGCAAGTATATCTTCAAAGTGAAACCAAATGTAGTTCTGACCCTTTTGTTATGAGTTTGGTTCCGGTTCGGTTTTAAAATTTGAATGAAGTTCACAAGTTTCAGGCTTTTGATTTTTATGTAGAAAAAAGTAACTGATTTAACCAAATGAAGATGTTTATTGGTTTTCAAGCCTGGTTTTTGGATGGATCATATTGTGCAGGCCTAGTCTTAACCATGAAACAGTATTAACCACTTTTGTTACATTTAGGTTTACTTCGGTGTTTCAACGTTATTAGATGCTGTTTCTGACGAGGGTAAAGCTGACGAAGAACAGAAAGAAGTAAAACTTCTTTAGCCTTTCATTTTTATATTTCCATGCAACCTTCAAGAAGTCAATATCTTTTTACTTATTTTGTACAGGCAGAACTAGCGGTTTCAGAGCTTTCAGGTAGTGGAGCCGGGATAGTAGCAGCCGCGAACACCATCATCAGCACTTTCGCATTGGTTTTTGTTGCGGAATGGGGTGACAAATCCTTCTTCTCAACAATTGGTGAGACACAAAAGAAGTTTCAACTTTCATGATAAATCAAAACCTCAGGTCTAAAACTCCTAAAACCGTATATAATCTATTAATTCTTTGAAGCTCTTGCGGCTGCTTCATCGCCATTGGGTGTCATCGCTGGAGCATTGGCGGGTCACGGTGCTGCGACTCTGGTGAGTTCTTTATCTTTTGATTGAAACTTTTATGTGAACACTTTAAAGATCCTAGCTATTGGGCTAATCAAAAACATCTTTAAGCAATATTAAGACTTAAACCCCATTAAAGAGAAGATTTTTCAATTCTCCTGAAACTTGGGAGACACAAGAACTCTAACTTGCAGCTTGGTTTGTTATTCGCAGCTTGCGGTATTGGGAGGTTCTTTGCTCGGAAATTTCTTATCAGAGAAGGTAAATTCCATGATCTCTATATCACACATAGACACTATATACATAGTTACATATAGATCAAATCAATTATTTCACAAAAGCACTTGAAGAATACTCCTTTTTTCATTATAGTGTCAGGTTTAGATTTTTCCTACACGTCTTAGCTAGCATTTAAGTTAATACTAAGATTACGAAGAATAAATTTTGATTCCTGACCAAATAAAATGTTAAGAAGAATAAAACTTTAATGGTTGCATTAAAAAGTAGAAAATAATATTAAAATATGAAACAAATCCATGTCCTTAAATTATCATGAAATGTAGGGTGAATATACTAAATGCCAGCATATCCTAGGATATATTCAGCTTTTATTACACAAAAACCAGATTCTAAATGGCAATTTACTAGCTTCTATCCTAGTTTTTAAAGTTCAAAACCACCTTTTGAGTTTTGTTGTTTTAATTAGTCAAAGGATCTCTTTTTTAATCTCGTATTGTGTTCTGAGATTGAACTTGATAGAAAGAAAAGTGAGAGATTAAGATTTATTTATTCTGTGGGCAAGTGGCAAAAACAAGCTTCTGTGTTCATTGATCTCTAGTCCTCCACATCACTTGGTATCTATTCCTCCCTAAAAAAGAGTCAAAATAACATCTTTTATTGTTTTTATTCTTTCATATGTCCGATCCAATCTGTCAACAACGCGTTATTATTCCCAAACTAATGAAATTAGCCGGGGAAAATTTCTTAAATCACAAGTATAGATTATTTTGTTTAGGTTTTAAGGTTCATGATCTATGTTTTAGGGGTTAGGGTTTTGATTTTAGTTTTTATGACTTGAGGTATATAGTAGGTTTTAGAATTTAGACTCCAGAGTTCAGAATTTAGATGGTTTGTTTTTTTTCTTCTAATTTATAAAAATTTAAGACCATTTTATTTTTTTAAGACCTTTTTCTAGTTTTGATCTAAAGTTTAGATTATTATTTGCATAACTCTTTGAAATAGTAATAAGTTTGGGAGAGAGTGTGTGTTCTGAAGACGGAAATGTTTAAATGTTGTTTGGTTCGAAACAGGCAATTGCTTATGTCGGAGGAGTTCTGTTTCTCGTGTTTGCTGCTGTGACGGTGGCTGAGATCGTTACGTAAGTCCCGAAAAAGATTTTTTTTTGCCTTCTTGTATAAACAAATTCAAGTTTAATTTGCATAATTTTAGTATATTGTTTGTTTCCACTGTTTTTCTGCAAATGATAATGTGGATTTACAGTTTTCATTCGTATTCATTTACTATATATATTAGTACACATTTTGTTTTTAGTGATTAGAATTTACTTAGATGTCAAGATAGATAATATGTTATGTTTTGAAAGATGCGTCCAAACATAACACGTGTTCGGGAGTGGAAAGAATATAAAGAGGTTGAACATGGTAGAGCATATTCTTTTTTTTTTATTCTTCATGTATAAAGGTGTATATGAATTAAATTATATGAAAAAGTTACAAATTTATACGCTTTATGTCCTAAATGAGTTGTTGAACCGACGTGAGAAATAGGAAGATAAGTACCATCTCCTTTCTTTCTTAGCAAGGTGTAAATATTTTTGGTTTCAATGTTAAGCAATGTGTAATTTTGTAAAAGAAGGATCAGAAGAAAAGTTGTTTGGAAATATTGTAAAATTAATTATACACCTATATTTTCTTTGTTCTTGATAAATAATATATATATAATAGTAACATAAACTACAGCAGTTATCATCAGAAATATTCATTTGTTCTACAACATACACATTTAATTTATTATTTATTTTGGTAATGATTTGATTTTAAAGTTGTGGAACATTTCGTTGCATGTTGAAATACGCAAAGCTGTTATTTACCTGACATATAAATGGATGAAAAACGATATCTAACGTGGTTTTACGAAATTGAATACTAGTTTTTAAGCAAATAAAAATCTAAAAAAGGAATTAGAGAATCTAAATAATACAATTGACCTAGAAAAAGTAAAACAAAATCTAACGAAATTGCTGCATTTGCAAACGTGAACCACTCTTTTATCGTACGTGGACCCTTTTCTTGGTTTTCTATTTCGGACAGTGATAGCCAAAAAAAAAAAGAAGAAACGACATCGCTTTACATATATTTTTGTATTAGAAAATAAAAATCGCAAAAATCACGCTGTCGTAGATTCGTAGAAGACCTTCCCGAGGGGAATCGTGCGGGACCCACAAAAGAGGCATGTGGGTACCACAGTCATCATAGAACCAAATTGAACGGTGACGAGCCGCTGCTGCTTCAGCCGCCACGCACCCAATTACCCCCTTCGTTTTTCTTTGCTGACGCTTCTTGCAACCGCCACAATCTCGGTTTCGTTTAAACCCCATAATTTTTTTTTTTGGGTCAAAAATTAAACTCTTAATCTCAATCAAAAAAATAAATATTTTTTTTGTTAAAATGAAAAAAATGAAATTCAGATGTTAATCTATTCAATCCTTGAACTATCCGTTCCATTTAAATAGATGGGTTTATGATTATTCAGCTAAAAGAAAAAGACTAAAAATAATTTCAATTCTTTTTAAATTCACAATTTCACATGTGCGATAGGGATACCATTATCCTTCAAACTACTACATACTAGCAATTACCGATCCTCCATTGTTTCTATTAATTAATTATATATATTTTGGAAATAAAATAATAATAATCCTACCTTAAAACTTAAAATCATCTAATATTACAAATTAAAAACATTTGATATTTGACCAAACTATATAAATAATGGTTTATAAGTCATATCGATATCATTATATGTACTCAAATCTTCTTAATAGAGTGCATGTTATTGACAAAAAAAAAACTAGTAATCAAAATAAATAAAAATATATGGTAGAACAAAATTTGATAATCAGGAAATACGAGAGGAAGTGGAGGACATATCATGTTTTGACAGGTACTTTTTTTGTTAATTAAAATTTTTAACTGGTGCTTAAAAATGAATTATGTGAACCTGTTTAAATGTGTTTGTACATAATAGTATAATACATTGATCAATACAACAAAAAACATTATTAATAAAAAGGGTATATAAGTTGCACGTGCCAAAGATTCTGATGGCACGTGTGGCAAACCAGTCTTCTTACCCTTGTATTTTTTTCCTCCACACCTCTTCTTTCAGATTCGATCATTTCCACTCCCTTCAAAAAAGCGTCTCTCTCTCTCTCTTTTTCTCATCTCCTATTTATTTATACCTCTCTCGTTCTCTCTCGCCGGCGCTGCAAATCCCTAGATTTTCCAATCACACCCAAAAACAAACAATTATTTGTAAGTACTCAATTTCGCTGATTGAGAGTCGCGATTTGATTTTCTCATTCGATGCCGTGAAAATCTCGTAATCGGATTCAAAAGTGAGGTAAATTCATTCTTTCTCGAGGCAAATTGTTGTTATTCTTCGGTTGAATTTGCATGTTTTGTTTTCATGAGAAATTCAGAAAAAAATTGACTTTATTAAAAATATGTCTCTGAGATCGATGTCTGGGAAATTGAATAATTCTGTTTATTCTCCTTGTTTTGTTTCCTTGTTCTGTTTCATTTGTTTTTAATTTATTGTGTCGGTTTAATCTAGAAAGACTCAAGCTTTTGAGGTACTCTGGTTTGGGTTTCTTCTCTTTTGATTTAGCTCTCTTAATCTAATCTTTTCATGGAACTAAATCGATGAATAATCCATCATTAGTGGTGTTTCTCTTTGACAAAAAATTCTTAATTTTTCAATATGCTTTTTAGATCCCTTGTTTTGTTTCATGAGCGTTGAGGTTGACTAACGAATTAAACAGTTCTCTTTTGAATCCAAGTTTATGTTTTTGTCCTAAACTATGTGTTTTTTAAGGTGGTAATGATTTCAGGTTCTGTGTTCTGTATATTTGGTAACACAACTGAATTTTTCACTGCTCTATTGTAGTTTACTTGCAATGAAATTGCCACTCACTTGTTTATAATCTGTTATATGAAGCAGGATGGTTAACTGCTACCGTAATCCTTGCGTGAAGTTCGAGAAGAATTAACTTTGGTCTGTGAGCAACTTTCGAATCAGCTGTGCTAGATTTGCTTTCAACTTTATTTGAAGATGGATCGTTGCGATACCTCAGGATTTGTAAGCGGCGGTGGAGATGCTTATAAGGTCTTTTAACTCTTATTAGAGCTGTGGCTTATTCTCTTAACCCGGAAGTTGTTGTGGTCTTGGCTTCGCGTCTTTGCTTTTGGTGTTCTTGACAAAAAAAAGTTTTCATTTTTAGTTGTGACCATGCATTCCAGATTCCAGAACAGTGCTTTTGCTGGTAATTCCTCATCGAATTCTTTTAAGATTTTGGGCCGTTCCCTTCAAGTTGAAGTCCCTGAGGCCGCGGATACTACTCTGCGCCTTGATTCCCTTGCCTCTCCGTTGTCTAATGCCAAGGGAATCAAAAGGAAATGGAATCTGATTGAGGGATCTGATCCTTTACTTTCCTTAAGACTCGGTCACTCTTCAAGCTCTTCTGATAGCAAAGGGAGTTCGGCTACTGCTTGCACGAGCTTATCTTCTGCTAAGGAAACTGAGGAGGCGTCCTCGATGGATATTGAGCTGGACTTTAGCCTCCATCTTGGCAACGAGAAACCGGCGGCTAGCAACAAAAAACCAGCTAATTTGAAAATGAAAGGGTTGCAGGTCCCCTCCCCGAAATTTGATCTTGAACTGAGTCTTTCTGGTGGAGGATCCTGTCAATCTGAGATAACTGCGGTCCAGCAGCACGCCAACCGATTTCAATCTCTTGCTGACATGCTGCGTGCAACTAATGAAGAATCCACATCATGTGGTTGGAGGCCAGGGTTTGGATTACCGACATTGCAAACCTCTTCAAGCAAAGAAACAAGCTCCTTCTTAGGCCATGTTCCCAAAAATGTCATCATTCCTGCTGCTCATGTTCTGGAACTGTCATCTAGCACGGCGACAACAACACCAATAAGCTCGGGTACATGCACTTCCGGTTTATCTCAGCAGCTGAAGCCACAGCTTAAGAATTCTTCTAGTTCCAAGTTATGTCAAGTAGAAGGATGTCAGAAGGGAGCAAGAGGCGCATCTGGCCGTTGCATTTCCCATGGTGGTGGACGTAGATGCCAGAAACATGGTTGCCACAAGGGTGCCGAAGGTCGAACTGTGTACTGTAAAGCCCATGGAGGTGGTCGTCGATGTGAATTTCTCGGATGCACCAAAAGTGCAGAAGGCCGTACTGACTTTTGTATAGCTCATGGAGGTGGTCGAAGATGCAGCCATGAAGATTGCACACGAGCTGCTAGGGGAAGATCAGGACTCTGTATCAGGCACGGTGGAGGAAAGAGATGCCAAAGAGAAAACTGCACTAAAAGCGCTGAAGGCCTTTCGGGACTCTGCATCTCTCATGGTGGTGGTCGGCGATGTCAATCTAATGGATGCACAAAAGGAGCGCAAGGGAGCACAATGTTCTGCAAGGCACACGGTGGTGGTAAACGGTGTACACACTCGGGTTGCACCAAAGGTGCAGAAGGAAGCACGCCGTTCTGTAAAGGACATGGAGGAGGTAAAAGATGTGCCTTTCAAGGAGATGATCCTTGCTCCAAGAGTGTTCACGGAGGTACCAATTTCTGTGTGGCACATGGCGGTGGTAAGAGATGTGCAGTTCCTGAATGCACAAAGAGTGCTAGAGGCAGGACTGATTTCTGTGTCAGACATGGTGGAGGAAAGAGATGCAAGTCTGAAGGATGTGGCAAAAGTGCTCAAGGTAGTACTGACTTTTGCAAAGCACATGGAGGAGGGAAACGGTGTGGGTGGGGTCAACCCGAGACTGAGTATGCGGGACAGTCTTCTTCTGGTCCATGTACCTCGTTTGCTCGAGGTAAGACTGGTCTTTGTGCACTCCATAACAGTCTGGTTCATGATAACCGTGTTCACGGAGGAATGACTATAACTTCCGAGAGCCAAGAACCGAGAGTAAGCAGCAGCGAAACAGAGAACGAGGAAGAGTTTAGCGGTTCTCAGGACATGAACATGGATACAATGAAAGCGAGAAGTGCTACCGGATCTCCAGAGACTGATGTTGATCTCAATGAGTATGAAGCAGGATTGGGGTTAGCTCCAGAAGGAAGAGTCCATGGTGGAAGTTTGATGATGGCGATGTTGGGTAGAGATGGTGGTTCTGGCTCTACCGATGGGCCAAAGAGGTGGATGTAAGTTGTCTTCACTCTTCAGTTTGGTTCCAGTCTTCAATTCAACGCGTGTTGGTACTTGAGAGTGAAAGAGTCTGTGTTTGTTCTAGCTTTAGGTTTGCTTAGAGAGTCAAAAAAGGGTCCAAAGTCTGTGTCTTATTGGTCTTTGTAGATATTGAATTAAGGGTCGAAGCAAAAGGTTATTGTGATGTTGTGAATTATACAGGTAAAAGCCCACCTGTGAACATTGTCAAAAACAGTCTTATGATGATGATGATGATAATAATAAAACTCATGTCTTCTGTTTGCAAATTGCAATTTCATCGGTTAAGGGCAATTTTGTCATCGGTTTAGCGTTAGGCCAGGTTTGTTGGCGGTTATGCAGACGTGATTTCGATCACAAATGGCTAGTCTTGAAGATGCCATTTTAAAGTAACTATGGCAGTGTGTTTTTCAGCAGTTACGTTGAAACACTCACCTATAGTACTCCCTCCGTTTCGCAAAGAGTGTCGTTTTAGGATTATTTTTGCGTTTCAAAATAAGTATCGTTTTAGATTTTCAATGTAATATTTAATATAAAATTTCGAATTTAACTTCAAGTTTATAGAAGAATACCAAAAGTCAATTTGAATTTAAAGGGTATAAGGGAAATTTTAATATGTTTTCTTAATTTGTGTAAATGACACTTTTTATGAAACAGAGAAAGTATTTAATACTCCATCCGTTTCACAAAGAGTGTCGTTTTAAGGTTTTATTTTTGTTTCACAAAGAGTGTCGTTTTAGGTTTTCAATGCAAAATTTAATGATTTTTTATGTTTTATGACTATTAGTATTCTGCATATTGTTTTACTATTGGGCAGATTGTGTTTAAGTATATAGGTAATGATGTTTTTGTTTAGAAAAAACAAAAAATTTAATGTTTTCTTAATCTGTGTGCAAAACTCTAAAACGACACTCTTTATGAAACTGAGGGAGTATGTAGCTATAGAATTAAATTGGATAGTGCAACAACTCCTGGGACATGACCGTAGATACATGCATTACAAAATATATGTAGCTATATATTTTGGGGGCGAGGTTCCATCTATTTTATCTTCTTAGAGATACCTTTATTCTATAAACAAGACGAACCCTTATAATTTATAGTTTGGATCGATTTTACGTCCCACGGGACCATTACTTAAAACGTATTAGGAGCTGACCACCAGTACGAGCAACCAACTCATTGATATAGCTCACAAGGAATTGGACTTCGTCAAGGTCTTTGATCTCAGGGCCAGTCTTATCGTACTCCACGCTGATATCGACGATGCTATTCAAGCCAGTGTGCGAATCGTTAACTTTTGTAGTTGATGTAATCAGCCTATAGCCTTCAAAGAATTCAGGGAAGGTAAACCGTTGCCTCATGCTTTTCGTTTCGTGATCCACTGACTCAATGGTCATGTGGTGTCGTTGCCACTCGACTCAACCAACATAAACAATTTTGAATATATTTAGAGTTATGATAACAAAACATATGAATAAGATGAGAGTTATAATAAATATATATATATATATATATATATATATATATATATATATATATATACCTGCAGGGATCTTAGTAGATATCAGAGTCATATGGTAGAAAAAACTATCCCAGAATTGTTTTGGTGGAAGCGAAAACAGAAACTGCATCTCACAAAGTCGTCTCAATGACATTTCTCTAGCCTACTTGATGTTTGCCTTTTGTGAGTTTTATAAATAATGATCTTGATCTCAATGTAGCATGCATGTTTATATAGCCAAATGTTTTTGAAAATTATTGCATTAATTTTTATGAGCAATAATTACTCCACTTAATATTTCCCCTACGAACTTTTTTATCAGATGTGCCATTTATCAAAATTCGTTGGCCATTTGCATTCTCTGCTTCACCTAATCAAGGCAACACTTGGATGGAAGAATAAATTAAGCGGACCAAATTTATCAATCAACTTGAACCGACCAAATTTAAATAGCTAATTTTTCTTTATTTCTTAGCAATAAAAACATATATATTCCATAAAACTGAATACAACTATAAATGTTCTTAAATGAAATTCGTGTTTTCAAAACAGTTAATTTGTCCATAATTAGTTTTTAGGAAAGAAAGCACAAAAAGAAATAAACATTAAAGATAATGTCAGAAGTGGGATTTGAGGCGAAGACCAGAACTTGAGTCTGGCGCCTTAGACCACTCGGCCATCCTGACTTTTTGTAGTAAGTAAACGTTTATTGTATAACGACTCTTATAATTTTCAATATCCATACCAACCTTCCGACTCTTTTTCTGGTCACCAAAGTGTATGTATTATTTTCACAAGCTATAGTACTACTGCAACATATTCATTTTCCTATTAAACATCCAAGATTGGCCCATGCAAATTTCAATAAACCCTAGTGTATATGACTTGGAGATTAATTTTTCTTTAGAGGACCAAAACAATAAGCCCATTCAATCACTAATAACAAAAATATCATTAGGCCAAAAGATTCCAAGTAGGATATATATTTGTTTAATAATAATGCCTATGATTCTGCGAAGACAGGAGAAGCCATACCTTTCGATCTAAGCCGTCAACTTGTTCCCTTACGTGGGATCTTATTATGTAATCCAACGGCTTTAAATGAAGCCACGCCTTCCAGATCTAACAGTCATGCTTTCTAGATTCTGCACCCTTTTATTTTATTATTTACATTTTCCCTTTGTATTTAATTTTGTGCCATCTTCTATGTGTACTTGTGGCATTTTTTCCTTTCTATCTAATTTTGTGCCATCATCTATGTATTTTTACATCATTTAAACAACATATTTTGAAAATTCTTGTTAGCCTGAGATGATATTTCTTGAATAGCAACGTTGAGAGTTACATTTACCGGAATAGTACAATTAAACCTGGACTAGAATGACAATGACGAAAGTATCGAGGAATAAATTAAAGAAACTAAAATTAAAGGGCATTAGAGTAAAATAGCGGGAACATCGAATTAGAAACTGCCAAAAAACCAACCTAGTAGCCGTTTATATAACAACACGTAAGCAAAATCTCTGTAATGACTCATCAATTTTCATGTGTAGACTCATCATCATCTCATATAACATAAAAAAACAGAGAAGCGATCAAAAAAATCTTCATAAAAAAAAACCCTAAATCTCTCATATCCGCCGCCGTCTTTGCCTCATTTTCAACACCGGTGATGACGTGTAAATAGATCTGTTTTTCACGGTTCTCACTACTCTCTGTGATTTTTCAGACTATTGAATCGTTAGGACCAAAATAAGAGAAAGAAACTGCAGAAAGAAAAAAATTTGAGAGAGATATCTTACAAAACAAGGTATATATTTTTCTTGTTAAATCTTGAAAATACTTCGAAAGTCTCTGCTTGTCTTATCAACAGAGAAAAAACGGTCGAAAATATTAAATCAAAGGCATTTTCTGTTAGATTCTCGAATAAGTTAGGTTAAACTGAAAATATAAGAGATAAAACAACATATTTTGGTTGTTATCATTCAATTTTTATTATTGTTGCGACTTATATCTATGGTATAGATCTTGATCTATATACTAATACTCTGTTTTGTTTTTGTTTTTGGAAGATCAAAATGGATAGCAAACAGATGTTGTTATCGGCGCTCGGCGTCGGTGTTGGAGTCGGTGTGGGTTTGGGCTTGGCTTCGGGTCAAGCCGTCGGAAAATGGGCCGGCGGGAACTCATCGTCAAGTAACGCCGTCACGGCGGATAAGATGGAGAAGGAGATACTTCGTCAAGTTGTTGACGGCAGAGAGAGTAAAATTACTTTCGACGAGTTTCCTTATTATCTCAGGTAATTTTTGTTTCGTTTTGAAATTCAACCAGACTTTAAGATCTATCAATTCTAATTAGGATCTTAAAATAATTCTTGTGATGAAATTATATTTATGTTTTGATCGTCACTTTTAGTTTATATAATTTACGAATTTCAAGACGATAATACAAGTGAGAAGAATATAGAAATTAAATGTAGTTTTACAAAAATGGATAAGATATTATTAGTTGGGGTGGTAATAAAAGGTGAAACATGTGAATTTCTGTTTTATATACGCCGAGAATGATCTCATTGTTTTTTATTATTCCGACACGTGTCACTATCATTAGATCATGTTCCTGATCTTTATCCCAAAATGTTTGGATTTATTCTTTTCGATGTCTTAAACAATACACATCCACTGTAGAATTAGGTATTGAACTCCCTTAATTCATTAAGTTGTGATACAATAACTTATATAGAGAACTTCTCTAGGTTTTACAACAACCGACTATGACTTGAACAATAAGTTACGGGCCTAAACATGTGGCCCAAACTCTATCCGTAATACTCCCCCTCACGTTGGAGCGTGAAGGTTCTGAACGCCCAACTTGGACATTAAAAACTCGAACTGATTACAACCCAATGCTTTTGTAAAAATATCCGCCAGTTGCTCTTCCGTGCGAACATGATGAGTGGAAATGGTACCATCTTGAACGGCATCACGGACGGCATGACAATCGTTCTCAACATGTTTTGTACGTTCGTGAAAGACCGGGTTAGCAGCAATATGGAGAGCAGCCTTGTTATCGCAGAAGAGACGGACCGGTTGACGATGTTCAATTCCCAATCCTTTCAACAACTTGAGCATCCATTTGATTTCCTTTAATGCAGCTGCCATGGCCCTGTATTCAGCCTCCGCGGAAGAAAAAGAGACTGTTTCTTGTTTCTTGGTTTTCCAAGAGATAGGAGAATCACCTAGAAAGACAATGTAAGCACTGAGAGAACGGCGGGTCAAGGGACAAGACGAATGATCAGAATCACAATAAACTGTTAGAGACAAATCTTTAGCAGCCTTGAGAAGAATCCCTTGTCCAGGTAACCCTTTCAAGAACTTGACAATACGCAACGCTGCAGCCCAATGAGCTTCCCTTGGGGCTTGCATGAACTGGGACAGTACATGAACAGAGTAACTTAACTCCGGTCGTGTATGTAAGAGATACAAAAGACGACCAACAAGTCGCCGATATGGCTTAGGATCAGCGAGTAACGGACCATCATCACGGGCAAGACGATGATTTTGCTCTAGAGGAGTCGGAGAAGGCCGTGAACCAAGCACCCCACAATCGGCGATGATATCTAACGCATACTTGCGTTACGACAAAAAAATTCCTTCAGGCCCTCGATTGATTTCAATGCCAAGAAAATACTTTGGTTTGCCTAAATCTTTCATCGAAAAGCATTTACCCAAGTATTCTTTGAACTTCTTAAGCATATAGCCATCATTACCACAAATCAAGAGATCATCAACGTAGATCAACACTCGGAGTTCGATATCTTTATGTGTGTAGGAAAATAAAGAGTAATCATCATAAGATTGTACGAACCCGAATTTGAGAAGAGAATCTGACAACTTTTTAAACCAACAACGCGGAGCTTGTTTCAATCCATACAGAGATTTGCGAAGTCGACACACTTTATCAGGATGAGAATGACGAAATCCAGGAGGAAGCTTCATGTAAACTTCTTCGTCAAGATCACCATGAAGAAACGCGTTGTGAACATCCATTTGGTACATCTCCCATTGATTTGCCGCTACTAAACGAAGGAGTGTACGAACTGTTGTCATTTTGACCACGGGAGCAAAAGTCTCAGTGTAGTCTTCACCTTCAACTTGATTATTGCCGAGAGCAACAAGATGAGCTTTGTAACGTTCCACTGAACCATCCGAATTAAACTTTGTTTTGTAAACCCATTGACTTCCAAGAGCAGTCTTGTTTGGTGGCAAGTCGCATAGATCCCAAGTCTTGTTGATTTCGAGGGCATCAACTTCTGTAGTCATGGCTTTATTCCATACATCAATTTTTACCGCCTCTTTAAAATGCTTTGGCTCGACATTACTTGTAATAGCCGCCAAGAAAGCCCTATGACCAGAAGAAAAATAGTCATCGGATATATAATCAGACAAAGGGTATTGTGACTTACAAGGAACCGAGTTTGAGGACTGAGATGTGGGATCGGAGAGAGCGTGAAGAGGATCGGGTGTACAAATGACGTTGTTAGTAACGTAATCGTTTAACCAAACTGGTGCATTATGTGGCCTCTGACTTTGACGAGGTTTGGTAACGGGGACAACTTTCACACTCTCTGATTCAGAGGTAGATGTCTTGGAGACAGGATCAACTAGATCCACATGTATCACAACATCATCAATGGCAGGAGAGTCTTCAAGTAAATTCTGTTCCGGTGACGATGATACTTCATTGTCTTGAACCGGAGACGAAGTCACAGCTTTGTACGGAGAAGAAGAGCCTATCTCATCACTCCCCCTTACAGGTGATATAGGATCTGTGTCATTGCTCTCCTTGTCAGGTAATGAAGAGACAACCTGCCAATCTTCATCACAGGGTACCAACTGAGGTGACTCAACTGAAAGAGGAGTCGTTGAATTTGATTTTTCAAAAGGAAAGACAGTCTCTTGAAAAATAACATCACAGGAGACTAAAAACTCATTCCTCTCAATATCATACACCTTCCAACCTTTCTTCCCAAAGGGATAACCAACAAAAATACACGGACGACTTCTTTCACCAAACTTGTCTTTGTCGCGAGTAACCCGATGCGTATAGCAGGAAGAGCCAAAAACTCGTAATTTCTCATAAGACGGCTTACTCCCATGAAGAATTTCGTAAGGAGTACGTCCCTTATGAATAGCAGAAGGAGTACGATTAATCAAATAAGCCGCCGTTAAAACCGCTTCTCCCCAAAACTTTATCGGCAGATTGGCTTGAAACATCAAAGCTCGGGAGACATTA